GCCTATTTACAGGTGTGCACCCTCATGCGGGCGGGGGATTCAAATACGGTTGCTTTTGTTTACGTTAGTCATAGAAGCCGGTAGAGAGACAAGAACAAGCTTCAGGCGACAGTTTTCTGATAAAACAGAATAAACCATGTACAGGGCATAGCCTCATCCAAAGTGCATGTGGTAAATTGATGTACATGATATTCAGACTATGAAACTGGCTGCAGTATATAACCCTATAGCTCAGGCCAACCTTAACCCTCGCGGGGTATTAACCTAATGGAGGGCAACCCGAACGGATCGCAACACTGGCGGAGGGTAACCGTAATGAAACGTAACCGTAACTCGAATGGTGTGTGTGTGTGTGGGTGTGTCTGGGTGAGTTTGTCTTACATACGCAGTGTGGACTTCCGAACAAAAGACGTCCACATAATGTAGGTAGCACCGACGTTGTGTGGACTTACCCCACGTCCACACAGTGTTTCCCCATTTCTGGAAAACAGGTTTAGAGGCATTTTTGGGTTAGGTTTATCTGTAGCAGAATGAAGAGAAACACTAAAGGGAATCATAGAAAAAAAAATGGGTTGAAAGAGTTTTCACAGTTTGAGAAAAATGAGTTTTTTCACTGGTTTTTCTTAACTACACGAAAGCAATGGAAAGTCCACACTAGTCATGTGAAACAAGTATGGGTGTGTGTGTGTGTGTGGGGGGGGGGGGGGGGAGTTAAAGGGGGTACGTGGTGGGGATATCCATTGAAGACGCAAGCCTGCTAAGTAAAACCTTCAATACATTTTCTCCCCACCCTTTAGAGATATTTGATTTACAAGATAACCGCGCAACCCCACCCAAAAAAGGGAAGGAAATACTCAAATAATAAACAAAAATAGATAGTAAACAAAATAAAAATGCCCTCATGCGCTCACCAAACAACCCATGGGCCTTAAATTGAAATGAAAGTTAGGTAAAATCTTAATTTTTTGTACTTGCGAAGAGAAACGAAAGCGACTTAATTTATAATAAATCCCACTCTGCTTCAATGCATAATCTAAAACTTGTAATTAAACATTCCCTAATGTTTAAAGCCATTTTTTTTAAAAGACATTCATAAATACCTCAGACAGTTTAGCTATTCCTATTGGTCGAGAGCCCGTCACGTGGCCGGTCTTAAACGGATGATAAAGACATGGCTAGCTGGTCTTAAACACGTTTCCAGTGTCACAATAAAATGTGGACTTCTAAAAATCCAGTGCCTCTTACCGTTTCATTGGTTGAACGTTCACAATCTTCACGTAGGCATGCGCAACACTTACAGCGAGTCAGAATTTTATAGTTCTAAATTCAACACGCAACGCCCCAGGTGCGTTCTGCGTGACATCGCGCAGAACATGCTACGCGCGCGTCAATCTCCATAAAAGGGTTGTTTACATCTTACTCGCCAGCTGAACACTCCATTATTTTGCTAGAGGGATGTTTCAAAAAGCATGAAGTGAACTTGTTGAACAAAATCGGGATTTTTTGAACGAATTATTTGAAATTTTTTTACGGATAAGGTATTTATGAATGGGAATAAATATGTGCTCGGTCGGTATTTATCACTCGTTTAATACCGCTTAGAGTCTGGGTGCTGATAATTACCCTCGCCTCCGGCTCGGGTAATTATCAGCACCCAGACTCTAAGCGGTATTAAACGAGTGATAAAAACCTCCGGAGCACACATTTATTCCCTTAGTAAAATAAGGCTGCATTGTGCCTGCATAAATAGTCTGGCGCCATCCCATTCAACAGTTAACAATTAGTAAAATGCATTCAGGGAACTCGACAAAAATGGCCAACTCGGGAATAAGGACAAAAATGGCCAATTCGTGAATAACACCCACACGCACACCCACGTACATTTGGCAAAAATAGAACCTGCATGGTTACCTCTCGTTTCTTATTCATTGTAGGTCAGTTAGCATTACGCAAAAAACCCCTAACAACACGCAGAAGATCGTTCTTCCTTGCACAACGCCTAGATGGGCTTTAAATCCAAATACAGATGGTTATTACCCCTGTCAGAAAGTGTAGCAAGTGCAAGTTTCAATTTCAAATAACAAGGAACTGAAGAGTTACCAGGACTTAAAACAAAAGCACTCGAGTGACAAGGAAAAGGTGTTGGTGTTTGGAAAACTTCGGACATTTTCGGAAACGGGAGGAATCTTGTCTGGTTTCGTTCATTGCGGCGACATGGCCTTTTATTGGTCAGAATAGGCCTGGGAATTGAGTGTGCGTTCCGTTAACCAAATTCATGAAACTGCAGTAATGTGACTCGGCGATAAATGCATGCATATGTTGTTTATGCAATGTTATGCACATATTCCGGCCTAGAAAGAGCATTGGCCTTCGACAAGGGCGGATCCAGGGGGGGGCCAAAGGGGGCCATGGCCCCCCCCAAAACGAAACCAATTTTTTTTTTTTTATGTGACATCGCAATAAAGGCAGGCAATGAGTACACCACCATCTTTTCCTCAAAAAAAAACATTGGTTAAAGTGGTCAGAAATTGCCTCAGATCGCACCACAGAGCATCTAGAATCCAAAATTTTTTCGGGGCCCTTAAGCGGGCCCCGAACCCCACGCCGTAATTTTTTTGACCCACTTTTTGGGGGGACCAAAATTTTTTTTGCCCCCCCGAAAATTGTGTTCTGGATCCGCCCTTGGCCTTCGATTACCATAATGCAATGCAAATTCGGCATTGATCTTGCTTGCAAAATTGTCATGAATTTATTGATGAGAAAAGTAAGAAAGAACTATTTCGGGTCGTGTGGTAATAAAGCAAACCAAGAATTAGGCCTATTTAGAAATTCACCCTCACGTCAGCACTGAGACTCACGGCTTTGCTTGTAATCCTGCAGTCTTGTTTCGACAACACTTAATTTCGTACAATATGAAGCAACTGATTGAATGAGCTTCAGCAACTTTTCTGATACTGAACTCAGTATTGAGCCTGCCCTAACCTGTAGGCCTATAACGCCAAAAACCTTGCATCCAATGGCGTCTGATCAACCCTACTCGCCATTATAGAGCGTGTAAGTTGACCCCGAGAATGTACGAGATTTTACGAGAAACCTTCCAGGCACTTCGAATAGGAGCCTCAACGTGTAAAGCGAGTATAGTTTCTCGAAATAGTTTGTATTGACGAGGTTCGTTTTAATGAAAGGTAGATAAAAACGTTTAAACAGAAATTTTTCATTTCAATTTACAAAATGCTAACGATACTTCAAATTATAAGATGGAATTTTGCGTCGGGGTGATATCAATCAAATTAGGTTTTTGCCCTTCACTTTCACTCGGGAGGTAACACACTGAGTATACAGTGTCTAAAAGTCGGTGAAGGGCAAAAAACTAATTTGATTGATAAATATTTGATTGATATTTCAAATAAGGGAAAAGTAGACCGAAAAAGCCGAGATACGTCATACGTACGTCATTCGTCATTGTGGGCATGTGTGGTCTCGCGGAAGGGCACAGGATTCATGTTTAGTGAGATTGTGGGTTCGAGCCCCGCCATGGCCATGCGTGTTGTGCCCTTGAGTAAGGCGCTTTACCTCAATTACTCCTCTCAACCCAGTTGTTAAATGGGTACCGGCATAATTCATTGCTGGGTTTGGCGATCCCCCGCAGCAGCATTTCATGGACTCGAGTCTGGCCCAATCGCTTCGAAAGAGAGATGGGCACTCCGTTCCAGTAAACAAAGGCTCGTCTCCCCTCGCCATTGTTCTCGTTCACGCCAGTCTTTCTAAAGCGTAGACCATACAGTATAAGGCGGTCGTCGCATATTAACATGTACGAACGTACGCTCACGTCCGCACACGAAGTTCGGCGCCAAAGAATGCAGTGCAGGGATTTCTGGGGCCGGGATCAGCCAATCACGTTGCAACCTCACGCTCAGGTAAAAAATTTTGTCCCTACTTTTCTTCAATAATTTAGACAGTCATGCATGTCTTTATATATGTTAAAGTTAATTTTGAATTTATCATCCATATTAATGGCCTTTCACGGTTCAGATCTTCGTAAAAACAAAGTATTATAGTTAAAAGTAAAATTTACTAACATCTGAAAGTATTTACTTTTTGCTGTTAGCTTTTTAAAGCTAAGTTAGGGCCTTAAAAATATAAAGCTAATACTTCTGCGCAAAAATGGCTGCATTCATTTATGTTCATCGCGTAAAAGTAATACAAAAACCTTCATAAACTTTTATAATACCCATATACATTATTTCCAATCACATTTTTGCGACATTTAAATACTTGTTTTATTATATATATCATTACTGGACCCAAAAAACTGATAATTTCGATAGGCGGAGTGTTGCAATTTTATTTTTGTGGACTTTGTTAACTGAACTACTTGAAGTAAACTGTTAGTGAACTGAAAAGTGAGCTGAGGAAACTGAAGTTGAACGACTTTCGGACTGTGAACTGTAGAACGAAAAATTATGAAGTGGAACTGCGGAAGTGCTCGTGGGACAGTGTTTATATGCTGTGGAAACTGGATGCAGTTGGATAAGAGATACTTAAGAAAGGATAAAAAAGGCATGCATCTTGATTTCGTTGATTCTCAGAAATAGCAACATGGCTATGAATGACAAAATAACATCTTAGAGCAAAGAACCAGTAAGTTCTGGTGCACTTAGAAATGTTCAATGTGAAATGACCAATACACACTGTACAGGTGAGAGTGTGGGTGTTTGTATGAGGACAAACAAGTAATGCAAATAAGTAATGCGTTCAGGATATTTGGATCGTGTCACAGGTCGGGATTCTATCCAAATCCATGACAGATTTGACCTGAAACTTTCCGGCTAAAATTTACTCTTCCCGAAACTCCTTCTTGACCAGAAAAAACGTTTTCATGATCCGATTTTTTTTCGCGGAAATCAAATGCTACTTTGACCCAAAGAGTATCGGGCCAATCCCGACCCCGAAAAAGATATAATGTTACTATGATGTCAATATAATAAGTTAACCACGATTAGTAAACATTGTATTATACTCGCTTTGTAATAATATACAATTTGTTATCACAAATTTCTGACGCAAAATTCCCGTTACTACTGTTTTGTCCTAGTTTTGTCTTCTTCAAAATTTAGCGTAAAGCAAAACTTAGGTTAACGGATGAAAAGCTTGGAAGACAAAATAGGTTGCTTCTGTGCTGTAACTGAAAGATGTCTCAAAGTTGGACTTGCACTAAAATTCTGAAAGTCCTCCCGTGATACTGAACCTCTACTTTTACAAACCAGTCTCAGCAAGGGTATTTGCATCAGTAGTCAGGTCAGCTTCAATTTGGTTAGGTTTTGCCTTAATGACACAACGACAGAACATGGCATAAAAACCCTCCCTGAAACCATCCAATCGCCACAAGTATATCAACGGATTGATCAAGGTAGAGAGAGTATACAGCAAGTAAGTCCCCCAAACCCACGCCACGAAGACTCCATCCTGCATTAGAGAGGGATTAAAAAATACATACATCCTCAGCGCGAAAGCAGGAGCCCAAGAAACAAATGACACCACCAGAATGAGAACAAACATGACCAATAAACGACGAGTCTGCTGGACTCGGGTTTGATCTCGCTCCTCGTTGGCACTGATGCCTGCCGCGGATGCAAGAGGTGGAGTGTAATGCTTGATCTTACGGAAAGCCAAGTAATAAACAAGAGCGGTGATAAGCCACACGATGCACCCTGCCAATGAGCCTCCAAATTCGTGTACCCCATACAAAACCCATCTTGGGACAGCGTTATAAATCACCAAGCCATACACGAGACTTGAACACCACAAAATGATACAAACCCCAATCAAGCGATACATAGTCACCAGTGAATCGTAGCGAGCCGGTGGCATGAGGGACAGGGTCAGATAACGATTGACCGCAACGGCCAGAATAGTCAAAATGGAGACTATGTAAGCTCCGGTGACAAGGCCGTTGAAAACGTCTTTTGTCGGCTGCCAAGGATATGATATGGATAAGACGGAGAAGATCAAGTCGGCCAGCGCCAGGTTGAACACGAAGGCGTAATACTTGATGCGGAGCTTTTTGGTCCCAGCAAACACTGCAATCGCTAGGAGATTTTCGAGCATAGCCAGTGAACAGACGCCACTTATACAATACTGCAGCACGTCGATCATCGTGCGGGGATTTACGGCCATTTTTTCAGATACTCTACACTCTGAAATGAGGATAACAGAATACGAACTAAGGTTAGTTGTCACTTCGATTATTGTTTGTTTTTCTTCTTCTAATAATCCGAAAATAAGTAGACCTTCATCAGTTATTGCCACTTGATATAAAGTTCCTTTTATTTTCATACATGTAGGCATAGGTCTATACTCAGTTGCTGTGCATCTGTCTGTACAAAGTTAGGTATCACATCTTACCTGGTACATAAATGGAGGGCGGAATTCCAGATGCTTTGCGATCTTTGTAATAGGCCTGTAGGTAAACAACAAATTGAAACAAATCGACCAATCAATAACTTCACTGTGGAAACAGATCCACTTCATGTTCTTTGTAACATATTAAGCGTTGCATTAAGTTTGTTGGTACATCGGTTATAGTTCCATCAAGTTTCAAGCATTGAAAAGCAAAAGGCTACGACACAATACATTGCCAACACAAAAAAATTGCAAAATTACCGTTTAATCACCTGCAATTGCCAGTTTGTTTGCCGTTCGCTTCAAGTTGAACTTAACACCACGACGTTTCCTGTCTCGTTGTCAATTGCCAAATTGTTTTTACTTAATTTTAAAAGGAAAACCATAGCAGCTTTCTTGCCTCTAACGCCAGAACGTTCAATCTGAGAGCTGGTATTTCGTGTAGGAATTTTAATTTATTTTAAACAGTAGCTATATGGCAACCCGTTTACTACTGAATACAAATCACGAAGCTGATGTTGTCGATGCAGGATGATAACACTGCAAGGTGAGATTCAGTGGTCGTGTGAGGGGGGAATTTCTGAATAACTCTTTGTTTGCTTTATTACGACACAACCTGTGAGCAAATAGTTTTTCCTTCCTCTGCCCATTAATAAAATCTTGCAAAAATGTGCACTGTTTAATATTGATGCCACATGCATTTCCATGCTAAATTGTGAATTAACACACATCCGTAACAATGGGCTCCAGATGGCCCTTAAGGCCGGAACTTATCCCAAGGCATATTATTATGTTTTGCATGTTCAAGTAGGGAAGTCCACGTAGGCCTATATTAAAAAAAAAATCAACATGTTGTTGACCTTATGGAAATATTATGATAAATAAAAAAAATCCTTTAAAACGAAGCTTTGAGCCATGGGCGTCGCCAAGATTGTTCTAGATGGGGTCAAAGCACATTCCCCCACCCCCCCCAAAAAAAATCCCTGTACTTTTCTAGCGTATTCTCAATCGATCATTTTTTTTCGAGGGTGGGCAGGGAGACATGTACCCACCTCACCCATGAAATTAACAACAATATCAATGTTTTTTTTTCTTTCGCCCGGATTTTTTTTGTAGCGGGCAAAGCAAACTGTCCCCCCCCCCAAATCCTTGTACTCTCTCTAGCATATTCTCAACTGATCATTTTGTTTTTGGGTGGGCGGGGGACATTTGCCCACCCCACACCCATTGACACCCATGCAGACGCCCATTTCTTTAAATGTGTATTAAATTAGTAGCAAATATGACTTCACACCTCTTTTTTCTTCTTTCTCCCCCCCCCCCATCTTTGGCTTTCCGGGGGGGGGGCAAGCGCCCCCTTCCCCCCCCCCCCCTTGCTACGCCCATGTCGAATGCAACAACAATGGAAACTGAAAGCCTTGACATTACTCACTTCGAATGAGATTAGTGCGGTAGTTTCAAAAGGGGTATGTTTTCAGGCCAACGTACGTCGGCGTGCTTTCGTTCGTTTACACACGCGCGTACATGTGATTGCAAGTCATGAAATCTCGCAAAAGTCTTAATTTTTCAACCGGCGATTCGGACCAAACGTTAAAAGTCTCCTGCACATGTTTCACATGAAACTGAAGAGTAAACTTTCCTCTGTCTACTGAGACTTGCCGCTTATTTCGGCATTTTTTAAGAATCGAATGTACACCTAAAAACTATCAGCCCTCGATTTTGTTGATGAAAAATATGATTTTGTTTGACAGGCCGTAACAACACTTTATATATGTCAAAAGCAGTTATTTTTGGTATCAAAATAAAGCACACGATATCAACTTTTCACTTATTTAGCCATCTTGGCCAAACATTGCATGTATCTAGGCACTTTTCGTGTATTTTCTGTGGTTTCGAATAAATCTCGTAAAATCTCGCATACGCTTTTGGGCCATGGGTGCTTGACCTCGGGACAAGAAACTGAGGTCAAACAGGGATGTGTGCGTGACACGGCCACTGACTACATGCACTGGGTTCAAAACTACATGTAGTGGTGAAAGTTTGCCAATTTATTCTCGCAATAAAAACATTGAACCCTGTAATCCATCACATTTTTGTACGAGTTCATCGGCGCCCTAAGACAGCCCCTGCATGAAAGATTGATCGGGCAAGTTTTATTGATCACGCCCCTTCGTTTCAGCGAAGAATGCGATTTGACAGGACGACCGTCATGACTAACCGTCCAAAACGAAAGAATGCTAGTGAAACAGACTCTTAACTAGCCCGCCGAGGGGCATTTTCACTAGCATGCATGGCTTTTTCTTTTATAGAGTGTCCAATAAATAACCATGTGCATACTTGTAAAATGTTTAGAGAGCCTGAAAGTTGACCCCTGATGGAGCGCTTCGAAGCCCCTCGAAAAGAAAAAGGAATGTTTTCAATAAACAGATCTAATAATTAACCCTCAAAAACAGTTGATAAAATTATACACAATTATACACACATTGATACAGGTTTGCTTTCTGAATTTCATGATTTATTTCTTCCTGTCCTTTCATCTTTGCCGTATCCCAATAATTTTTTTTTGACTCGCCAGCCAGGCTACTTAAGGAATAGTTTGACTAGCTCGCCGCTGTTTTGACTAGCATGTGGCTAGCGGGTTACCGCTAATTTCGAACCCTGATTATAGTGACGAAAGACTATTCTACTGCTTGATGTTTAACATTTGAAATTATTTAGGTTTCAAGTTCATTTATTTCAATGCTGTCCTTGGAAAAGGAAATGTATAGTGTTTACAATATTAGTTGAAACACAGCAATACAGGTTTATTAAGTATCAAAATAAACATAAAGACATACAAATGCTTTTGTGCATTAACGTAGGGACAGACAATGAGACCAACAAGACATAAGACTACAGCAGCAGATGAGTGTGCATGCAGGTGCTACGACATATTACAGTACTATTCATAACATGAAATTAGCGTCGGGGTGATGTTAATTTAATATTAGGTTTTTGCCCTTCATAACTATACGATAAGTTAACTTTACTGAAAGATATGAATATGCATCAAATTTTTTGTAATAGTTTTTGTTTGACAAATATAGCTTACGTTGGTGACTTTTTCATAGATTCACTAAGACTAAATGATGAACAGATTTAAAGGCACATAAGTCTGAACTGAATTTTATCATGTGACTTTTTCATAGATTCACTATGAACGGAGTTAAAGGCACATAAGTCTTAACTGAAGTTTATCATAGACAATTATGTATCTCTTTTACATGCCATACCCTCGTACAATATGCTTCAAAACCAATATAATTTGTATGATGATGCTACAGGAGAATTATTCATAATAAGTATCAAAATGGTACTTGTTTTACATGAGGGATAAGCTCAAGTTTATCTTTTCATCACGAGGTAATTACTAATACGTATCACAAAGACGTTTTAATATTGTATTTCCTGTGTATATCTAGTTTACGTTTAATCATATGTATATTTTGCTGTTTGCAATATTTAGTAATGTTTCATCTAAAAGCAAGCACAGGACTAGGCATCACATTAAAACCACAAACCATTGCCTATAATCGCATATCATTACGCATGCATGGAGCTTTTGAGGTTTTGAGAGCTTTCGATTTAGTATACATATCGTTAAAGGGAAGATACAACATTTGCAAACATCAAAAAATGAAATGATCAAATTATCACGAAATGTCTTACTGGGTTGTTAGGCCCTGACAGTCCAAAGCATCCTGTAAAATCGTGGCTCCTGGTGTGCTGACTTTTTCAAGAAAAAAATGTATTTTTCCAGCACTGGTCGGCCGACCATCGTTGGAGAAAACTGCCTTTTTTATAAAAGTGCTCCTAGTTTTTCATATTTAGTTATTCCGCATTTTCTTTGCAATTGATTACACACCGGTGAAGGGGTTCAGGTCTGCTAGACAGATTCTCTGACCTAACAATTTCCCAAAGTCTATAAATTGCTCCGTTTCATCTTAAGTGGGGTCAGGGAGCCAGACTACAAGAGTGTGGTTGGTTTTCTTGGATTTTCAAACATCTACGAACCCAAAACGTGAAGCAATTCAGTTTAACAATATTTGCCATAAACATACTAATCCTCCAAATCCATTTAATTCTGAAAATTGCAGTAAAAGCAAATGTTGAACATTCCCTTTAAAGATTGTGTATGTAGCGTTATCATCATGTCTCATACTACTACTATTATTATAGTTATTTTTTATATTATGTACACCTTGTAAGGTATCCTTCAGGAGATATTTTGTTATAATTATACCTTAGGGAGACACAATGTTTCCCTGATGTCACAACTCCTATTTAGAGGCAGATTTTACAGTCGCAAACGGCTAGATATAGTGCTCATGGTTCAATTTGTAACGATACAAAAATGCATGGGGGCGGGATAAGGTAAAATTGGGGTGAGGGGTCATTAAAGCTGGAAAACAGCTTGTGCACAAGTCTATGGGAATGTCTCCAAAGTTACCCATTATCGGTAATTATTATAATTTGTAATCATTGTGTTAACTTCAGGCCAAAATGTTTATGGTCATATATGGTTTCAACAAAACTTACATAGTAATTCAAGGAAGCATAATAATAGCAATATCATTTTGTATGCCATTGTAATCATTTAATTCTACATGCATTAGCAATTATGATAAATGTAAGGCCAAAAGCTTTGAGGTAATTTTAAACGATGCTTACACAATATATCAGGGAAGCGAATAATTATGGCAATTCTTGATGACGATTTGGAAAAAGATATTGATGATAATAAGCCCTATTCGTTTTAAAATGCATTTGTTTAATGTATACATTATAGACTTTGAACATTATGAAATGTACATGCAACACAGAACTCAATATTATAGTAATTTTTTCTGTTTCTTTGTAGGGTTTCTTTGTTTTTGTTTACTTGTGATCTTAAGCTTTCCATCATACTGGATTTTACCGACCTTAAATCATCAATCACTTACATAAGAACAAATCAAGGAGAAATTTTCCGTCCAATGTTTGACGTACGGTGTTCAGTGAACCGCCCGTCCTCCTTAACTGGTGGGCGGATCTCCCCTTTGAACTCGCACCAAAATTTGATGAGAAAAAGAAAAAGCAGTTTTACATTTTTCACAACTTTATGCACATTTTGTTTTGAAGACTGTTTGAATTTTTGTGTGTTGAAATGTTAGTTTTTGTATTTCATTTCTGGGACTTGCAAGTGTACTGTGTTAATAAAGGAGGGGGCCGTCAAAGCGATTGAAAAAAAGAATGTTGAAGAAGTGAACAGTGATATCATGAGAAAGTTTGATCACCAAAGACGTGTATTGGGTTACTTTGAACTTTCTTTCCATCACGTTTTTATTGTTGGAGCCTACAGATGTTTGGTGAGTTGTTTATCAGAATGAAATGCTGTGAACTTTGAACTTTTTGCTACTTTTTATTATGGAAAGCCAAGCGGGGTCCACTTGAAAATAACTGCATCTATCAAAGTTAAGAACCGGAAACTAAATCAAGGCCACAAAACTCGAATTCGCCGACCGAGTTATACAGACTAAACCCTACGTAGGTTACGGGAAGCGGCGAGCTATCCACGTAACTCATGAAAGGCGCAGTGTCCGAGCCTCGACCGACCGCGATGGTCAAGTCGGCAGTGCTGGTACCGGGAGTTGCGCTGACCCAGAAGTCCATGAAGGTCTCCTCGTCCAACCATCCAGTCGATTCGGAGGGTACGGTTGCGAGGTTCGCTCCTTGCTTCCTCCGACGAATCACCGACCGCGTGTCACCCCATCCGCCGATGACGATTTCGTACATGAAGGCGGAGTCGGCGTTCTGTCCGGTGAGAGCAATGTGGGCGTCATTATTAGCGCGCACGGCGAATCTGACAAGAACTCCCCCATCGGAAGAGCGAGGCAGAGCTGCAAACTTGTAGTTATAGCTATGGTAGCTTATCGTGAAGTTATGGCATTCTAAAGAACGGAATCAACATGTCCGATAACAGAATTAAGAGTTTGTTTACAGAAAAAAAATACAAGGCAAGCCTAGTTAAGCTGGTCCCAGAGCACACAATTCCAATCGACGCGGGGTTTTCCTATCTCAGATTTCCTAGGCCACAGTGAGACTTAAGCAAGTAATAGCTAGTTCAAGACAGTTAAGTCAACCAGCCAGTTATTAGTGCATGAATCAGGTATAAAGAGGGCAACAGATTGAGTCCTCATTGGGACCAGCCCAAAACATTCCCATAACAAAATGAAACTTCTGCGAAGAAAAAAGTCAGTATATAGTATGTCCTATCCTTGGCACAAAAAAGTGCCAATGTTTCCATAAAATACCAAATAATAAAAAATTGGTCTTCCCGGCTATTTTCGAAAGTTTTCAGAGTGCTTTAATGTATTATTGCAATGCATGCCAGTTCAGGTTGCACTTGTTCATACCTGGTGCAGCCGTTGTAGGCGGGGCAGTTGTAGTCACTTCTGTTAAAGTTGTAGTCACTTCTGACATGTCACACATGTACAAAACAAAAATTAAATACCAATAGAAATAACACAAGAAAACAACATTAGATCCCTAAAAATGTCCTGCACAAGGGGATGATGATAAAACCATGTGTTAACTTGAAACCTGGTCCAAAAATGTGACAAATGTTGTGACGTCATAAGGAATCAAATGACAAATGATTTAAGGTCAACATTTGGAAAATTACTTCGACATTTAGCTTTAAATGGAATAAAGTAGTGTAATCATATTCTTGGTAAAGTTCTAGACATTGCCTCAGGCCGATTCAACGTCATCATGGGCCTCATGACGTAATCTTAAAGGTGCATAATTAAAAGTATTATAGCCAGAGCACAAAAAGGCCAGTGTGTTGAAACTTTGTACATACATTTTCAGGCATGTGTCGTAAATACAAATTGAGGTCACGTCATGATGACGTCATCATGTGATTATTATTGGGTTTTATTTTGCTTTTTTTCTCCATCTTATTTACGAACGAAAGATGCTAAATTCCTAATTCGTTTTGTACTAAGAGGTTTGGAGGGTCACAGATATATGCCCACATTTTTGAGAAATGTGTTACGTCATGGTGACATCATCAAAATCCATTTTTAACACATATTATGGAACAACCGATTGTCTTAAAACTTAGTGGGTAGTTTAATCATGTGAAAAGTATGCAACATATGGAATGACGTCACGATTACGTCATCCATTAATTTCTCTGTTAATTTTCAATTAACTGTTGTAATTAAGCAAGTGTTCCATGCTTCAATTTTGGTCTTTCTCTATAGTCTTTTGAATAATTCAGAAATGAAAACAATGATAACAATGAAATACATTGAAAGACCTACCTTCAAAATTCAACTACAAACAGTTTAGCGGAAAAGCAAGTTGTATTGTCCACTCCGGACAATCAACAATTCGAGTTTTTTTTTCTTGTTTTTTTTTACTGACTTACCCTCAACCGGGGAGTCAGTGGCGTCGGCAGCGCATGGTGCTTTGGTGCACAGTTCAGCTACAACGGTCTTCAGTTCTTCCACAGTCTGTTGCAGAGATCGCAGTATTTCCACGACGTCGGAGGCGTGGTCCGCGTTGCCTGAACAAGACTGTGTGGTGTTCAAAATCGGTTGCGCTGTCGCAGAAAGAGAAAGTAGAAAGAACATGCAAATGATTAGTTTTGTCACTCAGCGGTTGAGCCAGGGTTCTTACCATTGGGGCGGGTAATAAGTGTTACATTGGGGTCCCTAATTTCTGTTACCGTTGGCCATGGTCACTTACAGGATCAACAAATTTCCAGGGGGAGGGGGCGACTTTTGTGGAGGGGGGTTGCCTTTTTTAAGGATGGGTACGTTTGATTTGATTTTGATGAATGTTTGCTTTTTAAAAGTATTTTAATCAAGAGCCTTTTAACCCTAGGGCCGGGTTATTTTGACCATCTCTCAGCCGGGGGGGGGGGGGGGGGGGGCAGCGGATTCCGCCCTCCCCCTAAGAAACCTGAAACTCGGTACATGCATAGAGCAACTCATCATGAACATACCCCAAAAAATTGATGACTATAGGTCAACGGGTTTTTGAATTATGGCTAATTAATTATTCATATGTACGAATGGTACTTGTGCTCTGTGTACATGGAAAAGTTCAGTTTTCACGGCGCTAGTTTTAATGTTTTTGGTATCAAAAGATGCGCAAGGTTCGCGGCTAAAAAGTCAAGAGAAAGCTCGGGTCGCGAAAAAAAAAATTCAAGGCTATTGCGGAAAAAGTTTAGGGGGGACGGATTTCGCCCCTTCGGCCCTTTTATGGTTAAGGGACGAGCAGGTATTCGGATTTTATGCTTGGAACTCTGAAGGGCACGTTTTACGAAGTATACGCCTGTACGTATAACGGGGCGCTTGAAAATAAGTGTGGCAGGACCCCCCCTCCCCCGGGCCAACCTAAGTCTGTTAATATAAGTCTGACACCTAATGGGGTGAAGACTATCTTCCCAAACCAAGGCTCTTCCCTAGACGAGAGATCACTCAGAGCGACCTTCAAGGCTAAGGGTGCAGGTCCGTTTTGGTGGAAATCTACCGCCCGATTGTTGAGTGTTGATTATTTATCTCTGTTAATTAATTGCACAATAAACCTGTAAACATAAACACCGGAAGCAGAATTGTCGGTAATCTCAACCAACAATGATCATAATTTATTCAACAATAATCAGGTACATTAATTAGGATGTGATTCGGTGGGTTGTTTTTATTAACAGGGTCTTTCTTTAATTACTGAAGATAGCCCGCTGCTCGCCTTTGCAACAACGCACACAGCACACACTAGATAACAATGGCAGCAATGAGCAATACAATGCACAGCGCCAGTAATGAATCGCTAGGTTAGCAATAACACAGCGTCCCAAGCGCACAACAGCCTCTTAGCAATGTATACAGTGCTATATATAGCAGGGTACCCGCTACGCCGTGTGTGTAAGCCAGGATTCAGCTAAACATACCAGCGCAACCCCAGTACAGCTACACGGACTTTGTACACAAATCGCCTAAGCAATTTCACATAAGCAGAGTACAAGTGATTCACCTAATTCTCTGCCCGCTGTCGCAGCTTGTTACAACTGATAATGTAGTAACCAACTGATAATGTATCACCAACCGATAATGTCTCACAAATTGACCGATACCGTATCACTAACCAATAATGTAACAAAAATTGACCGATAGTGTAGTAAATGTTACTACACTATCGGTCAATATTTGTTACATTATCGGTATTAACCGATAATGTAACAACAATCAAGTTAGTGTAGTACATTTTTACTACACTATCGGTCAATTTCTGTTACATTATCGGTTAGTGATACAGTATCGGTCAATTTGTGTGACATTATCGGTTGGTGATAATATCCGTTGGTTACTACATTATCAGTTGTAACACAGCTACGCCATAGCCCGCTATCTCCAGACACCCGGTGTCACAGTCTCACTTCTCCGGCGTGTTAGCTTCTTCGGGTGGATTCGGCAGACAGTTGAGCACGCTACATGATCATGTGCTTACTTTTCCTCGGGCTGTATTCTGAAGTCTACCTAGCCAATTAATAACACAGTGAGGGACACCCAAGAATGTGTTATGTAACACTTCCTGTGAGTCAAGTCATTCCATGGTCTTGCAAGCATTCTGATTTGTGTTTCCATGCAGCGTCATGCATGTGTGTGTGTTCATGGAGGAATAATTAAGAACGAACTCCTTGGTTCGTGTTCCTGGTCCATTTTGTCTTTTTTTTTTTGGCAACCATGCGGCTTAAAATTTCAAGTCTTTTTTTGGTTATTGGGAGTTATATTTTGCGCGCCACGAAAATTCTGGATTCGGTCACTGGTACCCTGCAACCATGCATACAAATATCCTAAGATATTACGTGCACCAGTACAACCCCGAAGAACTCAGCACACAAATAAAGTTGACGAAAATGTACACCACTGCGCAATTGTGTGCATGCGTGTTGAAGCGAAATTCCCCTTTCCGGAGAAGCTAGCACGCCGGAGCTAGAAGTGAGACCGTGACACCGGCACTCAACACCTAAAACAGCTATAGACACTCAACCAGCTAGTATCTCACCTATCAACGATCACCTTCTAAAAACTATACCTATGGTGCGCTAAACCTATGAGAATTATTAACCAATCACGTACGCGCAGCAGCTCACGGAGCTCCCAAGCTCCGCCCAGTCACTAACACACAGTGATTAAGCGTTAGTGCTATGGTATGACGTCGCAAATAAACACTTTCCGCCACAAAGTACCGACCATGGCAGAGAATGTCCCCATACTCTAAAGCCATAATACAAAAAAGGAAAGTGTGACAACATCTTAACTTCTTATAAATAATTCAATATAAAATTAAAGCTTATTTTCATCTTTAAAACTCAAAAGAAAACATAAGGCTTAACTTCTTTACAATAAAAAAAAACATAAGAGGATCGAGGCTGATATCAAAGTTCATAAAATATGCACAAGATTCTTATACACGGTACAAGGCGACGAACATCCACGTACATGTACAACTTCACCAAGATTTTGCAAATTAAATATTCACAAGATCTCACAGGGAATTATCGCAAAGAATCTGAATCAAAATTTTGCTCATTAAATATTCAAAAGAAATAAGGAAATTATACTCGTCTGGATCAAATTTTAGTTCATTAAATATTCACAAGAAATGTAGGGGAAAATTTGCACTGATTTTAAGAAAATTGAGGATAATCTTAGACTGATGAAATGTACACTAAATTAATGGCAAGATTTTCGCAAATCGAAATTTTACACGATTTAACTGGGATTAATTTTGCAGAGTTTAAACAACGGATTTTTCAATTATACCTCTCAACCATGCCGTCCGATTTCGGATTATAAGCGGTTGTCCGAGTTTTCGAAATGCCGAGAATTTGGCACATTTTCCCTGAACACTTCTGACTCAAAAGTTTGTGCCCTGATCAGAGTGAAGTTCTTGGGGCAATTCAAATCGTCAGACAAACTCAGTCACCAAAGTGTGTGCGACTGTAACTGCAGTAGTGTCAGGAAGCGGAAATGCTTCCATCCACTTAGTGCAGTAGTCGCCAACCATCAACACCCAACGATTACCATTATCCGCGATGAGCAATGGCCCAAGCAAGTCTATTACTCCTCGCTCCAGACACCCGGCACTCAACACCTAAAACAGCTGAGCCCCAAAACTAGACACTCAACCAGCTAACAACGATCACCTAAACCACAACTGTAACAATCAGTCCCAAAACAATCCTAAACCGTGCCTTTGAAAATCAGAGCGCGCGATCGCCAAGGCACGACCTATAGACCTTTCTGCGCTTGGTTGGCAAACTGTATTTTTGCCAACCATGGCCTGCAAAACTATGGAAGGTCCAACACTGCAAAAATGGAGAAGAGTTATTACAGATCACTAAAATATTATTTGATACTTGAAGATACAACATTTTCAACAAAGCTACAAAATCATTCGTACTACGCCTTTTTACTATGTGTTGATGGTGTAATGAGGACTCTTTTGGGAAAAATATGTTGCCAACCACGGCTTCAATTTATGCGCCTACGGCAGCCCATACAAAATGGCGCCAATGTTTACAAACAAAAGAAAGGCCTATACATGTATCCCAGGTACGTGTAGACGCTATGGTTTACAAACCATGTACATGTACTGACCCTATGGCGCACTAAACCTATGAGAATTATTAACCAATCACGTACGCGCAGCAGCTCACGGAGCTCCCAAGCTCCGCCCAGTCACTAACACACAGTGATTAAGCGTTAGTGCTATGGTATGACGTCACAAATAAACACTTTCCGCCACAAAAGCAACATCCTCATTTTGATCGCGACCTCATCTTTTTTTAAGACCAGGTAGAAAAATAAACTAGTTTAGTCCCCGCCTGCTTCCCTTTTTTGCCACCGGCCTCGTTTTTATTTTTTAAACATAATTATATTTGCTATATCTTTGTCTTTGTACTTGTGTCCAGCTAAGTTGAAGCTATGTTTACAAAAGTTCAAACTCTGGTAGAAAAAGTAACGGCTCCTGTGGACACAAAACTATCAGCAAAAGAGTCGGGGAAATGGAAGAATCAATTCGCCATCCTGGGAAATCCGGCATTTTGTGAGACAAAAAAGACCGCTTCCTTCCATTTCCCAAAGAGCCCGGACAAGAAACTATAGTTTTAATTTGTGTTTTGGTTTTCCAAATCTTACCGGAACTTGCCGACCTCAGAGTGAACGAAGTCTCCTGCCTGGCTTCGACATCAGCGGAGGACACCTGCAGTACCGCTGATACAGTGGTGTGCTGTGGATCAGGGCTACACGTAGTGTGAGTATCAGCAATGACCTGCTGTGCAGTAAGGCAGACGATACACATCAATGCCAACATTGATGCCATGTCTAACTAAAATGCTGAGTTATACTTGCGTCAAAAATCCGCCTATCGCTCTTCCAGTTGTGAATCAACTTCTACTAGTTACTGCGCCGGTATTATATAGAGGCTGTGCGTCGTGTTCGTCTTTTTATTCCCAAGTTCGATTCAAGTTGTTACCTGGAACTTGCTGCAAGCATACCAATTGTTGTTCGCACGTCCGTTTCAACAGGTAAACATGATCTTCACTCAATTCTGTGGCGAATCAACTTTTTTTCAAAGTGGATGGCTTAAAGTGATTGCTTCTTTTCAATTTTTTTAACGACTGTTTTGCCCAGAAAATTTCTGCGAACTTCAACAGAATCTTCTATAGTGGATGGCTTGGTGATACTGTTCTTTTCAAAAAAAAAAAGAAGGGGTGGCTTTGTGATGTTTTCTTCAAATTACTTTTGATCGATCGGTTCGATTGTATGGAAAGGCAGGTGGCAGCTATGCACAATTTTCACCTGGAGGGGTACCCATTGTCGCTCGCAGATCCGTTTGTGAGGTGACCATTCATTCAAGTAGAAGGTGAAAGAGATTTTCAATGGTTTGGAGCTTAATTCAACACAATACAGATCCCAAAATAAATATTTGTTGTATGGGACGACGTTTGCCAGCTAAAAGGAAGGGGTGGTTAGCCAACTTCAAATTTACTCTAAAGACGGGAAAAATAAGCGGTAGTTTCGGGAAAACCCCAAGTAGTAGATTTTTCAATTGCTATTTATTCAAAAGTTGGTTAATTATGAATGAGATATGGAATGCCACCAAAAAAGACCAACACAAGTTATGGAATAGTCCAGTTTATTCAACATATTTTGAACTACTTGCAGCCTGACAATAGAGCCTGAAACTTCACCCCTGGTGAAAATTCTAAAATGTGCAATTGCTTTTGGCACATTGATTTCTTGAGCAAATCATCCTCGAACAATGCCGTTGTAAAGTTGTTAGGCCTACTAGCATCTCAATTTTATGGACACTGAAATCGTCTGCCCTCACTAAAAATCTAAAATACGTGTGGACTAGTGGACAAAGATGAACATTTAAGAAATAATTATGCGGTGGTCATTGGCTGAACTTGAAGGACTCTGAACTTGAAGGACTCATTAGCATTTACACACAAAAAAGAAGAAAAAAACTGCTGATAACTGCATTCAAGCTACCCCGACTAAAGCTAGAACCCGTCGGCTGTAGGTAGTTAAACCTTCGCGTCGTTTTACATGTACATGGGCCAAATTCTTTGGCTCTGCTTACCGTAAGCGAAAAATACCTGCCTACTGTCTAACAGATAAATTCCGTGCTTACGGTGAGCGTATTTCACGGGTTAGCGAGGAATGTTGGCTTCTGGGCATGCGTAAATCCCGTAACTAGGGATTCTGTGCTTACAAGGTTGGCACAGAATTTTTCTGCTAGCGCGGTTCGCACAAAATGGTGATTCGTAAGCACGGAATTCTTTGGTTAGCAGAAAAATGAAATTGGGCCCTGTTCATTCTCTGCACGTATGCACTTGTGCACCAGTTAGGAGCAGACCTACTGGACCAAAAGATTCTGGAATCGGGCAGACGACAGATGGCGCCATCGCACCCGTTGATCAACCGAAAACAATAACACATAATTTCCAAAAGTTACGACCTAAACTCATGACAATTCCTGAAAACATTAAATGTGCATTTTACAATCATATTATGAGCTGAGATTGTCCAAATGTAAAAATTATTCTGCACAAAAAAAAAGAGATTTTAGGAGAGAAAAAAAAGATTTTCCCCGAAAATGTATCAAACCATGCGTGAATCAATCCAATTTAAAAAAATATTTCTCCAGTTTTCCTGATGGACAAATTAAAGACATTGCCATGTAGATAAAGAATAGATGAAAATGATGATACCATTTCCAAGTAATTGCGAATAGGACAGTTCAAGACGTATCCGCCGAAGTGTATACGTTTTTTTCCCCCGCTGACCCATATAGGGCAGCGTAATTTTCCGCATTGTGCAAGCCGAGCCTGCAGTGCTCCATGTGGACGGCCCAACATGACCGTCCGTGCATGGTGACTTCGTATTTGGCGGCGCGCGGTTCGTACATGTAAACGTACGGTTGGAAGCTTCAAAAACAATACCCACCTAAGAAACGAAAACCTATTCGCAGTAACTCGTAAATCCTGTAATAATATTTTTTCATATCTCATTCATATGCTGTGATAAGTGGCATGTTCGGGGAAACTGGAGAACATTAAAATAAAAATCCCAACTTAAGTTGGCCCTTTTTGCCGATGACTGCATGGAAATGGAAAGCAAACAACGATCTAACAGGACATTTTCTAATGTCGAATTTTTATCACAAAAAAATGGCGAAGAAAATAAAAACGAACTCATTTCATTTCATCCGGTGGCATGTATTTCACTTTATATCTAGCAAAATTAACAGGATCTTTTCAGATGAAAATTGGTGTGTCTTTCCTCTCCGCGGCGCTGCCATTTCGACAGTCACTGGCATTAGCCGAGATTTTGGCGCATGCACAATCAAAATCTTGAACCCGAAATTCCTTAGCGCGCACGAGTAAGACGCTTAAGAGTCATTTCGTCTTGGGATATTTTGGGCCATGTTTGGGGCTGAATTTTTAAAAGGCCATCAAGCCAAAATGCAGAATAATTTCACTTAACTACTTATACCACTGCAAAGCACTGTCCTTACCTTTCCTGGAAAAAATGCAAAACCGATTTTGGAATACCTGCTGGTATTGCTTTTAGATCCTTCAAAACAGCTTGATTTTTTTAACTTTCAACATTGAAATTTTTACCCCAATTTACCCTTAAAAATCAACTAAACATATTCAAATATCATATCATCATTATAGTAGCACCATATCATTGAAGGTCAAACCTTAAATTGATTTAGGAATAAACAGGATTTGCCACTGTTGGTAATCGGCCGTTACTAGGTCCTTCTACGCTACGCAAGTGAAGGAGTTGATACCCTCGACGCAGTGGCACCCGCTAGAGGGCATGTGGCGGTAGCTCACTATTCGTCTTCTGTAACAGGAAAAACAAAGCGGAATTCTTTTAGAAACTATTGCTTATTTTGGTGTACTTTAACACACGTCAATTGAACATGCTAGTGCAATAATGCTGATGTGTATTGTATGTATGCATACAGGGGCGTCAATTGCTTCTCAAAAGGGTGTGCGTGTACAAACACTGCCTTGTGGGGTACCGGAACAATGGGAGGTACCCTACAAGGAATGCCCACCGACTTGCGGGGTACCATTGTGGTACCCCACAAGTTTTTCACGAAGTAGATATATGGATTTTACTCAAAAACTAGGAATTTTCAAGGTGGGTTGATTCGTCGCAAATGGAAGAGTTTAAGAAAAAGGATAATAAGTCCGAATTTCAGCCCAGGAAATTAACTATGGTTAAAATAAGAGCATTTTGACATAAGTGTGCGACGTTGCAAAATTTAAGTACACGAGAACAAAGGAAGTACCCCACTTCTATGCCTATGTATGTGTGGGTGTGTGTGTGTGTGGGGGGGGGGGGGGGCATACCTTGATCAGAACTAATGCGAGCGCGAAGAGCAAAGCCAGCTTACGGCGTGGAGTTCGGGGCCCGCTTCAAGGCCCCGAAAAAAAATGATTGTAGACGCTCTCTGTGATGTGATCTGAGGCAATTTCTGACCACATATTTTTTTTAAGCAAAAGTTAATCATTTAAACATCACTTATCCAGGTTAGAGTCATTGAATCTGCTAATGTGATTCTAGATTTGCTTGAGTAACTTCAGCTCCAATGCTCATCAGGAATTTGACATACAGAGCTGGAGCTAAAACTACATTGACGCCCATGCATAACGAAAATAGGATTTTTGGGAAATTTAGTTGAAAGTTAGAACGTTTGCCTTTTTGTGATACAACGTATAATGACTAGCGTGAAAACTTAATGAATGCACGGATATAAGGAATATTTAGTTGTACATTTCATCAGATTTGGAGCATATTAAATGGATTGCAGATTTTGGACATATGTGACATGGTGTGTCAAAACCATGCAGAGTTTGCAGAGCATCAATAGAGAGAATCATCCTCCCAATTAACATGGGGTAATTTTCAGCGATTTTCAGATTTTTTTTCTATAGTTGATGCTAATAATGTTTACAAATAATGTTCCATAACAGTTTCAAACTTGATTTTCATCGACAAAGTCTATTTTAGGGAGGCAAGTTATTTCACAAAATGCCGCCTTGTTCAAGATTTTGTTCTCAAATGACGCGAAATTAATTAGCGTGACATTTCGGAGAGTCCGATTTCAAAATTTAATTACCTTGTTCTAGAATATCCAATTTAAAAAAAAAGCGCATGGTTTATAGCTTTATTATATATTACTAATATTGCAATAACTGAAAATTGACTTGTTGCCCAAAGTGCTTGATTTTGACATACCTTGTCACATATAATCATTTTTTTTTAAATCTGAATTGCACTTCTTTACTACAAAATATGTACTTTTTGGGGGTTAAGCAGTCTCAGGTTAGGCATAATATTTGAGTTTAACTATTTAATAGCAGGGTGTGATTGTTTGTTGACAAAACAGCTATCCTTAAACAAGGGCGGATCCAGAACACAATTTTTGGGGGGGCCAAAACAAATTTTGGTCCCCCCAAAAAGTGGGTCTAAAAAATTACGGCGTGGGGTTCGGGGCCCGCTAGGGCCCCGAAAATTTTTTGGATTCTAGATGCTCTGTGGTGCGATCTGAGGCAATTTCTGACCACTTTAACCAATTTTTTTGAGGAAAAGATGGTGGTGTACTCATTGCCTGCCTTTATTGCGATGTCACATTAAAAAAAAAAAAATTGGTTTCGTTTTGGGGGGGGGCCATGGCCCCCTTTGGCCCCCCCCCCTGGATCCGCCCTTGTCCTTAAAACAGCAACTAATGAACTGAGAGTTAGGCTGTTTTCACAAAAAATAAAAACGTGGACGATTGAGCACTGATATTTGTGATATTTCGTTAAGAAATTGGGAAAAAAATATACAGGTGTTACTTTTTTGTCTGATTACAGCAAAACAGTCGACCATCGTGAGGTATAGCATTTACTGACACATTTTCTAAACGATTGTTTACGTTGCTTCCAAAACACGCGCAGTACGCATCAATCCAGTGCATTATGGATAAATCCAATATCCACGCTTGCTGTTACATAATACGTCGATAGAGAGATAAGCTGGAAGCAATTATTTTTTGCAACCAAGTATAGTCAATAACAATAATGCGCATGCGTCAGTTGGTAAGGGAATGGTTCTCGGACCTCCCTTTTATAAAAAATCATCCAGAGCCATGAATGAGAAGAAAAGGCTGAATTTTATTTGGTCGATCATCAGGAGTTGATGAAACACAATTAAAGGAACAAAATTCAACCTGGTGCCTCCAGCATCAGCAATTTGATTTAGGCCTAACGCACACACCACAGCGAGACCACGCAGACCATCGTGGGAATATAAGCTATAAGAACTTATTCCGAATCAGCAGGTGACACGTTTAGTTGTTCAAGTGATATGTTTCACGCATGCGCATCATGGTCATTGACTATACTTGGTTGCATAAAAAAAATGCAACGTGTGAAGTGTTTGTAGCCTTAAAATGGCATCGTTAGAGCGCCCTCGTTTTCTCAAAATATGGCCTATTGGTTAATACCTCTGAAGTACAACAGCAGGCTGTTGGACGGTATTGGCGCTTGGCAGTAGCTGTCGTACAGCAGATCCACACCGAACACGTTTTCTGGACCGTACGCGGTGTCGTGACCCTGGAGGCACATGCCGTGGCCCAGACTCAGTGACGTGTAACAGTCGCAATTGTCGTCGTCAATTTGTAGAGATTTGACGCCGTGCTCCTCGCGGTAGTGGAAACTGTCCTGTGCTTGAGCAGGGGCCGTTCCTGAAAAGTAGAAGTTCCCAACAATAATAAGCTCCAAAGGTTTGTTTTCTAATTCTGTAGACGTATCACAGAAGGAGTTCATTGAGTGAATTGGATAGAAATAAAAGTGTTTAAATATGGTATTCATGAAGCGACCCCTGACCTGGTGGCGTAACAAACTTCTCCCTGAGAGTGCAATCTACCACCTTATAAGGTCATTTTTATTGACATAAACTATGACTCTTTCTGTGCCACGGAGGAGGATCAGAGTGGGAGTCTAGGTGCAAAACCTTTGGTTGCTCCCCTGGCATTTCACACAAGTTGATAGTATGTGCGTAGTACAGGGTGGCAGCTAATTTTACTTCCCTGGCGCATTGTAACATTGACCAATGAAACAAGTGCGTTTGGTCCTAAATATGTATGAGGTTTACAAATAATCTATAACGCAATTCTTAGGCCTACCAGCCACAGTAGTCGGATTCCAGACGTCTCCATTTTTTACTGTGCTTTCCTGGTGATCGTGGAAGGCCTGCCACACAGCGTGTGCTACGTCATTATCAGGATTGAACGCCCACCTTGGGGAAAATAAAATCAGATAGCGAACTGAATCATCCCACACATACAGTTTGCAAATCTAGCACCATTTATTATTAGCCTTTTTGAAATTCGGCAGACACAGTCGGAGGGCGCTATTTGACTCGGTACATTGCGATAACGTCGCAGGCAAGTAAATAGGCTCGAAATTGCCCACGCCATACGAACCTGTATACGTTCCCAGCTGAATCTCTGCCCAGCATCTCTGCCGAGGATTCCTGTAGTTCTTGAGGCAGCCGACTGAAACAATAGAGGGCGCTAGCCTCACAGTCGCCATATTCCTCTGTAATTGAAAATAGAATGCGACAGTGACACGTAGGAGGATGTTGCCGAAACACAAGGTCAAAAGCGATTCAAGTTGTGCATATAGGTGATTGTCCTTTGAATTAACACAATGCCTTTGCGCAAATGTCATTAAAAACATAGTCATGGACATGAACACGGACACGGACACGGGTATGGAAAGGACACGGACATGGACATAGACATGGAAATGGACAGCTACCTGGACGCGATATTTTTTTTCCATACCATATAATCATTCGTTATGGGCGTATATCGAAGCACGTTGAGTTGCAAATCGGGTTCTTAGACGGCCATATTAAATTGAAAGCAAGTTAAAAACTTATTTTTTGGAACTTGCGAAGAGAAACGAAAGATATCACATAAAGTTAATCACAACTTCATACCAGTCTGCTCTGATGAATAATTAAAATTTGTGATTGAATTATGCGCTAATTTTTTAAGCCACAATTTAAAACAATTGAAAGTGAGGTTAGAATGCATAAATAGTCTGGCACCATACTATTCAACAGTTCACAATTTATAACATGCATTCAGGGAACACAACATGAATGGCTTCCTCGTAATGGCTTCCTAATAAGGTCCATAGCGCCCTACATGTAATTCTCTATATAATAGTGACTGTGTGGTATTGGAAAACAATCGCGACCTGAACATGGCCATAGACATGCATGGGCATGGACATGGGCGTGGACATGGTAATGGCATGCACATTGACATGGGCATGGGCATGGACATTGACACGGGCATGGGCATGGACATTGACACGGGCATAGGCAAGGACATGGTAATTGGCATTGACATGGGCGTGGACATGGTAATGGCATGGACATTGACATGGGCATGGGCATGGACATTGACACGGGCATAGGCATGGACATGGTAATTGACATTGACATGGGCGTGGACAAGGTAATGGGCATGGACATTGACATGGGCATGGACAATGACATGGGCATGGACACTGACACGGGTATGTGCATGGACTTTGAAATGGGCATGTACATAGTCATGAACATAGAAGTGGAAGTGCACAGGGACATGAACATGGGCATGAAGATGGACATGAACATAGAGATGGATCTGGGAATGGGCATGAAAATGAACAAAGAAACGGACGTGAACACGTACATGAACATGAACGCGGACATGTACATGAACATGGACAAAGTAGATATGGACATGGACATGGGCATGAACATTTAACAAATGTTTACGGTTTTACCTTGCAATACATCAGTCACAACATCTGTACCCGGCCAAACGGTACCAGTCCACCACCAGAACAACCTCCAACGTGCTCCATCCTCGTTGATCACAGGGTAATCGGAAGATGCTACCAACATAATTATAAACATATATTTTTTCAAGTGTAAAACCTCTTTTAGATACCAAACATATTTCCAAACACTCTGTTGTACCCACTTTGTTGTACCCACTCTTTTTCACGTTTATGTGCTTTGTTCAGGCATATTATGAAAGCCTTTTATTAGTACCATATCAAGGCCTTTCTTAAAAGAAATAAACTATCAATAAACAACTTCATGGAAAAGCCAGTTGTTTTGTCCGCTGTGGACAATCAACATAATTCTAGTTGGTTGTTGTGTTTGTATAAATTTATTGCAGTTAAGGTTGCACTTATTCATACCTGGTGCAGTCGTTGTAGGCGGGGCAGTTGTAGTCAGCTCTGTTGAAGAAAATAACATGTCACACATGTACAAAATCAACATTAAATTTTCAGAAAAGACATAACACAAAAAAACAACATTTAGATCCCTAAAAAAATGTCCTGCACACAGTTTACCGGATGATGATAAAACTATGTGTTAACTTCAAACCTGGTCCAAAGATGTGACAAATGTTGTGACGTCATCAGGAATCAAATAACTAATGATTTAAGGTCAACATTTGACAAATTACTTAGACATTTAGCTTTACAAAGGAATGAAGCAGTGTAATCATGTTTTTTGGGTAAAGTTCTAGACATTGCCTTAGGCCAATTCAACGTCATCATGGGTCTCGTGACGTAATCTTAAAGGTGCATAATTAAAAGTATTATAGCTAGAGAACAAGAAGGCCAGTGTGCTTAAACTCTGTACATACATATTCAGGCTTGTGTCGTAAATACAAATTGAGGTCATGTCATGATGACGTCATCATGTGATTATTATTGTTGTTTTTTTGCTTTTTTTCTCCATCTTATTTACGAACGAAAGATGCTGAATTCCAAATTCGTTTATACTAAGAGGTTTGGAGGGTCACAGATATATGCACACATTTTTGAGAAATGTGTTAGTGTTCCATTAGCAAGTGTTCCATTTTTCAATTTTGATCTTTCTCTATAGTCTTTTGAATAATTTAGAAATGAAAAAATGATACAATGAAATAAATTGTAAATTAAAAGGCCTTCCTTCAAAATTCAACTACCAATAAACAACTTAGCGGAAAAGCCAGTTGTATTGTCCACTCCGGACAATCAACAATTCGATTTTTTGCTCTTTTTTACTGACTTACCCTCAACCGGGGAGTCGGTGGCGTCGGCAGCGCATGGTGCTTTGGTGCACAGTTCAGCTACAACGGTCTTTAGTTCTTCCACTGTTTGTTGCAGAGATCGCAGTATTTCCACGACGTCGGAGTCGTGGTTCGCGTTGCCTGAACAAGACTGTGTGGTGTTCAAAATCGGTTGCGCTGTCGCAGAAAGAGAAATTTTAAATTTTAGGACCTGCAGAAGATGACTAGTCTTGTCACTCAGCAGTTTAGCCATTGTTCTTACCATAGGGGCGGGGAGGGGGTGGGTGGGTGTTACATTGGGGCCCCAAATTTCTGTTAAAAATCCGTTATCCATGGTCACTTTAAGGACAAACACATTTCCAGGGGTCGACTTTTTTGTGTGGTTGGTGCCCTACCCCCTTCACTGCAGCGCTGCTGAGATAATGTGAATTTACAATCAACGTATTATTATAAAAAAAAAAAAAAACAATCCGTTTTCGTGTACAACATGTTGTAGTCAGTATTCAAAAGTCCACACGAGTTTTTTTTTGTACATGTGAATATGCCTACACTAAAATTTGATCTCAAACTGTATTGGCCTACTACTTTTGAACAGTTAAACCTGTTATCGTCATTCTGAAGGCCAATCATACACCATTTCATCTTAGGCCTACACATAGATCATTGTATTGTTGTCTTTTGATGGGTTTTGATTGACATTGATGATTTTTTGGATGATCTTAATCAAGAGCCTTTAAGGGCCGAGCAGGTTTTCAAACGATAATAGGCCTATGATTTTACTTAAAATATTTGATCTTCTTAAACTTTGCTGGTACATACGGATTTAGCATGCAACTCTGAAGGCCACGTTTTACGAAGTATAGGCCCGTACTTCGAGATAAGCAACTTCGTCATTTTAATTTTTTGTTTTGGTTTTCCAAATCTTACCTGCACTTGCCGACCTCAGAGTGAACGAAGTCTCCTGCCTGGCTTCGACATCAGCGGAGGACACCTGCAGTACCGCTGATACAGTGGTGTGCTGTGGATCAGGGCTACACGTACTGTGAGTATCAGCAATGACTTGCTGTGCAGTAAGACAGACGATACACATCAATGCCAAACTTGATGCCATGTCTATAAAATGCTTACGTACGTACGTCAAAAATCTGCCAATCGTTCTTCCAATTGTGAATCAACTTCTACTGATAATGTTGCTGCGCCGGTCTGATACAGAGGCCTGGAAAGCGTCGTGTTGTGCGTCAATTTTGTTTTTGTTTTGAACGACCTTTTCGCTATCAAGGTCACTTTCACTCGGCATTCAAGTTGTTACTTCGAACTTTCTGCAAGTACCCGTTGCTTGCACATCCGTTTAACAGGTCAACAGGATCTTCCATTGCGAAATGAACATTTTTCAAAGTGGATGGCTTATATATATTGCTTCCTTTCACTCATTTACGACTGCTTTTGTCAAGGACGCGATTTAATACGTTTAACAGGATCTCCCATTCTATGACGAGTCAACTTTTTCAAAGGGTGCACTGCAAAAACTGTGTCTATCAATTAAACACCTTTCTAAACACTTTCTTGATATCAGTTTGCAAACGTGTTTAAGTACTCAACATGTTTAGATTAAGGATGGATTGTGTTTTCTAGCTATTGGACAGTGATGTTTGGGAATTGGACACATGCTGTTTTATATGGTGGCTTTTAAAGGGACATCGCACATATATATTGACGCCAATATTGACGCCAATATTCACGACATGGACCCAAGTCGCAAATATTGACGCCAATATTCACGACATGGATCCAAGTCGCAAATATTGACGCCAATATTGACGCCAATATTCACGACATGGACCCAAGTCGCAAATATTGACGCCAATATTGACGCCAATGTTCACGACATGGTCTCCAAGTCGCAAATATTGACGCCAATATTGACGCCAATATTCACATGGTCTCCAAGTCGCAAATATTGACGCCAGTATTCACGACATGGTCTCCATGAGAATTATGAGACCCATTATGTAGCACCTTTATAAGGATTTACAAGGTGCTGCCGCGCATATTGCAGCCACTGCCATAAACACTGGTGCCAAGCGTCAAGTGTAACTGGGTTCTTTAACGTGCGTTACACAACACACGGGACATACGGCTTTGCGTCCCATCCGAAGGACGAAGCAATAATGATAAAGTGCCTTGCTCAAGAGCACAAGCACCATGTTCCCACGGTCAGGATTCGAACCCATGTACCACGGCACACCGTATGGACCACAGCGCCCCATATAGGTGACTAAATTGTCTTTTAGGATTATACAATTTATTTAGAATAAACTTGAGGGACTAATTAGCATTTACACACAAAATGAAAAATCTAAAATGACCTCTCATGAGAACTGCATATCTAGAAATCATCATTTAGCCCGACTAAATCTAGAAATCGTCGGCTGTAGGTGGGTAAATCTTTGCGTCATGACATATTTTCGTTAAAAAAAAGTGAATGGACAAGGAGAACTAGGAACAAAAATGGCGGATTCGAAAGGTCGAAAGAAAAATTTGTTTTTACCCATCTCCAACTGAAGTGAATGATCATTTAAAAAAACATGTATACATGTAGTTTTCAAAGGATTGCAAACGCTAGTCTGGTTCCCAGACCTGACAATAATTATTCCCGACGCTCACGTCTAAACTGTAGGTCAAGCAGCCTTCGTGGCTAAAAATAAACATGACGACATTGACGGCCCTTGTTCAAAGCTCGGCTTCGTTTCCGACCTCGCGTTATCACTCATAGCTTTTAATGCTCCGATCAAATTTTCAAATAAATCACTTGCTGCATAATATCATACAGTTATGATAATGCAGTTTGATATTTCTGTAAGAAAATGTTGACTAATGTTGACCTGGATTCTTCAAAAGTGCCTAAATAGCACTGTTAGCAGGCGGAGCCGAATGGAGACCACGCCGAGTTTTGGAAAATCCCGGTAACGGTCGTCAAATTCAAAACAATTCAATTCAAAATAGCAGCAAAAAGTTCGCCCCTCGTATACAAAATAAAATCGTCGTTGAATTTCAAGTTTCTCAATGAAAGCAATGATTATTAATTATCAAATCATTTTCGTTTTTAATAAGCAATTAGCAGTTAATAAAACTTATATTATACTCGAAAATACTCGGGCGCTATCCGATTGTCGACGAAATGCATTCGGCAAACTACGGACATTTTCGGAAAAAGGAGGAATTCCTCCCGTTTTAGTCACGTGACGTATAATGTAATACAATGTATTACTGATGACGGCTACCTGACCTAAGATTCATCAGGAAAAGTCAGAATCTTCTGGTCTGGGAACCAGACTATGCAAATGCCCACAATATAATAAGTAGTTTATGAAACACACAAAAGGAGAAAAAAATAAGAAAAAATAAAAAGACATTTATGAAATACATCACAAAAGGAGAGAAAAAAATAAAAGCAAGGACTTGTAAGCAAAAAAAGGGGAAACAGGTTGTAACCGGCCATAAAATTCTGTAATTTGAAGATCTAGGTTTCTGATATTCACATCCTAGTTGATCGTTTCCCTTATGACCTGGAATTATCAGTTGGTTCCGGGTTCACCGACTGGGCCAAGGATATTCGTTGTTGCCTTTGCCCGTATGGATCTGGGCCAGTGTCATATTATGAAATCGGGACTGCAGACTCATCGATTGTGTGCGCATCATTGAACATAATTAGGACAGACTGCGTTTTAGGTTAAAGAAGCCAAATAGTTAATATCACAACGTCCTCTTTTAAGGAAGTAAGAAGCTTTCTAGCTAACTCTGTCATATTTAGTGTTCAAGAAAGAATTAAGCGTTATAAATGTATTATTCTGTTCATAAACGTTGACATAAATAGCCGCTGTGATTGAGACTGATATCGACAGTGCAAAATCGTCAAATTTTAATCAATTAAATAGTTACTTGTTTCGTTAGTGCGCTTACCACAATCGTGCAGAGCATTTGAAATGTCAAGTCAATTAAACCATTCTTTTCGTTTCCTGAATTTGACAACGCGTACATTATGAATTCAAGTAAATAAAAAAACTTATTTAGTTTGTCGATTCCTATAATTGTGATTGTGAAAGCAACTTTTTGATGTCATCTTTCCTTCTTTCACTTTGAATCAACATGTTTCGTAGTTGAACAATATGGCGGGCATTTAGTGACATTTTATTACTATTGTTGTTAGCTGCGAACACGGTAGCTCTACCAAATAATCCTCATGTCCCTAGCCCTCCGTTAGTAGGTTGGTTCGTTAGTTAGTTAGTAACAGACGTCAGCAACAGCTTTGCGTGACGAATTTTCACCCTGTCCCTGAATTAGGCCCTGCACATATATCAACCGTCCGCGTGCCTCGATCGGTTGTTGTGACACTTTACATGTAAAATGTATCCACTGACCGCCTACCAATATTCATTGCAGTTATGGACAATATTGGGCCACACTGGAGTCAAAGACCGATTTTTTTTTTTTTTTTTGGGGGGGGGGGGGGGGGGGGCTCCGCGCGCACAACAACGGCCAGAAAAGGAGAGTTGCATGGGGTGCATGACCACGACTGGTTCCCGGTTCATCCACTGCGTTTCGAATGATCCAAAGGTATTGGGGGCGGGCATTAGTCTAGCTGCGAGACCATACGGCTTAGCTTTGTACACATTCAGGATAAATAAGTCGTGCATACTTTGCGCGCGAACCAGTCCCGTACGCACACGCTGTGTCCCGTCCAGGTCCAAAAACACGCCCTTCTTGTTAGCGCACGGAGCTCATAGAGCGCCCTACTTTAATATCTGCGAATTTTTATTTTTTTTAATTATTTTTTTGGTGATGTCCTTTCAGCACCACCATAGTTATCTTCGCCGATCCATCCGATCAGTTCCTACCCAGACTTCACTCTAGCGAACCGCAGCAGAAACCGAAAAGGGCACCAGTCTATAAACGTAGTGTTGGAGACGGTCAATAAACGAATTGTACTTTCACATTGAAAAAGCGCAGCGTCTTGCATGTATTGTGTGCCGCATGCGCGCAGTAAGGGCTTGTGGGAGGAATCGTTCCACTCTGAGGACATTTCCAAGAGGGAGGATGGTTTGTTACTTCTACTTCTAGAAACAAGAGGTAACCGTAGTCCGAGTAAATCGGCCCTTACAATTTTAATGACATCACTTAAAGCTATAGTCCATCATTTGCAGCTATCCGAAAAGTAACTGGCGAAATTATTGTTGAAAAACATACTTGGTTGAAAGATAGTAGTAAGGGGACTATTACTAAACTCTCTGTGAAATTTAGCCCCACTCACTAGTGTGGCCGTCGGTATGCTGCGCTGAACCAAAGGCCACACACCGTGGTAACGCGCACTACTGAGGACGTTTTCATAAAATCTGGGCAGTGGATATTTTGCCGGAGACGGCAAACCTTTAGTAAACGTTAGTTTGCCGGATATGCACTGAATACTCCTAGAACTATGAGGCTCCACGTAGTGGAGCCTCATAGGTTCAGAAGCCCGCAAAATTGTTGTCAGCACAAAACACTAATTAAGTACAAAAACGTCCATCCCAAGCAGGCCGTTTTCCACAGAACCGCTGCACAGTTTGCCCCTAAACTCCATACAATACCTCATGACATACTCACGTTATGTGCACCCAACAAACATCGGTGGATTCTGTCTGTTTTTCGGCAAAAATGATGAAAAATATGCCCTTTCCGCACTGAGCCAACCTAACACTTGAAACGAGCACGCGTGCAGAATGATCGCAGTTATTTTCGGTTCGATCGCTCGGAGCGCGCCGCGGGGGGTACGTACTTGCACTTGTACGCATGTGCATACTATCGTTCCGCTCCTACACCATACCCCCCGCGGCGCGCTCCGAGCGATCGAACCGAAAATGACTGCGATCATTCTGCACGCGTGCTCGTTTCAAGTGTTAGGTTGGCTCAGTGCAGAAAGGGCATATTTTTCATCATTTTTGCCGAAAAACAGACAGAATCCACCGATGTTTGTTGGGTGCACATAACGTGAGTATGTCATGAGGTATTGTATGGAGTTTAGGGGCAAACTGTGCAGCGGTTCTGTGGAAAACGGCCTGCTTGGGATGGACGTTTTTGTACTTAATTAGTGTTTTGTGCTGACAACAATTTTGCGGGCTTCTGAACCTATGAGGCTCCACTACGTGGAGCCTCGTAGTTCTAGGAGTATGCACTGAACATACGCAGTTACTGTTTTTTTGTACTTAAACATTTTCCGGTGACAAATTTTAGTCTGGCTCCATGCCAATATTATCGTTGTATTTTTGCATTAACAGGATGGGAATCAGACCATTTTATAATTTCGGACTTTATTCCTTTTTAAAAAAAATTCTCCAGAGCCACAAATCTGAAAAAGAAAAAGTAATACTCTGCAATAAAATGTTTGAGACATAATAAAATAATAAAAGAAGAATATTCTTATTTATTTGGGGATTGGAAAAAAAAAACTTAAAATTGTGGGGGGAGTCAGGATTCGAACTCGGGACATCCCACTCACTAGAGCTATTGCCTAACCACTGCACCAACTGTGCTACACAGCTTTGGTGGGAATTTAATACATGTTATAATTCAGCCCTATCTTAAAGAGTACAGCGCCCTCTGTTGATATGGATTGCCGCCGGCAAACCTTTAGTAAACGTTAGTTTGCCGGCGTTACCTCCGGCAAAATATACACTACCTAAAATCTGCGGTCCGTTTCTTACATTCTCAGTTTCTTACTTTCTTATGGTTGTATTCTATGATGTCTCACCTATCACTTCTGGGATGCTTAGATGTAATGATGTTCCATTTTCCGAGATATTCTTCAATCTTTCTGGAGCCCATATGCACTCGTGAAACGTCAAGTCGTAGCCTTGTTGCCATTTTGTGATTGGACAATGAACGACGTTCATTTGATGGTGTCTTCGTATCTCCAGTGCAAGTAGCTGCAAGCGCGGTCGCAAGTAGTGCTGCTTACGCACACGAATCCGCACTCAGTATATTGTAATACTTTCAGAATCATTTTAGTGACGGTAAATGAACATCATGTAAAGAAAATAAATTTCCAATTTTCCAATTGATCTATTATTACATCGTGAGATCGTTTAGACGGCATCCCCATAAATGCATGAAAGTGAATACGGAATTGGAGTGTTAAGTAATTCTTCGCATTATCAGTCCTTAAGATATTAGGGAGGTATTTTTTTTAAAATTAATACAATGATTGAAGAGAAAAGCAGGGATCAATTTAATACGCATAATATGTACATAAAATTAATAAATTTACATTCATAAAATAGTTTTTTAAAGAAAGCATGAATATAGATGAATAATATAAATTTCTTTTTAAAGAGAGAAGTAATTCTTCCATTCCCAAAGTTTATGCACAAAATTAATGTCCAACGAATCATTGCAGATAGCTTGCAATTTGTCCATTTAAATATCGAGATATATACACAGTAGGGTTTTGTGAAATGATTTTTCTTTTCCCCCTTTCTGTATCATTATGTGAACGAAATGTGTCACAGAAAACCTGCAGAATCTGGCCTTGTACGATGAACATGTACATGCGGCGCCCGTACGTGCACATGGTACCGTACGTACTTGCGTACATGTACTTCAACGTCGTTAATTGACCAGTCACAAAATGGCAACAAGGCTACGACTATTGCGCAGTCGTCTGGTGATGGCAGCCATTTTGAATGTGACAAGAGATGACCTCAAGCTGTGACGTCGCGTTATGCAAACTGCTTGTCAAGCAAGGGCGCGAGTTGCAAATGCGACGGCTGTTTCCTGTACCATGCATTTTTCGTCTGGGGGCCACGTGCACTGATCTCTATTCAGGATCTACGGCACAGGAAACAGCCGTCGCATTTGCAACTCGCGCCCTCGCTCGACAAGCAATTTGCATAACGCGACGTCACAGCTTGAGGTCATCTCTTGTCACATTCAAAATGGCTGCCATCACCAGACGTTTCACGAGTGCATATGGGCTCCAGAAAGATTGAAGAATATCTCGGAAAATGGAACATCATTACATCTAAGCATCCCAGAAGTGATAGGTGAAACATCATAGAATACAACCATAAGAAAGTAAGAAACTGAGAATGTAAGAAACGGACCGCAGATTTTATGAAAACGTCCTCAGTAGTGCGCGGTACCATGGTGTGTGGCCTTTGGTTCAGCGCAGCATACCGACGGCCACACTAGTGGGGCTATGTGAAATCATTCTTTCTGGCAAGCTGTCATTTTGAAGTAATCAACGAAAGAAGGCCCTTTCCAACGGTGCGTCTTAAGACGCACCGTAGGAAAATTTAGTAGTTCCTTTTGTTATTCGGTGAAGCGCGCGCAAGCATTGGCACGACGCACACGCAGTTGCTATAATTTGTCGGATCAGTGCGCGACATCGGGTATAGCTGCAATCGGCTCAGTGAGAACGTGTCTCGGACGCTGAATTCAGGCCCAATTCAAAACATGATTCAGCAACTTTTGATTTGAAATTGAAATCCTAGAAAGCTGTTTTTCTCGGAATATACAGCTGAAGCTGAACTGAAACCTCATCAGGTTAGTTGTTCAGTATCCTTCATTAGATTTTGAACACTTTTGTTGCTTCAAACGAACAAAATGCACAAATTACAAATGATGGACTATATCTTTAATGTAGATGTAGAACACTAACAACTAGGCCTAGGCCTATAGGCCTAACAATAACATGACTACAAGTTTTTAGTAAAATCACTCGGAAAAAAATGTTGGATAGTGGATATTTTGCCGGAGGTAATGCCGGCAAACTAACGTTTACTAAAGGTTTGCAGGTGGCAATCCATATCAACAGAGGGCGCTGTGCTCTTTAAGATACGGCTGAATTATAAGACGTATTAAATTCCCACCAAAAGTTGTGTAGCACATTTGGTGTAGGCCTAGTGGTTAAGCAACGGCTCTTGTGAGCGGGATGACCCGGGTTCGATCCCGATCCCTGCCACATTTCTAAAGGTTTTTTTTTCCCAAATAAATAAGGATATTCTTCTTTTATTATTTTAACATGTCTCAAACATTTTATTGCTATTAGTTTTACATTTTCCTTTTCAGATGTGTGGCTCTGGAGGATTTTTTAAAGGGAAATAGGCTAAAGTCCAAAATTATAAAATGGTCTGATTCCCATATTGTGAATACAAAGTTACAACGATGATATTGCCATTGGCATGGAGCCAGGCTAAAATTTGTCACCGGAAAATGTTTCAAGTACAAAAAAACACAGTAACTGCGCATGTTCAGTGCATATCCGGCAAACTAACATTTTCTAAAGGTTTGCCGTCTCTGGCAAAATATCCACTGCCAAAATGTTGCAACCTGACGCTGCTTTTTGCTTCATACCAACATCCCAAATGTCAAAAAAGGAGTTCTAGCGACCCAGTAAGTGGGACTAGCCTATAGGCCTATCAAGTCATCAATGAGAAAAAAAATGTCAGTCATTGCAAAAATGATGATAAAACATGAATCTGGGACTGAGATTGAGAAACATAATTAATGACAAATATGGCAGCTGGACAGCGGAAATCTCACGTGGTCTTAATACTGGGGCATAGCGTTCTGCTGCCTTACAAAAAACACCATATTGATAAAAAGAAAAAAAAGGTCAAATATATACTCGAATCATACGCTTACGAAACTACCGACTGGAAAAACTAACAATTTCAAATGTCCCTCGCTGTGATTTTGTCGACCATCTCCCACAATGGACTAGGAAAAATGAACTCTCTGTGGCAAACTCTTGGTGGCGCACTGCATTGTGAATCGCCCGAATCTTGTTTTCATGGCTCTATGAACTTTCAGGTTTCGGAGTTGTGACATTCCTGCTTGATACAATGGGATGCGGTTCATCTCAGTCCATCGGCGCTGTCCCCTCCGGCTCCAGCGAGTACAAGTATGCCGTCCTGCAGACCTGGGACAAAGTGGACCGGACCGTCAAGAAGGGGTCAAAGGGCAACCAGAGGCTGGTCGTCCAGCGGTCGGGCTGGAAGACCGTCCGTGTCTTTGTGTCGTCCACGTTCAAGGATTTCCACGCCGAGAGAGAGATCCTAGTCAAAGAGGTGAGAATCTCCCCTCCCACTTCCATCAAAATCTACATGTACATAACCTAACCTGGAGCTTTTGAAGGATTTTGCTGGGTTGGGGAGGGGCAGTGTTGTGTTCGAGTCCATCACATGTCCATCACAACTCCATCACAAGTCCATCACAAGTCCACCACAAGTCCATCACAAGTCCATCACAAGTCCACCACAAGTCCACCACAAGTCCACCACAAGTCCATCACAAGTCAATCGCAAGTCAATCGCAAGTCCATCGCAAGTCCATCGCAAGTCCATCGCAAGTCCATCGAAAATCCATCACAGGTCCATCACATGTCCATCACAAGTACAATGTACATCACAAGTCCATCGCAAGTCCTCACCAGTCCTCACTAATCCTCACAAGTCTTCACAATTGTATGTTCAATTCAGGGAACATAATAAAATCTAGTATTAGTAAAAATAACCTTGTAAAATCTAGTATTTTTATCTGTCAATGTCTCTGTCAAAACCCACAGGTCTTTCCAGATCTGCGTGCGTGGTGTGAATCCCGGAGGCTGCATCTGGTGGAGTGCGACCTTCGCTGGGTAAGTCCAAAACATCTAGTTAATTCACGGCAGTGAATAACTAAAATCAACCATTACTGTGACAATCTAGAAGGCCTCTAGATCTGCAACCAGTAAGGATTTCAAGTCTCAGTGTTGTAATCTGGTAACAGTAGCAAGTCAAGGGAACAGCTGCAATTCAGGGAACATAAAAAATTGGAAAAAGATGTCTTTGTCAAAGTTCATTTGAAAAGCTTGATTCATGACTCATGACTGACCCATAAATTACCTTTAAAGGGAAAATACAACATTTGCAAACATCGAAAAATAAAACTACCAAATCATTTTGAAATACCTTGCTGGACTGTTAGTGAATGACAGTCTAAAGCATCCTGTAAAATCATGGCACCTGGAACACAGTCATTTTCAAGAAAAGTGGTGTTTTCGTATCAATTTCCAACAATGGTCGGCCGACCAGCGTTGGAAAAAACTCGCTTATTTCAAATGCTGGCCCCAAGTAACCATTTTAGTTTGTTGTTTGCAATCGATTACACACCTCGAACGGGTACAAGCCAGCTAGATTGGTTCCCTGACCTTACAATTCCCCAACGTCTATAAATTGCTCCGTTTCATTTCAAATGGAGTCAGGGAATGCTTATTTTTCTTGGTTTTATAGCATCTACGAACCCAAAACGTCAAAAAAGTCAGTGTAACAATATTTGCTATATATTTCAAACCCCCCAAATTCATCCTTTTCTGAAAATGACAGCAAAAGCAAATGATGTATATTCCCTTTAAGACTTGATAGACTTACCTATGACTGACCAGTGACAGACCCATGGCTGACATGTGACTGACCAGTGGCTGACCTGTGACCGACCAGTAACTGACATTGACTGGTCAGTGACTGCTCATTGACTCACCATTGACCCACCTGTGACTGACCAGTGACTAACCAGTGACTGACTGGTAACGGATCAGTGACTGACTCCCCACGAAACATGACTGACCCATGACTGACCAGTTACTGACTACTTACTGACTACTGACCAGTAACTGACCCGTGTCTGACCAGTTACTGACTACTTACTGACTACTGACCCGTGTCTGACCAGTTACTGACTACTTACTGACTACTGACCAGTAACTGACCCGTGTCTGACCAGTTACTGACTACTTACTGACTACTGACCAGTAACTGACCCGTGTCTGACCAGTTACTGACTACTTACTGACTACTGACCAGTAACTGACCCGTGTCTGACCAGTTACTGACTACTTACTGACTACTGACCAGTAACTGACCCATGTCTGACCAGTTACTGACTACTTACTGACTACTGACCAGTAACTGACCTGTGTCTGACCAGTTACTGACTCGTGACTGACCCAGCTGACCTGCATTGTATGACTTACATGTGACTAACTCATAACTGTGACTAGCCTATGACTGACCTGTAACTAGCCTATGATTGACCTTAAAATGAACAGTGACTTGCACCTCGGCCCGACACCTCGCTGACTTGTGGTTACCTCTTGACCGACTCTTGACTGACCTATGATCTGCCCATCTGTTTTCCACAGGGCATCCCGAAGGACACAGATTCTGGAGAAACTCTGCGTCTCTGTCTCGGAGAGATTGATCGATGCTATCAGGACAACATCATGCCGTTCTTTCTCAACCTCACAAGGTATGCAGGAAACAGTAGAAGATAATTTGATTAAAGGCCTGTGCATTGCAACTTGGTACCAGGTCTGTCAATTGACCCCCTGGCATGCCTGGCATGGTGTGTCAAGAGTGCTGCATGTTTTTAATGGCTGTGACACAAGGGTGTGTCAAGTCATGATTTGGTGTGTCTAATAATTGATGGGGTGTGTCACATTTCCTCAGTAGGTGCGTCACATTCTGTGAAAGGTGGGTCAAAAAATGTTGCTAAATAGCTTCAAACTATCCATCATGTGCGTCACTACTCTGACGCAGGGCGTGTATGGATTCCACAAAAGGATGACCCACTGTTGGACAATCGGACACACCGTTGTTGAAAAAAAATTAAACTTGAAAAAAATGCATTTTTTTTCTACTTGACCTTCCCTTCCTCAAAACAAACGTTTCAAAATTACATATTTATAAATACCCAAGACAGTTTACCCATTCCTATTGGTCGAGAGCCCTTCACGTGGCCGGTCTTAAACGGATGATAAAGACATGGCTGGCTGGTCTTAAACACTTTTTCAGTGTCACATAAAATTTGGACATGAAATCCAGTGCCTCTTACCATTCACAACCCTCACTTAAGGCATGCGCAATACTACCAGCGAGTCAGAATTTTATAGTCCTAAATTCACAACGCAACGCCCCGGGTGCATTCTGCGCGATATTGCGCAGTACGGGCATTGCGCGGGCCAATCTCCATAAAAGGAGTTGTTTACATCTTTCTCGCCAGCTGGACACTCCATTATTTAGCTAGAGGGGTGTTTAAAAAAACATGGAGTGAACTTTTTGAACAAATCAGGTTTTTTGGATTGAAGAGTTCTGATTTTTTTTTACCGAAAAGGTTTTTATGAACGGGAATATGTGTGCTTGGTTGGTATTAATCACCCTGTGTAAGACCGCTTGGAGTCTGGGTGCTGATAATTACCCTCGCCAGCACCCAGACTCCAAGTGGTCTTAAACAAAGTGATTAAAACCTCCAAAGCACACATTTATTCCCTTATTTGAAACATTGAAGAAGACTGAAATTGATTTCTATTAAAGATCTTCCGTTTATTGACAGTGAGCGTTGCGGTTGGATCCCCTCCTTTGACGACGTTCCAGACAGCATCGTTGAGGAGTATCGCTGGGTCCACGGCCTCTCGGTGACCGAAATGGAGATACTGCACGGAGCCTACCGCGTTGATAATCCTAACTGTAAGTGCGTGTGGTAGACTGCGTCAGAATTGTTTGGCTGTGGAAGGTGGATTCTGCTACTTCCAATTGTGTATGTGATATATAAATAGTGATAAATATGAACTGCTTCATGTGGTGTAGTGAAACTAGCCTCCCGAGGTGATCCATGGACATTTCCCGAGGCGAAGCCGACGGAAAATAGAATGCTGCATGGATCACCGAGGGAGGCTAGTTTTTAAAGCATTCAATATTTGTTTTATAACACCTCTCCCACAGATTCTGCTTGGTTTTGATATTTTTAATTATTTAAATCTGAACACAGTTAAAATAAACTTCAATTTCAATACAAACTTGGGGGAAAATGTATTTCTCTCTTCCAAACCACCCCTTCCCGAAATGTTTGAACCCAACTCTGTGGCGCGCTCTCTTGGGAACAATACGCGCTACACGCAACTCTTAACTCCATTGCAGGATGCAGGTACATGTATGGGATTGATCACTACTCTTTTAGGGGGGGGGGGGGGGTGCAATAGCTTGCACAATGCATCCACCTTTACTGGTGACCACCGTGAGTGTACAGAGACTCTCTGCTGCACTGATTAGTAAGAAATGCATCTTTAAAGGTACAGTCCATCATTTGCAGCTATCCAAAAAGTAACTGACGTAATTATTGTTGAAAAGCATACTTGGTTAAAAGATAATAATGGGACTAAACTCTCTGTGAAATAATTCATTCTGACAAGTTGTCATTTTGAAGAAAACAATGAAAGAAGGCCTTTTAGTACATGTAGTTCGTTATTGATTCGGCGAAGCGCCCGCAACCGTTGAACACGACGCACATGCGCGCGCGGTTGCTACACTTTGTCAGTTCAGTGCGCGACATCGCGTAGCTGCAATCGGCTCAATGAGAACGTGCCCCGGACGCTGAATTTGGGCCCAATTCAAAACATGACTCAGTGACTTTTGATTTGAAATCAAGATCCTAGAATATTGTTTTTCTGGGAATATACAGCATGCACAGAGCCAAAACGCCATCAGGTTAGTTGTTAAGCACCCTTCTTTAGATTTTGAACACTTTTGTTGCTTCAAACGAACAACATGCACAAATTACAAATGATGTACTCTCCCTAACATTTCAAAAATGTTCAAGTTGTTTGAGGTACCAACGTGAGGCCTCCGACAGCATGCATCGAGACTGATTTAATTCAACCTGCCTGGTATACTGACTTTATCCACCGCAGCCATTTTCATGATCCGCAAGTCGGAGTTCCTACAGTCTCTCCCCAGTGAGTACAGAGACGACTTCATCGATCCCAACCCCATCGCCGTCCACAAACTCACCGTGCTCAAGAAGATGCTCAAGGCAAGACTGGTGAGTCTCTAGTTCTTCTGGGCTCAACGTTAGATTCTCAAGCTTCATCTGGGAATGTCCTGCAATATGGGCTCCGTTCACAAGTACCCCCTCTACGGCTATTAAAAGGGAGAGTAAGTTGGCCTGGAAGGGGGGGGGGGAGGGTACCGCGTACGTGGACCCGATCAAGCTCAGATACTGGTGCAACATTGTGCTAATAAAGATGAAGCTTGTAGTCTGTGCAAAGACTACATATGATCAATCGGGGCACGTGCATCTCCAAGTGAGATGATTTTTTTTTTCATTAAACAACTAAATTACTTGATTTTTTTCCCTGAGTCCTTATAATTGAGTACGAGTGCTTTGATGCTGGAGTACGATATCCAATGGTCGGGTCCAAGTGCTTCGCTTCTTGAGTACGAGTACCGTGAATTCGAGTCCGAGTAATTTGATTTTCGAGTTCAATTGCGAGTACGAGTATTCTGCAAGAATATTGGAGTTGTACTCGAGTACGAGTACCGAATGTGAGTACTGCAGCACTGATGTGTTGATCCTTTCTTTCATTGTTTCAGGGTAATCGTGTGCGTTGGTACGACTGTGAGTACGACGGCATTGATGATCATGGCAAGATACAACTCAAGGGACTCAACAAGACCTTCTGTAAAGCGGTGAGTGAAAAAGGAATTTCAAAGATCTGTTACAATATTGTGTAAAGTCAAGAAAGATTGATACAGGATGAGTTAAAGAACACGAGACTCAAATGTTAGGACTGTTGTTTTAGTGAAGTCCTGCATGTAGCACTTCCAAAATCTAGGATACAAAAGCCCAATTCATAAGCTTTCTTTTAGTACAAGAATCATTCAAATCACTCAAGTACTTTTCAAGTTATGGAATTTTAAACACACCCGTTTTGTGATCCTTGGACAGAACTTTAAAACAGTGGTTGTGTTTAAAAGTCCGTAAATTGAAAAGTACATAAGTGATTTGAATGATTCTTGTACTAAAAAAAACCTTATGAATTGAGCTTTCATATCCTAGATTTTGAAAGTGCTGCATTCAGAACTTCACTAAAACAATGGTCCCGACATTTGGGTTTCGTTTTTTTTGACTCACCATGTAGAGGAAAATCTTTGTTATTCCACTTGAAGAAATTTAAAATGGCCTTGACAATGCAAACGAGCAATTGCATTGGACATCAATAAAAAGACAAATGTACTAGAATATTAAAATGCACATTGACTGTTTAAAAGATAACATGTCTTACCAATACTTGCGATAAACATTACATATGAGATTAAAAAGGTTTAAATAGCAATAAAATAAAAAGGGAAACATTCAACAAGATAAGCAAGAAAAAGATCTTGTGTTGTAAATACAAATGAATTGACTCACTGGGTTCAAATTCTCGGCTGTAGGAGTTGGGTGCCATACTTATCTACCTTTGTAAATTCTCAACAATCATTCTTTCGTTTTGTAGATTTTTGAGTTTTTCAAGAAGCGCATTGAGGAGCAGTACCCCAAGCAAGACACAGAGATGGACCCCTACCAGCTGGCCAGAGAGGCTCACGAGGTAGGAGACACATTTGGCATGGTTTGAAGGTGGACAGTCGATATTAGCTTCCCAAGAAATTGAGGAGTGTGGCCAAATGGTAAGGTTTCGGGACTCATGCTAAATGATAATGTGCTTATATAGCACTTTATACATCGGTCTCAAAGCGCTTTACAATTAATACCCCTGTTCATCCGGTCAGGAGACCAGTTTTTGGAGCAGCTCGAGATCCACGCATTCTAGTCTCTAACTTCATAGGTACCCATTTATATAACTTGGGTAGAGAGAGGCAATTGTAGTAAAGTGTCTTGCCCATGAACACAAGCACCATTTACCTCGTCAGGGTTTGACCCTTGCACCACGGCATGTGAGTTGAACACTGTAACCCTTGGACCAGAGCGCTCCACATGATTAGAAAGTCAGGGGTTCGAACCCAGTATGCATTGTGTCCTTGGGCAAGCCACTTCACCACCACTTGCCTCTCTTTACCAGGAGTGGAAAATGGGTGCCGGCGTTAGCTGGGAAGTATCAAACCTGTGATGGACTGGCATCCCATCCAGGGTGATTATAAATATTCTCAGTTGTTTCATGCCCAGGAAACCGGAGATAAACGCCGGCCTGATGGGCCGGAATTAGACATTTGCAAACTAGTCTGAGGTAAAGCCATGGTAAACCATGTCTAGTTCAGTTTTTCTAAATAATTCTAGTTCATGGTTTCTAAATAATTTAAATGATTGTACATTAGTTGGTGATTAGATATTAAATTGTCATTGACACATGATGTTTTGGCAGATACAAGCTGGCTTTATTTAGCGGGTGTCATTAGGAGCCAATATGCCCCTCTACACAAAAAGTTACACCCACAATCAGGCTGCAGAAACCACATGTAAAATATTTCAAAACCAATTTTTTGAAGACAAAAAAAACCCACCAAAACTAAAATCTTTTCCATCAAGAAACTATTTTTGTTGAAAATGATTGTAAAATGAGTTGTGAAAACATTTCTGGATAAAATATTTCAAAAGCGTTTGTTTTCTCAACTAAATAAACAAATGGTTACACTTTCCAAAACTTTCTGTTCCATGGCAGTCTTTCATGAAGAATCGGGGCGCTCTAGTGCTGGGGAGGAACAGCGCACTGGAGAAGATCCACGATCACATCACAGACGTGGGGGTGGACTATCCATTCGTCCTGCTGGGCGGGCCAGGCTCAGGGAAATCAGCCGTCATGGCTCGCGTGGCAGACATAGCCTACAAGATGGCCTCCCTTAACGAGATTCCTGGGTGCGTATTTTTTTATGTAGCATACCAGTACATCATATTTTAACCAATCACATCACGCACCCTTAAACATGAATGGAAGACGCTTAGGTTATTGTAGTATTTTCCCTTCAGTTAAACTTATCCCGACCAACAAAACATTTGATGAAAATGGACATGGGTTCGAACCACAGATACTTATGAATGCCGACATGTGCTGTAAGTCGTCATTTTGCCGACTTACATGAATGGCCTTTTTGCACATATGATTCATTGCACTAACTGGCTTCGATTTACCCTGGTTTATCTCCTTAATGCTTGAGTCGATTCCAGCAAATTAATCCTCAGATTTTATCATCACGGGCTGGGGTATTGATAGTGGAGACCACGTGTACAAATAGTAATACAATGTACATGTACATGTACTGTTACAAATTAAATGCATGCGTGGTATTGACTGCATCATTCAATAAGACGACCCCCGAAATGGACAGAGCACATGCGTACAGGCCAAGAAGGGGTACTGGTATTGATATGCTCACGATGCATGCAGTAATGGGAAACCGCTTGGCTTGGCTGTGCAGCGACACCGCGTACCGTACCGATGCAGCGATCAGGGGCCGTGCCAAACCACTTTTCACTCGACGCTTCTTGCCAGCCGCAGCGCAGGAAGTCGATGCAATGCTCAATTTTTTTGAATGCCGACTTACACAAAGGATTTTGTTGTGCTTTTTATGGGGAGGGGACCAAGAGTAACACGACGACTTGAGCGAAATGGCGACTTATAATAGCCGACTTAGAAATAAAAAATCAATGGAAATGCATTTCAGACAATCGGGACTTTAGTCAGACGGCCGACTTGAGCAAATTGACGAGTTGTACGATCTTGACTTGGCTGGAGTTTACTGTATAACAAACAATTAGTCCTTTAGTCATTGTAGCGCCCAAAACGGCCTTGCCTATTACCCACTGTAGCGCCCAAAACGGCTTTGCCTATTACCCACTGTAGCGCCCGAAACGGCTTTGCCTATTACCCACTGTAGCGCCCGAAACGGCTTTGCCTATTACCCACTGTAGCGCCCGAAACGGCCTTGCCTATTACCCACTGTAGCGCCCAAAACGGCCTTGCCTATTACCCACTGTAGCGCCCAAAACGGCCTTGCCTATTACCCACTGTAGCGCCCAAAACGGCTTTGCCTATTACCCACTGTAGCGCCCAAAACGGCTTTGCCTATTACCCACTGTAGCGCCCAAAACGGCCTTGCCTATTACCCACTGTAGCGCCCAAAACGGCATTGCCTATTACCCACTGTAGCGCCCAAAACGGCCTTGCCTATTACCCACTGTAGCGCCCAAAACGGCCTTGCCTATTACCCACTGTAGCGCCCAAAACGGCCTTGCCTATTACCCACTGTAGCGCCCAAAACGGCCTTGCCTATTACCCACTGTAGCGCCCAAAACGGCCTTGCCTATTACCCACTGTAGCGCCCAAAACGGCTTTGCCTATTACCCACTGTAGCGCCCAAAACGGCTTTGCCTATTACCCACTGTAGCGCCCAAAACGGCCTTGCCTATTACCCACTGTAGCGCCCAAAACGGCCTTGCCTATTACCCACTGTAGCGCCCAAAACGGCCTTGCCTATTACCCACTGTAGCGCCCAAAACGGCCTTGCCTATTACCCACTGTAGCGCCCAAAACGGCCTTGCCTATTACCCACTGTAGCGCCCAAAACGGCCTTGCCTATTACCCACTGTAGCGCCCAAAATGGCCTTGCCTATTACCCACTGTAGCGCCCAAAACAGCCTTGCCTATTACCCACTGTAGCGCCCAAAACGGCCTTGCCTATTACCCACTGTAGTGCCCAAAACGGCCTTGCCTATTACCCACTGTAGCGCCCAAAACGGCCTTGCCTATTACCCACTGTAGCGCCCAAAACGGCCTTGCCTATTACCCACTGTAGCGCCCAAAACGGCCTTGCCTATTACCCACTGTAGCGCCCGAAACGGCCTTGCCTATTACCCACTGTAGCGCCCGAAACGGCCTTGCCTATTACCCACTGTAGCGCCCGAAACGGCCTTGCCTATTACCCACTGTAGCGCCCGAAACGGCCTTGCCTATTACCCACTGTAGCGCCCAAAACGGCCTTGCCTATTACCCACTGTAGCGCCCAAAACGGCCTTGCCTATTACCCACTGTAGCGCCCAAAACGGCCTTGCCTATTACCCACTGTAGCGCCCAAAACGGCCTTGCCTATTACACACTGTAGCGCCTGAAACGGCCTTGCCTATTACCCACTGTAGCGCCCGAAACGGCCTTGCCTATTACCCACTGTAGCGCCCGAAACGGCCTTGCCTATTACCCACTGTAGCGCCCAAAACGGCCTTGCCCATTACCCACTGTAGCGCCCAAAACGGCCTTGCCTATTACCCACTGTAGCGCCCAAAACGGCCTTGCCTATTACCCACTGTAGCGCCCGAAACGGCCTTGCCTATTACCCACTGTAGCGCCCGAAACGGCCTTGCCTATTACCCACTGTAGCGCCCAAAACGGCCTTGCCTATTACCCACTGTAGCGCCCAAAACGGCCTTGCCTATTACCCACTGTAGCGCCCGAAACGGCCTTGCCTATTACCCACTGTAGCGCCCAAAACGGCCTTGCCTATTACCCACTGTAGCGCCCGAAACGGCCTTGCCCATTACCCACTGTAGCGCCCCAAACGGCCTTGCCTATTACCCACTGTAGCGCCCAAAACGGCCTTGCCTATTACCCACTGTAGCGCCCCAAACGGCCTTGCCTATTACCCACTGTAGCGCCCAAAACCGCCCGAGCACTCTATGGTTTTATTGATTCTTCAGTGAATAAACACAATGTAATACAATGTAGTACACGTGCTAATGGGTTAAACTTTAAAGTACGTTTGTAGAATTCTTTCTGGTTTTCTGTTTTCCCACATAGTGGCGGTGAGCATGGATGGCACGTGTTCTTCCATTTCGTCGGCGCCATTCCGGGATCCACGGATTTAGAGAAATGCCTGAAGCGCCTTCTCAAAGAAATCGGCGCAATTGATGTAAGAGCTTTGTGGTGAATCCTTGCAATGCAACGTAATTTTTGGCCTTTTTAAATTTTTTTAAAATCTTTTCCTTTAAATTGATTCTTTCTGTAGATTTACCTTAAGCTCGTTTTAAAGAGAATATACAACATTTGCTTTTGTTGTAAATTTTCAGAAATTGATGGATTGTGGGTGTAAGTATTTTGTAGCAATTGCTGTTACACTGACTTGTTTGAAGTTTTGTGTTTGTAGATGCTCGAAAAACCAAGAAAAACAATAATTTTCTTGTAGTCTAGTTCCCTGACCCCACTTATAGAAGTCGGGGAATTGTAAGGTCAGGGAACCAGTCTAGCTGGCTTGTATCCGTTCATAGGAGTGTATCGATTGCAAACAAAATGCGGACTAACTGAATATGGTAAATTGGGGGCAGTATTTGAAAAAAGCCAGTTTTTTCCAACGCTGCTCGGCCGATCAGCATTGGAAATTGATACAAAAATACCACTTTCCTTGAAAATGTCAGCACACCAGGTGCCATGATTTTATAGGGTGCTTTAGACTGTCATTCACTAATAGTCCAGCAAGGTATTTCACAATAATTTAGTAGTTTTGTTTTTTGATGTTTGCAAATGTTGTGTATTCCCTTTAACGTTCAAGTGTAGACAGTAAAACTGCCTATCTTTTTATTTATAAAAAAAATGCTCTTTTCCAAACCACCTTTCGTCATGGAAGAGATTAATTCCTTTAAAAGTAGTAAGATTTTCAGTTCATGTGTTCACATTTCTTGGTTTTGCATGTCGGCAGGAATCCACTATGCCAAAGAACGAAGAGGCTACATGCCAGGCTGCATATAGCACCCTCGCCAACCCCAAAACAAAACCACTTATCATCGTCATCGATGCACTAAACCAGGTGAGTGACTGAAAATATACTTGTGTTCATGGGCAAGACACTTCCTTGTCTGTAATTATTTTCTTGTTATTCAAGGGTTTATTTGGTACATTTGAGGGCAAAGATGGTTGTTGTGTTAAACTAGATTGATTAGATTGCTGTTTTCAAGCATTGTTATGCTCAGGGGATGAACTGTTCTTTCTGTAACATGGGGCAAGTTCGCACAAGAACTATTGTTGACCAATGGTTAACCCAAGCTCGACTAAAGTTATCCCGAACTCTGTCTAGTTCACGGTGGTTGAGTACGCTAGTCAACTATTTGGATCCAGCCTACCGCAGCCGGTCGCGCAACGATTTATAATTGGTTATCAATAGCAATTTCCGTAGCATAGTGCAGAGGGGACCAACTATCAACAAAAATGGCGCCAAACGAAACTGTGAGCGCTAATATGAATTTCATTTTCATTGCACAGTTTTTCCATGTCAGTTTACGATGTCACTTTTGTCACCATTGTACAATAATATTGGCGATTATGTAAGATGTCCTAAACTATACACAATCACTAATATTTGTGTAAATGAAGAAAAACACCAAGTGTTGAATAATTGTGCGACCGCCATTTTTTTTATCCACCCAATAAGTTTATCATTTCTTCAAAGCCCATTTTACTTTTATTAATTTTTTTGAGACAAATTTATTGATTTTGTTATTTTGTTATTTACCAGTCTTTCTTTTATTTATGGATATATTCTCTAAAGGAGTGTGGAATAAATGTCTTCTTTAATTGAATTGAATTGAATTGAATTGACAATAGTTCAACTAGAGTCGTTCGCACTTCACCTTCAGTGTGATGCGCTAGGTACATCACGAACCAAGCACTAGTTAACCACTAGTCCTTGCTCAAACTTGACCATGGTTTGAGGGTGGATAGTCCATATTAGCTCCCCAAGGTAATGGACGTTGACAAACTATAGTTCCCAGGGTGAAACCGAGGGCAACTTGTTTGTCAACTTCCTATACCAAGGAGAGCTAATATGGACTGTTCAACCGAAATAAACTGTGTCGTATTTGTCTTATTTTAACTCTTTAATATTCATATTCACCAACATTTCATCGAGTTACGCATCAGTCATCTAAGCAATACATTACAGTGCATGTGCCGCCATCTTTTTGAGTAGCAAGGACGATGTTCGCCCATGCGCACTACCCCAGTGCAATAGTTCCACGATCGCCTAATAGTAAATTTACCCATGCGTAGTAGACTGTCACTAGCGTAACCCGTGCGCTAGTCAACTGCGCATGTGTAAATAACATGGAGCTATATTAAATTACTAGAGCGCTAACTCCTCATTCTGCGCACCAAGATGCTTTGAAGCCATCCTGGGCGCAGACATTTTGAATTCATGTGCGTGTTTGTAGAACATAATGAAATTAGATGGATTGAATTTTGAAAGTGTACTCTACATGCAACGCGCAAGTAAAACATACACAAACAACTTAAGCGCGTCATGACGGTTCAAAAAACGTAATGGCAAAAAGCATCTACAGTGAATACACGCACGCGTTGCGCTGTTTGCGTAAAGCAAAATGACACGCTCATTTGCTGATCGTGCGTTTCGGCTTTGGGCTTATCGCCTTCGATAACGCACCGGTATGGAATACAAACGCAGATATGCAAATAGCCGTACAAAAGCCGTACACAATTTCTAGTTCTCCGTAGGTTTGTGTACAAGCATGGATGCGCCTAGCAGGCATCAATTTGTACATTGATTTTAATGCTCTAGTTATTTAATATAGCTCTATGGTAAATACCCTGTGCATGAAGCCTCGCTTGCTCGCTTGGTAAGTAGCAAAACTAGCAGCTGACATGTGATGGTGAATGGACCAGTGAGAATCCGTCTCTCGCTCATGAATATGTATGAGGCGCAATATATGCATAATGGTCAGGGGCAATTGCTTGCAATGGTAGACATAAAGAGTTTCACATTGTTTCGTCCTTTTTTTCATTATTCCTGATAACAGTTTGACGACGATACGTCTGCCAACATTCTCAGCTGGCTGCCCCGTAAGCTAGCGCCCCAGGTACGCATCGTGCTGTCCATGATCGGTGACACTCCGCCTCACAGGGCCTTGAAGGACCGTGGCTACCACCCCAAACAGTACCTGCTGACACCCCTAGACATTGAGGCCCGAAAGGTAATTATTCGACCTCTGGAACCATTCTAAATGATATGTATTAACTCTTTCAGTGCCAACCTCGTACATGTACGAGGTAATGTTCGTACTTAAAATTGCCAAACCTCGTACATGTACGAAGTAGAGTAAATATGTTATCAAAGGGGGCGCTCTCGCTCTTTCTAATGGTACCATTTTCATGCATATACGAACTGTATTAATTTTTTCATTCGAGTTCTTGCGAGAGGGCGCAGCACTAAATCTCGTATTTTCTGCAAAAAGTGCGGAATTCCCCTGTGTTCAGGCCACTTTTTCAGGGTGTACCACTATGTTTGTGACTACTTTTGACTTTCCAATATATCAAGGATATACCAGAGAGCAACAACAACAAATTTAGTGAGTAAAACTTATTTACTTTTTTTTTTACAGAATTTCGAACAATTAACAAAAACGCTCGAAGTTGGGCACTTTGGGGTTAAACTTTTCATATTTCGCGGGCACTGAAAGAGTTAAAACTCGAAAAAAGATATCGGAGAAAAAAGTGTAAACAAATAGAAGTACAGCTAGATGTCATTGTTTTTATAGCCTATAGGAAACTCTGTTGCATGTTTTTTTGAACGTCACTCAGAAAATTGATCATGCGCTACATGTTGCCAGCGTGCTAGACTAGTATTGAGTGCGCTTGATCTAACTTAAGTTTTCTGCATGTATGCACTTTATTCATATGTGTACAGCGAGCGTTTGAACTGGTGTGCGAGTCTAGGATGCATGCGCTGCTCTGTAGCAAAATCATGCTGGTGTGATACACGAATGTATGTATAAGTTACCCCCGTTTTGTATTGCTATGTGGGTATTTATTTATTTATTCAATTATTTATGATTATTCCAGAATTTGCCAGGATAACTCAAAAAAGTCTTTCAACTTATTTCGAGTTGGGTCTCGTGGTAGAAACTGTGGAAGCAAATTACAGTTTTACTTCTGGGAGGAAAATTCCGAAAAATATATACTTGGGAAAACCCACGGAATCAGGCAGGGACTGAAAAGCCAATCCAAGTATTGGCCCAGGCGGGATTCGAACCCGGGTCACAGTGGTGGAAGGCGAGGAAAGTACGGCTGAGCTAACTTAGTGAATTGCAAGTGTAAACTTTTTCTGTCCCAGGAGCAAAAACCCACTGGCACCCCTGCTAAAAGATAGCTGCAGAACAAATGATCTATACAGGGTGAGTCAAGAAAAGCGAGACCCAAATTTCGGGACCGTTGTTTTAGTGAAGTTCTGCATGTAGCACTTTCAAAATCTAGGGTATGAAAGCCCAATTCATAAGCTTTCTTTTAGTACAAAATCATTCAAATCACTTATGTACTGTTCAAGTTACAGAATTTTAAACACAACCACCGTTTTAAAAATTCTGTTCACGAATCGCAAAATAGTGTGCGTTTTTTCGGCAAAACGAAAACAATTCACACACATCCCTATGTGATTTGTTTTTGTTTTATTGAAAGAACACTAACCTTCTCCATGGACAGAACTTTAAAACGGTGGTCGTGTTTAAAATTTCGTAACTTAAAAAGGACATGAGTAATTTGAATGATTCTTGTATTAAAAGAAAGCCTATGAGTTGGGCTTTCGTATCCTAGATTTTGAAAGGGCTACATGCAGAACTTCACTAAAACAATGGTCCCGACATCTGGGATTCGTTTTTTTGACTCGCCCTGTAGATGCTGACTTTTTTTTACCATGAAAACAACCCTGATGACTTATTTTGTTATGCAGGAAATTGTCGCTGAGATTCTAGGCAGGTACAACAAGCGGCTGGATGAGGAGCAGATGGGCAGTCTGATCGCCAAGGAGTCTTCCCAGAATCCTCTCTGGCTCTCCATCGCTTGTGAGGAGCTCCGTGTCTTCGGTGTCTTCAACAAGATCAACGATAAGATTAACAGCCTGTCTGATGGGCTTCTGGAGTAAGCATAAATATATTTTTTTAAACCAATCAGGTTTTCTCTAGACACCCTGCTAACGCAAAAGAATTCAGCACAGCTGAAATGGAAACCTTCTAAATATAGCGCTTTCCATCGTATCAACAATCTCAAAGCGCTTGACAATTATTACCCCGTTCATCAGGCCATGGGACCACGCGGCAGCCGATATCAGCCCTCAATCGGTCCTCGACCCTCACAGGTACCCATTTATACTCCTGGGTGGAGAGAGGCAATTGTAGTTAAGTGTCTTGTTCAAGGACATAAACACCTTGCTCTTGGTATGGTTCGAACCAACGCACCTTCATACATAGTCAAACACCGTAACCACTGGACCATGGCGTTCTCCCATGGCAAATGCAACAATATGCAACGGTGGATTCTGTTGTATTGTGCAGTGAACCAATGACACGTCAGTCTTGGCACTACATATGCATCAAATCAATATCAGGTTTTGCCCTTCACGGACGTATAAACACCATATACTCAGTGTGTTACCTCCCGAGTGAAATTTGGAAAAAAAATCAGTCGGTTGGGACTCGAACCCACGACCTCCTGCTTTCTAGTGCAGACATTTTACCACTCGACCACTGAGCTTGCGGGATCAGTTGGCTGGTTCGCTTCTAATGTACATGTAGCAGCGGGTACCACAAATAAACTGTTCAAACTACATATGGGCAATTCCACGGTTACTCATGTTACATTTTTGATGTACTTTTGAGTTTCCTTGGGCTGTAATTACCTTACTGAAAAGGTTTAATAACTGTTATCCCCATGGTAGATAGAGTAGACCTAGACCTACCTAAGCACCAAAGATGACATCCAGAAAAATGTGTTATGTATGATAAATAAGTCGCACAAAATCGGTTACTCACGTTATGAAAATGTAACGTGAGTAACTGATTTTGCAACCACATGCAACAGTGCATAGCACTTGAGTTGACTGCTATTGAAATGCAGCTGTATGTAACTGCTGCTTTACCACTTTTGCATTCTGCTGCATTTAGCAGGGTAAGATTCAACTATCAAAATGGACGTTTGCAGATACACAATGTGACGTGACTTTTATTATAATGAAAGTCATCCATTACAAAACCCTTGTTTTTGTTATATTTATGTTTTATGGTTCTTTCCCCCAGATTGTTGGAGCAGGTCTTTGATCGCTTTGAGGAGGAGAACGGAGGCAGTCTCCTGGTGGCTACTCTCTGCCTCCTAGAGACGTCCTCCACGGGGCTGCTGGAGACAGAACTGCTTCAGATCCTGGGAGATCAAGACAGCCTGATGCCGACTGAGGAAAAAACTGAAGGAGAGAAAGGTAAAGGTTTATGCAGTGTGGTTATAAAAGCCCCAGTCACACATTTATGGTTTGGAGCTACGGATATCCACGGTTTGAAATTTGTGATAAACCGTGGGAGTACTGTATTCATCCTTAGTACATCCGTGGTTATGCGTCATCTTCCTTTGGGTATTCGTGGAGGGGCTACGGAAGTTTTAAAACTGTTCAAAACTTTTGTGATGAAACGTCATTAAAATCATTCTCTAGTGCAACCATGGGACATCCGTAGGACAACTGTACTGATTCGTAGTGTTATTCGTGGCTTGTCGTACATATTCCTGGAGAATCATGGTTCATTTGAATAGCTTTTCACTTGACACACTCGAGACTTGTGATTGTTAAAACTTGTGCAAACTTTACGCCGTCTAGTCGAGTTCATCAGAAGTCCTTCACAAGTCAGTCACAAGTCAGTCACATGTCAATCACAAGTCAGTCACAAGTCAGTCACATGTCAATCACAAGTCAGTCACAAGTCAGTCACATGTCAATCACAAGTCAGTCACAAGTCAGTCACATGTCAATCACAAGTCAGTCACAAGTCAGTCATATGTCAATCACAAGTCAGTCACAAGTCAGTCACAAGTCAGTCACAAGTCAGTCACATGTCAATCACATGTCAATCACATATCAATCACAAGTCAGTCACAAGTCAGTCACATGTCAATCACAAGTCAGTCACAAAATCCATCAAGTGTCATGTCCAGTCTCAAGTCAGGTCATCAGCTATGCAAATGAACTATGCATTGTTATGCTAATCTCACAGGGGACCGGATAGATTCGCCCAATGAATTATTCATGAGTAAAAAGGAGCTTGATGTAGGATTGTAGCTTGTGATTTACTTTTGACTGGACTTGTGAGAGACTTGAATGCAACATTGGGACTTGACGAAATGTTTTGATATTGACAGATGGCGGTGCTAGAGAGAAGGGCCTGAAGCAGATAGCTCCCCTCCCAGCAGCCAGGTGGGCAGTGGTCTACCGCGCCCTCAAGCCCTTCCTCAGACCGTTCGGCGACAGCGGGGAGGGTCGGCTGGACTTCTACCACCGCGCTCTCAGCAAGGCCGTCAGAAGAAAGTATGTGGAACCCAAATTGCAATGCAAAAATAAACCCTCTCAAATGATGTCACTACTTACAGATTGTCATGTGCATCAGCATTTTGGGAGTCAAATTTTCGTGATGTGCATCGGTTGTGCCGTATTTCGAAAGAAATTTCAAGCAACATGTGCGCAGGTTTAGAACATTTTGCACTTTGCGTGCACAGTTGTCATTTGCGAAGGCAAGATGGTTGTCTATGACAGGGGTCTATACAGAAATATTGGTTGTAAATTGCACATGTTTATTAAAGTGAAGATTATTAAATAATTATTACAAAGACTGGTCGCGTGTGACTGTTGATGCAGAGTTGTCATTGCCCATTTTCTAGGTACTTCCCCAAGAGCAACGAAGCAGGCAACTCACCCAGGCAGCTGTGGTGGCACAGGAAACTTGCCGACTACTTCTTTGAATCGGACAACATGGAGAGAAAAGTTGAGGTAAGGATCGAACCTAACGACATCCTTGTCCCTACAGCGTTGAGCAGTACGCTCCCACTAGCCATGCTATAGCTGATCTCTGGGCCCTGGTACTGGATCATTTGCATGTAAAAAAATTTGCAAAAATATAATTGCACCGTGGAATAGTCTGGTACCTTCCCATGCTTTTAAAGGGAAGTTGTTCTTGTATGTGGTGTTCAGGGTACAGACAGAATCAATGTGTCATGTTACAATCTTACCCATCCAACATGCAAATAAAGCCAAAGATATTTATATACATAGTGGATTCGAATCAGAATACAGGAAGTACCTTTCCCTGCCAGGGTCTGCTGTTGTCTCAGGGCTAAAAGTACCCTGGGAATGAGGTTATCTCAGTAACTTTAGAACAGTATCATTATCTGTGAGAAACATTTCGTTTTGGAAACACATACAGTCACCATCATTATTTCATCCGATCTGAGTTATTATGGAGTCGGTTGCAAGTCCCCAGAAGGGATCTTGCAAGAATGTTGTCTTTTTCAAACGCTTTTCTTTGGACATGTTTTAGTGCCCTGTTATATTTTCATTTATTCTGCAAATTTAAAGAGCCATTTTGACGGTAAAGTTATGCAAGGGGCTTGTGGAAATTTCACAATTTCAAAGATCTAAATTACTAATAATTAGATTTGTTTAAAAGTGAAAAAAGTTTGTTGGAATTGTTTTAAAAACAATTCCAACAAACTTTTTTACTATTTTCTTTGCTGCTTACTTTGATAATAATAAAACATATTGCGTTGCCACGGGCATCCCACTCCAACACAATGCCCAACAGACAACCAATCAGAATCTACCAACACAAGCGTTCCCAATCCTAACACAGCCTACTTAAGAAGTAGCATCTCCAACTCTCCTCAGTCTCCTGACGATGACTAGGGCAGGCTAGTCGAAACGTTGAGACCAAAGACAAGTTCTTTTAGAACTTAAAGCAGGACTGTTCTTATCAGAACTAAAATTGCTTAGCGAAAGTTGATGATAAGCAGGACAAGTTCTTATCAGAACTAAACATCTACTGAGCGACAGTAGTTATTACCACATGGTGTTACCGCAAACCAAAACGATAATGATAATAAAGCAACAAGTTAATAGTGTTGAGAAAACTGTTTTTCATGTTATATTGGGTTCTGCCATTCACCGTCGTAAAAACTGGAATACTCAGTGTTCAAGGGTTTGCAAGAAGAAACTCATAAGCTTGCTTTACTGTTTTTCAGTTTGCAAACTTGTAAAGCCTGTTTCTAAGAGTGATTCCAATTTTACTCTGTGATTCTTCATCTATTTCAAGGAACTGCCCGTCCATCTGATTAAGATCCGAGACACCGGGAGGCTCAAGGAGCTACTCTGCAACTGGCAGGCCTTTGATTTGCTCTACGAAGAAATCTTCAGCGAGACATTAATGAAGTACTGGCACGAGGTAAAACACCTGAACTTAACAGGCATGCAACTTTTCCTCGGATCAGCTGATTTCCTCTTTTTTCACTTCCAATGTGTGCCATTGAAAATAGAAAAACACTGTACAAAGTCTTGGGAAGATTTGAATTTCCTCTTTTTTTGTGACTTCCCAGTTGCATGCCTGACTTAAGAACACAAGTGCCATGAACACAAGTGCCATGAAACCTTTGAACAGCGTATCACTTTGGATATACCACACTGTAAGGTTAGAAATTGGTGGAGTTTTTATATACTTCACTGTACCACAGCTGTCATGGCTGTAGTGTTTTGTGTCAAGAGAGTTTAGGCCAAAAAAGTCTCCAGTTTCTGGTATGGAGCTTTCCCCAAAAGTGGTGCGGCGACGCGTTTTTTTTTTTTTACCCTTTTTTTTTTTTTTTCAAATGTCGGCTGATGTTGCAGATGACACTTCAGTCCCCTTAAAACTCTCAAAAATATCCTTCAGAGTGGAGCTTGAGGTGACCTCAGTAAGGCCATAAGGCTTGAGAAGCCTGCACACACTTACGATCTCGACCGACCCGAACAGTCTTCGGGAAATTTGGATAGTCAAGACAAAAATCGGAGAAAACGGTAACGTCAGACCATACAACGACATTGACATTGTGCATGAGCTGCCAGGCTGGTCATTAGTCTGCTCCCTTACATACTGTGCTAATTTAAAAGCGTTTACAGGTTCCAGATACACGACCATCGGTCCCTCAGTCTGGCTTCCAGACGCACAATTACAAACTTACAACACTGTCTGCAAATGGTGCCTCACTAAATTTAGTGCAAAATATATGGGAGCCCAGAGAGGCCACATAAAGCTTATACTCGATCGTAACCTGATCTACAGGTAAAAATGCGTTAAAATTGTGCAGCAGCAGGATTCCAGTCAAACCAGTGAGTTTGGCGGTTTTGAGACATCATCTTATATTGAAATTTTTTTTTTTTAAATTTTGCCGACGTGCACGGCCGGCTAGGGTGATGCGCGTGCATACCAGAAACTGGAGATTTCTTTTTTAGGCCTTAAGTAAATTATTTTGACAGAGTTAGGGTCAAAATCTTTGAAGCTATCAATTCTAATTCTTTACCCGCTCTCTTTTTTATCCAGGGTTTTGGGGAGGGGTGGCAGAAGCTGATGTTGCAGGGTTACGAAGAGGCTCTCCTCAATCTGGAGAATGATCCAACTGTCAGTAGGGATGTCTTGTCAAGGAGACACGAGGAGATCACAAGAGTCATGTGAGTGTTTCAGATGTCTTTAGACAGTCCTTCTGATTTGAGGCGTGCGATCACACCCCCATGCCATCACACGCCTAAAAGCTGCCCGAGAAGTGTGAATAATCGCACACCTGAATCCCTCAGTACCGCACACCTCGGCATACATTTACGGCATAATTATACTTCTGTGAGCTCTTAGAATGGCTTTACTGTTAACCAAAGTGAATATTGTCAAAAAGTTATATCAGATTGTTTAGTCCCAGTTTGGACCACTGCATCACAAGATATGGTTGCCTTGTGATGGAGGTGTGATTTGACTTGTGATTGTCTTGTGATGGAGTTATGATTATCTTATGATGGAGTTGGATTTGACTTATGATGGAGTTGTGATTTGACTTGTGATGGAGTTGTGATTGACTTGTGATTTGACTTGTAATTCAACCTGTTATTGAGTGTGACAGGCTTGGGGTTAACCTGTGTTTGACTAGTGATTGACTTTCGATTGACTAGTGATTGACTTTTGATTAATTTGTGATTGACTTGTGATTGACCTCTGATTTGACGTAATTAACAGTGAATGGCTCATAATTGACTTGTAGTTCACCTTAGATGGATTTGCAATCGACTTGTGATGGACTTGTGACCAACTTACAATGGACTTGTGATTTCTCTATTGATTTTACTTGTGAATGATTTGTGGTTGAGTTCTGACTGTCTTGAGATGACTTGTGATTGACTTGCGAAAGACTTGCGATTAACTTATAATCGAATTTGGATTGACTGGATTACAACTCTGAAACAAATGAACCAATTGTCATGATTTGGCAGGGTCCATGCGGGAGCCCACCAGGACTCCTTCAAATTCCTGAACGCGTGCCTCACCATGGAGACGGAACTGGGAAGTCGACCGGAAAGGATGGTGGAGCTGTACGATCTGGCGGCAGATATTTACGATGATGTAAGAGTTGGTTTCAATTTAAACCAAGATAAGAATGGTTCGGATTTACTGTAAAATGTACAATCGTCCTTCCTACACAGGCATGCAACATTTCCTCGGTTCAGCCGATTTCCTGGTTTTTAACTTCACACTTAGGCCATTCAAAATTGAAAATTACCGTACAGAGTCTTGTAAAGATTGGAGGTTCCGCGTTTTTCTTTCTTTCAAGTTGCATGCCTGCCTAGAGTTCCTTGTGTTAACCAGTTCACGTTGGATGACGTGTGTACGCGCAAATGTTTTGTGGTATTCGGAACGGATAACGATAAACACGCAACCAGAAATATCTGTCAGTAACTCGCTCGCAGCAAGCGAGGCCAGAAATATCAGGGTGTGCTACCTGCAGATGACGGCCTGAACCCGTCTGGCATCGAGGTTCATGAAAAACAATCCCGCGCCTGGGTCCGGTCACTGTCAAAATAATCCCGGCGCGAACTGGTTAAGATTCAGATAAGGTTACAGTTTCTGTGAACTGGTCATTCTCTATATTTAGAGTCCCTGTTACCTTGGTTCTTTGTAATATGCCATTCAGGTATCCTTAATGATTTCAAACAATTTCTTATTTGTTGGGTAGGTAGTTTGCTATTTGCAATCACTCTTGGAGGACGACTGCATTAAGGAGAACATCAGAATTATAAAATCATAGATGTCAAATGGAATATTGACATAAAAAATTGGCCCCCAAATTATATCATGACCCTTTAAATACATCCTGCAGCTGGTTTCATGCAACAGTGCGTAACATACGCCATGAATAGGATTTACACATCAGTTTTGTTGCGATCAATTTGACGAAACTTGGCGTACCTTCACAGTGTTTTAAATCATTTCAACATCTTTTGATCGGTCAGAAATTGAAGTTATACCAGTGGATTGAGAGGTGGCAGATTACGGAGTTGCGTCACTTAATCGACTTCGCCAGAAAGTCTATCGCCATCCGGGAAACCATGCCAGGCAACGTCAACAAGGTGAGACCGCACGGAGCGTTGAATTCGTCACCATTTTTGAGGAGGGAACAAACCTGCCCACACATCAATTTCAGAAACTAGCGTTTAAGATGGTCGTTATTTTCAAATCACAATTTTGTGTACATCTCTCCACAAATATTGGGGAAATGTACAACTGTTAAATAAATATGTGTCTCCTTTTCTATAAAAGCATATTTAATTATTAGGGGATATTAATTACGAAACAGATTCGTCCCGTCATAGAAACAGATACATTACAACTCTCTTTCACTTTCACCATATATGTATGTAACATGAGTTGGTTCACAGATTCGTCACATGCGCATGTATATAAAATATATACATTCTCCACTCGCCACATAGAATGCAGATACATAACTTTGTGAAAATGCACATCTTAGAGGCTACAGTTACACAAAGTGACAGATTGAGATTCGTCAAAATGAAGAAACTTAGTTGCTGCACATTAACCGCTTGTGAAATTAGCGTAATTAACAAACAGACAATTACATGCCTTGAAATTTGGTAGATAATGTAGAGGACCGGCCAGCAGACTTTGGCAATCTTGTGGATTGAGTGTTAGGATAAAGAATCAGCAAGATAGCGTGGCCTGTTCCCAATTGCAACCGAGAAACGGCCATTTTAACCAAAAAGATTTCACAGTGAGAGGACTAGCCAGCGGACTTTGAAAAGCATGTGGATTAAGCGGGGTAGGATGTCTACACAATTAGCAGGGTGTCAGGATGTCAGGATTTTGTGTCCCACCCAAGCAAATTTGTGAATGTTTTCCTTCAAGCTTGCTTTCAGCTCATGCCATTATCGGCGGCCAGGCCGCGAATTTTCTTTTCCCAAACTGCATCCATTATACATGGTTGTTTAGCGCCCTCTACGATACTTTTATTATACTTGGTACTTGGTACTTGGTTGGTTCTTCTTCTAAGGACTTCCACAAGGGAGTATAACTAGGAGGCCAGAAACCCCTTCTCTTAGCGATAAGTGTTACTGGGTTCTTTTACGTGCGTTAGGCCTTATACAACACATGGGACCTCCGGCTTAACATCCCATCCCAAGGACGAAGCAATAATGGTTAAGTGCCTTGCTTAAGGGCACAAGTGTCTGGGCCCGGGCTCGAACCCACGCCACTGTTGCCTCTGAAACACCAGAGAATGAGTCTGGTGCTCTTAACCACTAGGCCATGACACTCCATAGGCACGTAGGTATATATATATATATTTTTTTTCCCCTGGCTTTGTCGAGTTGTGCGATAGCTCAGTTGGTAGCGTCATGATTTTGTACCGCGAGGAATTCTCGCGGTGTGGGTTTGAGTCACCACTTTGCACCCAAATGGTTTTCTTTTCTAATCTAGAGGCTTTGGTGGATTTTTTTTAAGGGAAATAAAGTCCGAATTTCATTACATTCGAATTCATTTCCTTTTTTCTAATTTTTTTTTTCTTCTCATGTTTTTAGAGAAGTAAAGTCCAAAACGACGCCAAAGCGTACACCCCATGTGGGTGTCGTTTAGGAAAAAAATTCGCGGCCAGGCCCCTATTGCAAACCATACATTGATAACAGCAATATTATATTATCCCCTTATTAAACCTCTTTTTGTCATTGCCGTGTGGTTACAGTTCAAGCTCGGCAGGACTCTGACCCAGCTTGCCTTCAATCTGGAAGCCTGGATGGAGACCGGGGCTGACAATAACCTGTCTGGAGAAGAGGCCCTGGAGGAAGGCAAGGTCCACATTGAACACGCCATCCAAATCTTTAAAGATGTAAGTCTTGACATTTTTGTTCTATATTATCCTACCATGCATACTTGCATCCTGGTCATTGGAACTGAAATTTTGAACCGAGATCCAGGGCAAATTTGGCCGAAGACGAATTACTATTAGTTGATTTGGAAAGGTCCACGTTGAATGCGCCATCCAAATCTTTAAAGATGTTTAGATCTCGAAGTTCTTTGTAATACTTTCCTACTATGCCTACTTGTATCCTTTTCATTGAAAATATTGAACCGAGATCCAGGGCAAATTTGGCCGAGGACAAATTACTAGTATCTGATTTGGAAAGGTCCACGTTGAACGCACCATCCAAATCTTTAAAGATGTAAGTCTTGAGGTTCATTGTTTATATTATCCTACCATGCCTTCTTGCATCCTTGAATGGTTTCGATGACATCGAAACTATTCAACCGAGATCAAAGATGAATTACTAGTAGTTGATTTGGAAAGGTCCGCATTAAACACGCCATCCAAATCTTTAAAGATGTAAGTCTTGAGGTTCATTTTTTATATTATCCTACCATGCCTACTGCATCCTTGTCATTAAAACTATTGAACTGAGATCAGGTTGTCAGGTTGGCGTAGCGGTGCTTTCCTCGCCTTCCACTGCTGTGACCCGGGTTCGAATCCCACCTGGGCCAATGTGTGGATTGGGTTTTCAGTCCCTTCTTGATTCTGTGGGTTTTCCTCAGAATACTGTTCTGGGCTTTTCCTCCCACCTCTTAGCTTCTTCACATTGTCTTCTCTTTACTGGCCCCATGGGAGATCAGTGGATTCCACTGAATGGGCTTCCCAGTTAAAATAAGAAATAAAAAAATTAAAAATAAAGAGATCCAGAACAAATTTGGCTGTGGACGACTTTAATACTAGTAGTTGATTTGGAAAGGTCCACTTTAACTCTCCCTTTCTTACAGGTGAGGGGGTACTTGTGCAAAAAGCCCGGGAGTCCGGGGCTTTGATCTCTGTTAAATGATGTTTTTTTCCCCTTTATTTTACCCATAGCTGGGCAATGATGGGTACCTAGCAGACGCCATCATGACAAAGGGAATCCTGCTGCCTCGGGGAGGTGACGAACAACTTGATGTAAGCATATCATGGAAGAAATTGAAAATGAAAAAACAAATAATACGACAGACAAATCCTTCCGCAGAAACTGCAAAGTTTTCTGTACTGTGTAACCAATGTACATGAGCCAAGAAAGACAGCATTTGATGTGTGCACTTGTTTGCCCCAAAGTAATTAATTTATTCACTTTGGGCAAGGTTTCTCTTATCTAATCCTGACTTTTTACAGCGCTTTTTTTACCTAAGCCCGTTTTAATAAGCTTGTAGCATGCCATAATTTTGACCTGAAAGTCCAGGACTAATTTTATGATCACTTTCCCAAAAGGACAAAATATCAAAAAATCGAATTAGAAAATTATTCTCGACAGTGAAGAGCGACTTTGAAAATAGACAAGTAGTGTACTACACGTAGTATTAAGTATCTTTTTGTTGGAAATGTTTCTTGTAAACACGGGCTTTCCTTGTGTACTTTCCTTCATCAAGATTAAAAGCCCAAATTTTGTATTTTGAAGACTTTTTCCAAATACGAGCAAAATTATTTTTGGCAGTTTGCCAATATCGATCTGTTTCTTGACCTTTGACCTTACAGGTGTGCATGGAAGCCTTAGATATGTGCCTTCAGGCCTACGGGGAGAACAGCGTGCTGAGCTCGCGTCTGTTCCTGAACATTGGCATCTTCCATGAGGACAACCGGCAATACCGCACAGCGTGTGAATGGTTTATACGCTGGCACAAATGCACTGAAGAGGTTAAAATGATTGAACATTCACAATTTAAAAAAAATAACCAGTCATGGTTATTTTTGCGGCCCATCAAACATTTTGCTAGCTACTGGAAGTTTAAGGAATGAACAAGATTTTCAGGCATGGGGTCCTATAAAGGCCAGTGCATGTGCTAGAACTTGTTTCAAGAGCATATTGCAGGACTACAAGTCCAAACCAGAGGCCAAGTTCGGGCAAGGACCATTAGTCGACTAGTGGTTGATTTGTGACGTACCTTTACGCCTGCGCACTGATAGCAACGTGCGAACCTCTCTAGCGCTGGTCAAGATGTCATTGCAAAACTTCTGGATCCTGGCTCTCTGCTCAGCGTTATGAATGCGCGCAGCTGTTGGTTACCAGCGAAGCAACCAACACCAGTAGGCTGGTTCCAAGTAGTCGACTAGCGTAGTCAACCACCGTCGACTAGACAGAGTTCGGACAAACGTTAGTTAACCATTGGTCAACTATAGTCCTTGCGCGAACTTGGCCCAAGTTGCAGCAACACAAAATGGTAGTATGAATTGATATTTTTGCTGGACCCAATGGACTATAGTGAGTCACTGACTGATTGATTTAATTGACTGATTGACTGACTGACTTACTTACTTAATTGCTGCCTGAATTACTAAACTGAGTATAAATGATGGTCTTAACTAAGCCTTTCAGGTCCAGTTCAACTTGGCAAGACTAGGCAAACCAGGTTACACCAGTTCAAACCAGTTACACCAGTTCAAACCAGTTACACCAGTTCAACACCAGTTAATCATTTTAAAAACCAGTCGGCAATTTCCAGCTCAACTCGTACCATTCAAAACCACTTGAGACGGCCAGTTGAACTGGTTTAAACTGGAATTTTCACCTGGGCCCAGGTGAACTGGATTTGAAATGGTTTAACTGGTTCAAACCAGTTAAATGAGTTATACCAGTTCAAAACCAGATAAACCAATTCAAAACCAATCGCCAATTTCCAGTTCGACTTGTACCAATAGAAAACCAGTTGTACCACTTGAACAGGCTCATTTGGGATGTTCATCTTGGAAGAGTCTACCTGATTGAGGCTGCACCCAATTTTCTGGCCAAAGTTGTCATCTAGGTCCTTGTCAAATAAAAAATATGTAGGAACAAACTAAAACATGTTTAGAGCTGAAGCTCTAGATGCCTTTTCTGGGCGCAGCCAAAGTCTCGTTTTGTCACCGTTGAGGGTGCTTTTGTATAGAGTCCATACAGCCTTTTCACCCATGTCTTCCTTTCATAGCAATTTCTGGCCTGATTCTTTTTGCGTCTTCAGGTGTTTGGCTACCATCATCCTAAGACAGAGCGAGCCAGGAAGACCCTAGAGCGGCCCGTGTACAGGCGCATCAAGCAGCAGATTGAGGAGGAACAGCAGCTGGCCGAAGCCGAGAACAATGAAGCTGAGAACAATGAAGCTGAGGACAATGAAGTAGACGATGTGCTGAATAGGATGAGAAATGCTGAGCTGATCTGATCCATTTTGAACTGGATAGATCCGGCCAGCTTGAACCGGATTGATTCAGCTTGACCTGGACTGATCCAATTTGAATTTAATTGATCCAGTTTGGAATTAAATGACCCAGAGTGAGGAAGGATGATGTAGTTTGATCCAGTTTGAACTGAATTGATCCAATTGGAACTTTTCTGACCCAGTTTGGAACTGAATGATCCAGAGTGAACTTGAATAAAGTACTTTGAATTTGAATGATCCAGTTTGATACAGTTTGGTACTGTATGATATCATCTCATCCAATTTGAACCTAAATGATCATCTTCAAACTGGATCGCATCTAATCTTTAAACTGGTCTCATCATGTTTTATCTGAACTGATTGAGTTAGATCTTGGATGACCCAATTTGAACTTGACTGATTCAGCTTGATCTTGTCTGATCAAGTTTAAACTGGACTCATCCAGTTTCATCTGGATTGATTGCATTTGACCTTGGTTAATTAAGTTTGAACTAGACTGATCCAGTAGGACTGATTCAGTTCCAGCTGGATTCATCATCCAGTTTGAGATTCACTGAACTACAATCCCGGCCGGGGGGGGGGGGGGGGGGGGGGGAGGGATATGCTTATTGTGTGGACGTGGCCCACGGACCCTAGGCACCAGGATAAACGACTGTTCTGAGCTCTAGTACGAAATGCACTAAGTGGACTTGCCTTAATTGGTTAGATGCGTGATAACGGGCATTAATACCCGTTGGCGCGTAATCGCGAATTTTCCAGATGTGCCATTGGGTTTTTGCACGACATCTGCTCGGCATTACCATGGTTATGTAGTTATCACTTAGGCCTAAAAAAAAAAAAAGTTATGTTGGCGTAACAGGCCAGAAAAAATAGGGTAGGTAGGTCGTTTTTTTTTTTTTTTTTTATTTTTTTTTTTTAATCCCAGCAACGAAAATGACATTAAGCCGGTAGTAGTAGGCCTACACGATAACAAAAGAAAACAAGGCTCATCATCAACCTTTCCAAAGGTACATATCAAAAAAGCGGAATCCAAATTCAGACAAAATGTTAGCCGTTTCAACTTTCATCTGCATCGACATCTTTATATGGACCCGATTCTTCCTTTGAAGTTTGTATTTTTAGCACGGTGTAACCCGCTTTTACACCATCGGCACAGCCCTGGGCGATTACCCCCAGCTCTAGACTCAAATTTGTCCGCATTAAACGGTGGAAAATGACCGAAGATCCCCATAATTTGCCCTTGATGGAAACACTGTAAAATAGTGGAAAATTAATTAAAATAATTTATATTATAATGAACTATTTTTTTAAACATGGAATAAATAGCGAAGTATTTTTAATAGTGTATGTAGCAGTTCGCGCCGTGCAATAGTCTAGGACGAGGCTACACGTGTACTGTACTGTATGTACATGTACATGTGCATCTATCATGCATGCATGGTGCATCGATCTCCGCACGTGCGCACTGCCTGTACGCCTGCGCGATCTTCTGCATGTTCGTTGTGTCATGGAGAGGAAGGTGCAAAACATTGTGCACTCCAAAGTTCCACGCGCGCTATCGTCATACAATTGAGGAGAAACGGTCAGAAATGGTTTCAAAACGTATTTAAAATTCATTTCTATAGATTTTAATTATATTTCTTCCCTTAAAAAAAAAAAATATCCAGGGTCGGCGGCATTTTTAGGGTCGGTCGGGTTACGCCAACATAACACTTTTTTTTTTAGGCCTTATCAGAGTTCAATAATAAAGACCAAAAATGTAGACTCATGAATATTCAAAAATATAATTCGCTGGCTTGACAGACTTCGAGGCCAGATCGGGCGAAGAGCCTTGCAAATCTGAAAGCAACCGCTTGCAGTGGTCTTTGTTGGAAAGTATTCATGGTATTAGCCACCAGTACAGGCCGTTATCACGCGCCTAACCAGGAGTTGGGCCGAGTCGTTAATCCTTGTGTGTAGGATCTGTGCGTGGCCTAACCATTTTTGCCAGGATCGTAGATTATTCCTGTTTGTGCAAGAGGCGATCTCGGAGGACCAGACTAGACCTGTTTTTTTTTTTTTTTTTGTAAATAAGAGGTTTTTGACTGAGTGCAACTTGACTGAGTGATGTGGTTTAGACTGTGATCCAGTCTCAATAAGACTGGACCCGCCATAGGTATTTAAAGAATTCTCGAACAGAAGTCTTCAAATCATGCCAACCATTACCTCAGACTGTATATTACCACAAAAAGTCCAACTTTGAATTTCTTGCTGAAAGTGGACAAGGTGATACAGTTAAAAAACCTGTTCAGATCAGTGTTTAAGCTTGCATTTTATCTGTTTGGAATTTGAAAATCGAATTAAACAATTTAAATGAGAGAGAAAATGGAATATAAATTGTGTCTTTGTAAGCCTATTATTTTAGCACACACTGTGATACAGTGCATCCATTTGAGCTTTTGAAGAGAAAATCAAGTATCAGGTATCATATGTGCAACTGTGGTCTTTTGTTATTGTCAAAGAGGCTTTAGAATACTGAATCTATGGTTCCTCGGTGGATATATATTTGTTTTGTTGGACATTATTTTAGAGGCGAGCTTTGTTGAAAGAAATGCTATATTTTTTAGTTATAAAATACTTTAGTACTGGAATTCTAACGAATTTTAATAAGTGCCTTGCAGTGTGTAGGAGTGCCTTCTCGTGTGTGTTTGTATATTTTGAGACGTTGATTGTATAGATTGGATCTAGAGAGATGTGCAGCCTATAGTTGTGGTTTACCTATACGATGCAATTAGGTATCTCATGAAAGATGATAAAATATAAAGTTTGTAGACATTGAGATATCATTGACTTAAAAGTACACAGGATCATTGGTTTTTGTGGAGCTTGTTTCATTTGAAGGAACAAAATTGCTGAAAATCTGTAGCAGGCCTAGGGTGCCTGTCAACTAATTTGTTGAAGCTTAAGCGCAAAGGTTACATTTGAGAAAACAGGAAAATACAGGGTGAGTTTTAAAAAAAAAGCGAAACCCAAATGTCGGGACCATTGTTTTAGTGAGGTTCTGCATTTAGCACTTTCAAAATCTAGGGTGTGAAAGCTCAATTCATAAGCTTTCTTTTAGTACAAGAATCATTCAAATCACTCATGTACTTTTCAAGTTGCGGAATTTTAAACACAACCACCGTTTTAAAGTTCTGTCCACGAATCACAAGAAGGTAAGTGTTCTTTCAGCAAAACGAAAACAATCACATAGGGAGGTGTGTGAATTGTTTTCGTTTTGCTAAAAGAACGCACACCTTTGTTGGGATCCTGGACAAAAATTTAAAACGGTGGTTTTGTTCATAATTCCTTAACTTGAAAAGTACATGAGTGATTTGAATGATTCTTGTACTAAAAGAAAGCTTATGAATTGGGCTTTCATATTTTAGATTTTTTGACTCCCCGTGTACATAATAATACGCACAATTTGTTTGTTTCGTAATTGGATGCCATTGCTAGCGCACCTGCGCACGTAAAAAGAAAGTGCCCGCAGGCACCCTATTTTGAAACAACCTTCCGAACGATACCATATCAAGCAGAGTAATTTCACAGGGTATTTTGTACCTGCCATCCATGTATTCATGGGTTTAGTACTATACATGTATTTACTTTGAGCAAGTTTTGTGTCCGTTTCCGGGCAATGACCAGTGTTTTTACGTGTCTTGAGAGCTACAGGTGGGGCAATGTTTCCGCAAGGACACTTTGTCTACCATGTGAATGCAGATTCAGATTTCAATTTTCGAATGACGCTCAGATAGCTAAAATACTCGATCATGTAAGGTCAAACATTGCTGAGATCATCAGTGCATCTTGCGTCAGTTCATGCAGTTCCCGATGTAGCTTGAACATTGTTATTTTTTTGCCTATTAATCCAGTTCGTTAGTGTGACGTCACCTCCAGCACTTTCTGCACGATTGGAACCGGAAGTTAACGCAGCTCGAGCGTTTGTAGCCAATAGGCGCTAGTAATCAATGGTGGGCGCGCGTGTATGGCGTTTTTACTAACGAACCGGATAGGCAGTTATTATGAAAAAGGAGTGCAGAGTCAGATCTTCAATGCATGGAGCATTCATTATTATACAATACATTATTACAGACACAAAATGACGGATGAGCACTGAGCAGCTTAAAGCAATGAAAACACCATCTCTTCGCCTCATATACCTGCAATATAAAACCTATACTTTTTGTTAGTAGTTTGTATGGTTTTAGTTTGTCTTTGATACTATTTTTATAGGTACGCCATTTTAATTGATGTACCCTTTTGTAGAATCTTTTGTAGTACTGCGTAGTACGGAATAGCCTGCGTTTATTGGTGAATGAAAATTAAAACGGGTAAATTAAAGGCACTTTGCCGTTTTAAACAATGAATTAATTATGAGCTGAATGGTATTTTTTGTGTGCTGGGAAGGAATGACTCTAATGCCAAATTAAGATAGGACAATATTACAATACTCTGTATATTTTGGGCGTCAGCTCAGACAAATAGCGGCGTAGCTAGTTTGGGGGGGGGGGGGGGGGAGCCGGAGGAGCACACGACCCTTATACATAAAAAATCCCCCCTCCAGATAGTTGCCCCCTTCACTCCAAATTTGGAAATCTGAGGCAGTCACGAAACCAAGATTAGAGGGGAACCTATAAAGTGTCTTTTTTCACATTTAAAAATGTGGATTTTTTGGCGATTTTGTTTTGTTTTCGAGATTGGCTGTTTAGTTTAACGCCCTTGGAAAGCGTATTGCGATACCAATTATCTGAAAATGACCGCGAATTCAGTTTTGAACAGCGCCCCCATTGACAGATAATGCCCAGCCCCCTCCCCGCCCCACCCCAGCCCGCCTTTTTGGATTTAAGGAGGTCTGGTAAAAAAAACCTGTCCTTTTTTTAAAAATAAAATAGGGCGCCCCTCCACTGCAACATCCAGCCAGCCAGTAAGCCTACTGCCAATCGTGACAAGTATGTCTATGGGCTGTGACGAAGACTACATTCAACTTCTGCCCGACTCATCGTCTGTGCAGAATACTGGAAACGCGCGTGTGCGGTGGAAGGCGATAATTGCACTCCGGTCCTTCAGTGGTTTGCATTTTGCCGTAGAGGGCGTAGTAGTGCTTTGAGTCTCAGCAAAGGATGTACAGTGGTGCTTCGCCTTTAACATTGTAGGGGAAATTCTTCTGCTTATTGGTTTCCGGACTGGCTTCAGTTGAATTAAGTCGTGGACTTACTTGGTCCATTGCACATGTCACTATCACGTCCGACAATGACACGATAACGTCACGTCAAACAATCGGAATTAAGGTGTCATGTTGCGATTGCGACGACTTCCGTGAAACGTCAATCGAATGACTCTCTCACAAAATTTGTTAACAAGTTGAACTCTCACAACGGTAAGTATAAAGAAAAAAACAGCCGCCGGTGCAGAGAATGCAGACAACAGCCGTCTGGTGTTTGTTCCACCTGACTCATCCTCCGTTCAACCCTGCGAGACTCTTTCAGGAAGGCGCTCATTACACTGCGAGAAAGCGGAACGGTAACTCCTGTGCAGAAGGCCGGTAGCCATTTTGTTTCTTCTGTTTTTCCTTCTTCAGACTGAAAACTCGATTAACAAATACGGGAAGTGCACAATAAATCTGCCTTTCCTTGAAAAACAAGTCAGTGGCCAAGATGGCGTCGATGCATATGCGAGGAGTACGCGCGGTGCTGCGTGTCGTTGGGATTCTGGGAGCTGTCATAACTCTAGGTAGGTCTTCTTTTCTTCGGTACGTAGTTCTGAGGCCAGTCACGAAATTTAACTTGCAAAAGACGAAGTATTTGCTGTGAATGATTTATTAAGACACGACAGTGTTTAAGTGCAAAAACTTTGGCGAGCCTCGATGCTTGACTATACTTAAAGTAGGCCTACTTGTACAACCATTAGAAATTTAAATGGGATGTTCTGCTTTTTGTCAATATGGTTAATATGTAGCCTATACTCAACCTGCGCAAAATCGCTAAATAAGCCGAAACAACTTAGGATAGCGTGGTAAAAATGTGTACTGGGCTCATAAATGAAACAATCACCGGTCCCATGTTTTGCTTGAAAGCCATGATGAATTTGAAACGTGAGCAATATGTTTTACCCACTAAATTTGGCAGCCTTTGGTACTTTATGTACGTGCTTTTTCAAACAGCCCTCGATCCAATCAGGGGCGGATCTGGCTCTCATGAAATAGAGGTGGGGGGGGGGTGAGTGAAGACATGTCCCTGATAGGGCGATTCGGGGGCATGCCCGGCAAATTTTGAAATCTATATTTATACTTTCTGCTGCTTTCTAAGAAAAATTGAGAACAAATATAGGAACTCTGTTTGCCATTCCATTTATTATTTTTGCACCATTTTACTAGTATCGTAACATCAGTCAACAGCTAAAGGGGGGGGGAGGTGGAGTGGGGGGGTGGGGGTGCACCCCTGACTTAAGACCCGATACTGCCAATTATTGGAACCTTTGACATCTCTTTATAAGGCGCGGATCCAGAAGGGGTGGGTGGGGGGGGGGGGTCGAACAATCCCCTCCCCTGATCGGACTAGATTTTTTTCATAGAGATACATTAAAAATAATGTGATGCCCCCCCCCCTGCTGTGCCTCTGACACCCCATAAAAATTATACTGGTAATAATGTCCGCCTATGGACAAAATTCGGACAGAGCTAGCTGAATTACGGGGGTATTTGTGCACTAATATGCAATAAAGTGTTAATGATCGTTCGATATGAACAGCCCCCCCCCCCCTAATGAAAGTATGGTACGACCCACCCCTTCCCCGACCACCTATTGATTTTACGGAGACGAAGTGTCCTAAGAAAAATAACCTAGCTACATTTCAGCATTGAATCGCTGATGAAGCCCCCCCCAAAAAAAAATATATATAAAAAAAAATAATAATAATAAATTAATTGAAATAAAATTTTAAGAATAAAAAAAAAAAAGTAAATAAATCAAACAAAAGAAATTAATAAATAAACATAAAAAACAATAATACTTATAATTCGTGGATCTCCCTGCTTTACTGTATTTTAACTCAAACCCTCACACGTGACAGTCACAGATATTATGATTTTGTTCGCTAAGGCATGCGCAGTACAACCAATGAGTCTTTGTTTTCCCACGGAATACAAATTTCACACTCCACTCACGAGAGAGAGATGACGAGTCTGAACGAGGTATGCGATTGGACAAGTCCCGATCAATCTTCATCAAGACTACTGTGCTATAGTTTGCGAGACCCTTTTGACCTAGTTAGTCACATCAGGTCCTGTGTTCTGCAAATTGAATTTGAGAGGTTGCTTCCGTCCGAAAACTCGTCAGCCAGGCGTTACCAGGGGAGGGAGAGGTGCTTCCGAGTTATTATTTTATTTTCCTGACAATGGTCTGATGCCAACATAGAGATTATCAGCGAAGGTAACACAAACCACATCTTTTAATAGCCCTTTTATGCTGATTTGGAAATTAAAGCGATTACAATAGAATACTTTCGAGTATCAACCCGCCAATTAAAAAAAGTGCATTTACCCTAAAGTTTAGTTTGTGCATTCCACGATCTTGAACCTATTTAAAAGACGCAAAATGAGTTGCGAAGCTGAGAAATTAAATATTTATTATAAGTTTTATGCACGGAACTTGTCGTTACGACAACAAACTAAGCTCTATATGACACTTAAGATATCGCTTTTTAATTATTTCCCTTGTATAAGTTTTCAGTTAATATTATCTTGTGCCTGCAACAAGCCTCCCGTTGTCTTCAGCACCAATGCTTCCTCAAAAGCCTGTGGCGTCATCATGAGTAAATTATATTCCGTTTTTGTTTGATTGTTTAGATGTAAGATTGTTTAAATCACCGACAGAACTGTAATGAGGCAAATTGAAAACATTGCAAGGAGCAATTATCACAATTTCTTAGATTTTGCCGAAGAACAGTCAGCGTGATTGGACATTCGCTTTAAGGTGTTTGCCTGTGTCACATGAATACAAGATGTTGTACGCTGACTGCATACCCTTTACATTATCTTTAAAAAATCGGTTTCGTTTCCCCGTCACAAGACAGTTTGTAACTCTGAATTATTTGTCAAGTTTTGTGTACCTAATATTACTGTTTTAGTTAAACGACATTTGTACATGAAAGTGTAAATGTACACGAACTTTTCCTCAAATAAAACTTTTCTTTCTGTTTTAACACAAGGTTTTTACTGTCCGTCTGTGTTTTTTTACAGGAAATTCCTAGCGTCCGATTGCCACGAATTTCCTGTAAAAAATACCGCTATATTTGAACCATTTAATAGGCCAATTAATTGTAAGAGTTTGGCCATCAACTTGACAGTTTTGAGGATGTCACGGAAGGAAGCTGTAAATTAAAATTTGATCAGATGCGGAAGTTGAAAATTCCTTATGCATATGAAATTAATGTTAAGGCCAAATAAAAATAAACAAGGGTCCCCGCTCGGGTTTTTTTTGGAGGCCGCCTCCTTTTTTTTTTGAAAGAAAAAGCAGAGCATAATCAGTTTTAAACAGGAACATCATTTTGTTGTCTTTGTCTGTTGCATCTAGCCCATAAGGCTAGTAACTATGTCATTCCCTTAGGCCAAAAACAAGTCTCCGGTTTCTGGTATGGAGCTTGCCCAAAAAGTGGTGCAGCGACGCGGCTTTTGTTTTTTTACCTGATTTTTTTTGGCTTCAAATGTCGGCTGATGACTGCAAATGGTGTCCGACTAAACCTAGTCCAAATATATGGGAGTCCAGAGAGGCCACATAAAGCTTATTCTGGACCATAAGCCCATCTAAAAACACGTTAAAATTGTGCAGTAGCAGGATTCCAGTCAAACCAGTGAGTTTGGCGGCTTTGAGACATCATCTTTCATTGAAAAAAAAAGTTTTCATTTTGCCGACGCGCATGGCTACGGCGACGCGTGCGCATACCAGAAACCGGAGGCTTAATTTTTTTTGGCCTTAGTGCAAGTGGTGGCCATTAAAAAAATCCATCTTTAAAAATACACCCGGCCGGTCATTCTCGAAAATTGGGTTGGGCGGCCATTTTGGAAAAAAGGCCTTCCTTCTTTTTTTTCAAAAAGGCAGGACGCTAATCATGTTTTTTTTGGGGGGGGGGGCTAGACTGATAGTGGACATTTTTGGTTCGGCAGTGGATTTGTCAGTTCGGTATTATATTCCGTTAAAAGAAAATACAATGTTATAAAAATAATAATAATAATCACAAGAGGGTAAAAATACACGAATAAAAATAAGGCATACCTACACGTTATCGTAACACTTACGTCATAGTACAGTTATATTGCACTTTGTCACAAACTGATGTGTCAATTCATTCAATTATGGAATTACACTGTAAAAAAGTAAAACACATTTTTTTTTCCATTTAAAGTATAACGGTTCACCGTAATGTACATTTCACAGCTTTCCATAATTATATAGCAGTACTATTGTGCCAAAACGGTAAAATACCAAGAGGCAATACATTTCGTTCGTAATTATTTTTTACCAAAAAGTTGTAAATCTAAATCATTTCCATTCAATTAGACTACATCATTTCTGCGTTATTGCAGCATTGCTTCTGAAATTTGCGTTTGGGGCCATTATTTTAAAATTTTATTTGGGTTTACAATACGGTTATTTCATGCGTCCAAACAACCAGAAGTGTAATAAAACAATGACCCGGTATTTTCTTTTTACAATGTGAAGTCATGAGCCGAGGGTGCTTTTTATTACTTTTATTGCTTTTTATTACTGAACCATGAGGTAGTGTGAATAATTATCATGCCGATACCAGGTTCGAACCATTGCAATGCAGTTAAAAGGTAACGCATTAGCAAGGAAGGGATGTTGATCTGAACACCACGGCTCCGTCAAGCCTATGCAAAAATTGCTTTTGGTGCCCAGTTATACTCATCTCCTTCATCCCAAATCCTAATATCCACTCATCCTCGAAGTCAGGAACCCTGCGAGACAGGAATCACTTCCAAGAACCAAGATTAACCGAGATCTTCAATTTTCTTCATTGGACCAGCTGTAAGATGGCCACGGGTGCCACTGTCGTCACCATTTTGGCCCTGCTAGCTACTCTAGACAGGACAGTGCTTTCAGAAGCAACCAACCATGGAACTCATCCCATTGTTAACCCATGGTCCTACTGTCATGGAGTATTGTCACGCATCATGCCACTCAGGTTTGTGACGCCAAACCTACCTCGCTCACAGTGGGAAACTTGGAACCAGGAACTGAAAACACAACTTGGCCCTCTCCATTTCGACCTATCGTCGGGTCATATAACTCCGTCACAAGCAGGTTAGGTGTTTACAGAGTCATTATTCAACTTTGTCAAAGGAAAACCGGAACTAGTTGAATCAGATAAGCACACGGGGTATGTTTCTCATGACCCCCGAGTACTCACCAATGCCAAAAAGGAAATGAATAAATTGAGGAAAAGAGCGTTTGGAAAAAACAGTACACATGAAAACTGCAAGAGATTCAACGAAGCAAACAGACACTATAGTGCTCTCAAAAAAGTCTTCAAGAAAACCAAAGATCTGAAAAACGTTGAACACGAAGAGAAACTATTTCACAGCAATTTCTACGAATTTGCAAAGCGCCTTACCAAAGGCGAACTGTACAAAGACGTTACCAAGCCAACCTTCACAAAATGTTGTGCAAATGAGTATTATACAAAGAAATACTCCTCCTCAGCCCACTTCATCCACAACGATCTCAATTGGTTCCCTTACATCCGAGTACCTGATGACGGCACGGACTTTGACCTCACACCGGTTCGGCCGAGGGACATAAAATCAGTTCTACAGCACAAGTCATCAAATAAATCCCCTGGCCCGGACAATATCACCTACGGAATTCTGAAAAAGCTACCAGCCACTCATCATTTCCTGGCCACCCTCTTCTCCCGGATCATGCAAGTTGGATCACCGCCAAGATCATGGTCGTGCTGCAAAGTCAGCCTCATCCACAAGAAAGGAGAAGCATCTCTGCCTGAGAACTTCCGTATGATCGCCCTCAACAGCTGCGTAGCCAAAATCTATCACCAGTTACTGTCGCAACGTTTTAATACGTACCTCACAGACAATGAACTTATCGACACTACTATGCAGAAAGCTTTCATACAAGGTATCAACGGATGCATCGAGCATCCGTTGATACCTTGCATCCTAGTCAGGGTTTCCATCTTTGTCTCTTTCAGTGGCCAGCACGGGGAACATCGTGCATCTCAGCGTGCATCCCAAGGACAAGGTACCGCTCGGCGCTTCGATCACCCTGACGTGTCAGGTGGATAACGCTGGGTACGGCTCTGGGGTCAGGTGGTACCTGAACGACGTGCGTGTGTTCGGCTACCGTTCCGGACTGCAGGACGCCAATGACCGATACAGAGAAGATGCACCCATTATGGGGACATGGAGGTATGCCAATATTCTCTCTGCATGGTATCTGCCATGTTCGGCCGAAGATCGAGGCCACTATTGGAAACGAAAAACTTGTTTGGCAAGTACAGTGTTAAAACTCCCGGATCACATTTGACCCGGATCCATGTCAGATTTGACCAAACACCTTTTGCGTCAAAATGATCCTTCTTCGAGTCAATTTTCTGAACCATGTGTCTCGGAAAAGTGTCTTTTTAACCCAGAAAAGTGTCCATTTGACGCAAAACCTGTGATTTTGAATCCTGACCCTTATTCATTTTGGAATCTGACCCGGGTCTGTTATAAGTGTACATGTAATTACATGTATCTGGGCAGCTCAGCAAAAGGGTTTTACACATTCAAATTAATGGCCAAAGCCACGGGTCTATCGTTTTGAAAACAAGCATGCAAGGGTCCTTAAAGTTGCTCTACTTTTGCTCTTCAACTTAAATGTGTGTGTGTTTTTTTCTTCTAGTGACCTTCAAATTTCGAACGTTTTGTTTATAAGGAAAGTTCTGTGTTTTTTTCTTTTCTTTTCGTGGACGTTTTGAACCCCCTGCTTTTATGTAGGGTTGATTTTTGCGCTCATAAGGCACACAAGATTTGTCTGATTTCTTTGTGCTCCAAATCATTCAAAATTAATATAAAATATGTAATCGTGAGGGACGTTTTGTTCCAAGTGAATACATTTTTGAATTTCTAGAAAAAAATAATAAAAAGCAATTGAAAACTTTTTCAGGGGTGGAACTAAAAAAAAAAAAACAGCCAAGGGAGATCGAGAGCAACTTTAACAAATTTAACGTTGACTTGGTTAGGCTGCAGAGTGTGTAAAAAATATACTATGATACACAAGTAATACACACGGTGAATCTAGCAGTTGGTTCTAAATTACCACAACAAAATTGATCATTGTTTCTTCTAAATGTTTTCCCCTTTTACCGTTTTTCCATGCCTTGATAGGTTCATGATCGCATCTGCGCAGAACGAGGACTCTGGCACGTGGCGTTGCGAGACCGAGTTCCCGCCGCCGAACTCACTGCGGTCGTCCCGCAAACAGATGCAGCTGAAAATAGGCGGTAAGTCCAAGCTTACAGGGGTAGAGGGCGCCACCAAGCGTTGGTCTCTAAAACGACACCTATCAACTTCACAATGCACTTTTTTTCATGTTTCCGATATGTTCACTTCTCCTCAACGACTGTTTACTGCAGTACCACGCTAACGCAAATACATACTGTGTAAGCTCTTATAGAAAAGCACCGTTATTCAAACAAAATGTCTAACTTTGACAACAAAATCCCTGTAAAACTGAGTCCTTGTGCAAGAGGGATCATGGTGGCCCCCTTAACCTCTTAGGTGGCTTTTGTGAATATATCCTTTTAGGTGAACGGAACAGTAAACAGTTCCCATTGTATATAGACACAAATGATACATGCCCCCATTTGGAAAAAAAGAAAAGAAAACATGAAGCTCTCACATAAAATAAAATACTTTACATTACCAGGTTTCTGCCACTTTTTGTTAAATTGTTAGTGGTTAACTGATGACTTTTGGATGATTAGTCCATCAAAAAAATGAACCATCCCCTCCATTTCAAAATGTTGACCTCATTTTCTCAGCAACTTTATTTTGAAGTCCTGATCAGACCGTGGACCCTCACTTGCTACAAGCCAACAGGTGCAACGGCCACAAAACTCTCCCTCAGGAAAGAAAACCGATGGCAACAAATGATGATTTTGGGAATATCTACTGGTCTGTTACCATACAACACAAAAACTGCGTGGACGATAATAAAGGTCTCCAACTATTGGCGCAATCAGTTAATTCCGCACTTTTCTGCCTTATCTATCTTATTATCTGTACTCACACGCAATGCGTGCGAATCCAGAGGACAACTACAATATTTATTTTATTTCAGCCACATCCAACAGCGCAAGCGCCAATAACAGGATGGATACATGAAGAGAAGACAGTTACACTTTTAGAGGTGGGAGGAAAAGCCCAGAAGAATTTTCTGGGGAAAACCCACGGAGTCAGGCAGGGACTGAAAACCCAATCCCCATATTGGCCCAGGCGGGATTCGAACCCGGGTCACAGCGGTGGAAGGCGAGGAAAGTACCGCTACGCCAACCTGACTCCCCTAATTATGGATATCAGGCCATTGAGTCAGAAACCAAATTCATTGTCTGTGAGATCTCGACAGGTTCATGTCAATATGTTATTTGCTATTCGGACGATATCGCTATTCGGACGATATCGCGATATATTTTTCGGACAGATGAAATGGTCAAAAATGGCAGATGTCCAACTACCAAGTAATTTCTTTTATTTGATTTCACCATCCATGACAATAATAAGGACAACATTGTTATAAGGCTAGTTGTATAGTTTTAGACTTATTGGCAATCAAAAGTACTGCATTATTTGTTCTTTTTTAACATTGCTACATGCGAGCAGTTCCAAGTATTCTTAGCCTATCGAGGGACATAGAGACAACCCTCAGGTCCTATGTTCGACTTCAATGCAACGTGTCAGCGGAACCCGATGCCTCTGTGATGTGGCGTAAGGCCACACCTCAGCCATCCCTACCGTCAAGTGCTAGCATCGACCCCATCACTAACGCCCTCAGCTTCAGAGTCATGACAATCAAGGATGGGGGCGTGTACGAGTGTGTGGCTACCAATGTACTGGGGACTGTTGTCGGTCGCGTGATAGTCAATGTTATCCGTAAGTGAACTAAGTTCACTCCTAATTCATGTCATTATTGGTTTTTGTTTTCAATTTAGTTCTTGATTATCTTTCATTTAAGTACTTGTTCTGTAATTGTTTACTTTCCTTTGATTTTCACCAATCTGGAAATAAATGCAAATTGAATTGAATTAAAGTTCAATATTTAATCGGCGTAGGCCCTATATCAGTTAAAAGTAGAAGGGGCATTTGTTTTTTGTTGTCGTTTTACAAACTTGCCGTCATTGCTTTAAAGTACGATACAAAACAACAGTATACTTTACACTTTGAGAAAACAGAGAAAAACGTGTATTCACATTTTTGTTTTTGTCTCGTAACTGGATGCCGCTGCTAATGCACGTAAAAAGATGCACGCGGCCACCCTATTTTGAAACCACCTCCAATGAAAATTGTCTTTCAATTTCCCAAGTTATATTTAATACCAGTGTACCAGTATAATAAACGATAGGTTCTGTCATTTAATAGGTTGCTACATTTCTTTGCGGTTGGGTAATTACAAATGATCCTACGATAGCTTTAAGATCTAAAAGCATCCTGGTCAGATTGACCCGGAATCCTTGTTCTATTTGGCTCAACCCTTTTCCGTGACAAAAATGACAATTTCCCTGGTCGAAATGACACTATGTCCGGGTCAAGACATAGATCCCGCCATTTCACTGAACAAGTAGGCATCGGAAGCGGATTTTCGACTTTCGGAGTTTGTTGTGGTGTTGCCTCTACACCACAAAGGTGTGTTTTTGCTAATGACTGTAAGCACATAGCCTATACACTAGTACATTTAGAAGTTGACCAGGAATCTTTTCAGGGTCAGAATGACACCTCTCTAGATCAAATTGACAATTCTTTGGATCTTAACTAATAACTTTATATTTTGACACAGAAAAGTGTTATTTTCACCCTGAAAAGTATCAGGTAAAAAATGACCCGGGTTCCATAGTTTTTTTTTTTTAGAGTGTAGGGTCCTTTAATCCCTGCTTGTACTTTTTACAGGTTCCCAGATGTTAACAAAAAACAGCCTAAACACGGCAACGAAAACCTCAGCCTCTTTGTGTGGTAAATGGCTGTCGTATGTGGTAAATAGCTGTCGTGTGTGGTAAATGGCTGTCGTGTGTGGTAAATGGCTGTCGTGTGTGGTAAATGGCTGTCGTGTGTGGTAAATGGCTGTCGTGTGTGGTAAATGGCTGTCGTAAGTGGTAAATGGCTGCCGTGTGTGGTTATTGCCTGTCGTGTGTGGTAAATGGCTGTCGTGTGTGGTAAATGGCTGTCGTGTGTGGTAAATGGCTGTCGTAAGTGGTAAATGGCTGCCGTGTGTGGTTATTGCCTGTCGTGTGTGGTAAATGGCTGTCGTGTGTAGTAAATGGCTGTCGTGTGTGGTAAATGGCTGTCGTGTGTGGTAAATGGCTGTCGTGTGCGGTAAATGACTGTCGTGTGTGGTAAATGGCTGTTGTGTGTGGTAAATGGCTGCCGTGTGCGGTAAATGACTGTCGTGTGTGGTAAATGGCTGTCGTGTGTGGTAAATGGCTGTCGTGTGTGGTAAATGGCTGCCGTGTGCGGTAAGTGACTGTCGTGTGTCGTAAATGGTTGCCGTGTGTGGTTAAATGGCTGTCGTGTGTTGCAAATGGCTGCCGTGTGTGGTAATTGGCTGCCGTGTGGTAATTGGCTGTCGTGTGTGGTAAGTGACTGTCGTGTGTCGTAAATGGCTGCCGTGTGTCGTAAATGGCTGCCGTGTGTGGTAAATGACAGTCGTGTGTGGTAAATGGCTGTCTTGTGTGGTAATTGGCTGTCGTGTATGCTAATGACCCCGTCGCTTTGCAAACTCCTCAATAAAACAAACAAATCTGTGACAAGTTTAATCTTTGCGCGGAATCGTCATACTGTAATAAATCAAAACATAATCTTGTCATGTAGAAGAACAAAGTGAGACTCCATTTAACTTGTCAATGCAGATATTCCATTGGATGAAAGTTTAATCATGTTAAAGCGGCCTCTTGATTTTCTTCTTTTTTGCCCAGACGCTCCAGTTATCGACACCGCCCTCTCGGACGACCGGGTGGTCAGTTGGATCAATCTGCCGGTCAACCTGACCTGCGCGTGGAGCGCCTACCCGACCCCTCGGGTCAGTTGGGACAGGAGCGGGGTCATGGTGGATCAGACCCGGGTCAGGACGTATACCAGTGGCAGCATCAGCGTGTTACAGGTACGGGACCTGCGGTGTGAACCAGCCAACATGGTTTCGTCATGGGGTGTTATCGAAACCCCGGTTTCATCTGTGGCTCGACCTCCACCTTTAATTGACTTAATATTCCTTAAGAAACCTTGTATGTCGGAACCAGAAAAAAAAACACATAAAATCCATATGGTTCGATTTGTTTTCTTTTCAAGGTCAGTCCTACAACAACAGACTTTGTAACTTACCGCTGTTTCGTCGACAACAATCGTGGTAGAGCGGTACACACTGTTGCGCTTGATGCCGCTGGTAAGTTGAAATGAGAATAACGTTTGAAAAGTCCATGTGCATTATGTTGCATCTGCAACTGTGATGCACTCTTAAAAGTCCCGAGTCAGATATGACGCGGGATCCGAGTCAGATTTGACCTGATACTTTATTTTCAGGGTCAAGCGACTCTGTTTTAAGCGACTCCGTTTTGACAAGATCATTTTCCGGATCATTTGACCCGGCAACCTTGACAAAGTTGTCTTTTTGATCAAGAAAAGTGTCATTCGACATAAAATCAAATCTGACCCGGATTCATCGTCAACTCTAACCCGGAACGTTTTTGAGTGCATGCTTGTGATTTGGTTTCTGATTGAACTGACTTCAACTCTTCAAAGCAAACTAGAAAGTAGTTTAATAAACAGATAGGAAAATCAGATTACCCATGATTCTATCGTCTGTTATCGTTCCCTCCCTCTGCTTCATCTAGCCACGCCCAGCGCTCCAGGCAACGTCCGTGCTGGGGCTATTACCCATGACACCGTGACCCTACTCCTAGATCCGCCACAAACCAACGGTGGCCTTGCCGTGACGGACCACCGAGTCGGCTACCGCGAAACCAACGTGTTGGGCCTACGATGGAAAGTTGTTGAATTTCCAATTGGTAAGAAATGGATCAAGTCCACTGACTTTTTTTATAGGTCAAATGAGGGCGCTGTGATCAAATACCTTGAATTTACGTCGTTTTTTTACCCAGCGCCCTCATGCGCTTAAGAATAAGGCCTTAGGTTATTGGTTTCCGAAATTAAAGATAATCAAATAATTTGCTTTAACTTTGTATGATTTGTGTTTTTGTGAAATAGTAGTCTTGCAGTTATGTGAGTGAAATCACAAGTCAATCATAAGTCAAATCACAAGTCATTTTACTGTTTAAAGGAGGACGCATGATCAATGACAAAGGAAAGTCATTGGCTGATAGCTTGTCACTTGACTCGATGATGTCGCTTGACTGGAGGTGTGATTGACTCGGGATTGACTTTTGATTGACTCGTGATTGACTCGTGATTGACTCGTGCTTAGCTCGTGATTGACCGCAGCCTGATCTACAGCCCGATCTAAAAATACCATTTTGTGGAAAGTCATTAATTTGCCAGCATTCCATTGAATTAGTGAACCTACTCAGAAGAACATAACAAGCCTTAGCCAACGAGATGTGCTTCCTCCTCAATCAATTACACATATCCTGCCCAATCGCTAGTGCCTGGTACGAGTTGTACCTTTTAATTGAAGGAAGTTCCCCCTAGGTTTACGGTCAAACCCCAACACTGACAAAACTGTCAGGAACCCGGAAGTGGTACACTATGATTTTATGATCACTTGAGTCTGGTTCCGGCAGCCAACTCGATCGTCTATTTATAGCCACATGCCGGAGGGTATTATTTGACGCTCTTCTGTTCACATTGATACACAGGCCAGAATACCATCATAACGGGTCTGAAACCAGACACGGAGTACCTGTTCAAGGTAGCGGCTGGCAACGCAGTAGGCTACGGCAATTACTCGGATGTAATCAGGATCTCCACGCCTAGACAATGTGAGTATTATATTTGTTGCTCTTGGGTTTAATAGCCCCCGAATGTAGCCGATTTACTGGATTACCTCGTGTCCATAAATAAAGGCCACACTTGGAACATACACACCCGAAAAAAGGAGAACTTTGGCAGATTTTTATTTTCACATTAAGACTTTGTTTGTTGTTTATGCTTTAAAGCATACTCACCATCTTGACAGCGATAGAAAAGAAGTCCGGCCTTTCTGAGACGTCTATTTTTTGTGTAATTTCCAAGTTCGTTTACACACGTTTGCGTATCTTAATGAATTAAACAAAAAATAGACGTCTGAAAAAAGGGGGGACTTCGCTCTATCGCTAAAAGCGGGTGAGTATGCTTCCAAAGCGTAGATAAACTACAAATATTGTATAAATGTGAACACCAAAATTTTACAAAGTTCTACATTTTCGAGTACGTGTTTCAAGCGTGGCCTTTATTTAATGAGATAGCCCAGTACTTTGGCCACATTTATGGGGCTAGGATTTCGAGTGTCATGCACTAAAAAGTTGAGAATTTTTTTACACCCTTTGTGTACCCACTGTTTTTCCGTATTTAGTCTCAGTCATGGTTAGACTTTTTTCAAAGTATGAAAGTCCGTTTTTGGCATCACGTATAAATTGTAAACGAGTCAAGAATTACATTTTGGATGTCGTTGTTTGGTTGAGAATGTTGCTGATAAAAAGGGAGAGAAAAGAAAGTGTGTATTTACCAAGATTGGATACTAATGCGCATTAGCTAACAGGCTTTCGTAAGATGCCTAAGCATGCCTCAAACATCAACACACATGTGGGTATTATGTTAAGTGTTGACAAAAGCGTACAAACTCTTAAAAAAAAACTGTGCAAACTGTAAATCGCAAGTCAAATTACCATTCAAATCGCAAATCACTGTTAAAGTACCTGGGTAAACTGGGAAAAAGCAGTTCATTTGAATAGCTTGTGAGTCGAGACCAGGCCGGATCAAGGGTTTCGTAGGCCCTATGCACCAGTGTTCCGTACAAACTGAAGCCAGGATATACTGGTATAGGTCCCGGCTCCAAGCCTGCTGGCAACAAGGGCGTCAATCACTTCTCAAAAGTGGGTCCCCGATTTGGCGATCGTGGACAAACATAAATATATTAAGTAACACTTAATGAAATTTATGGATGAATGGTCATTCAATTGAGTGCGCCACAACCCAACAGGAGTTGTGGGCTGCACATGGCACTTACAAAAGAATCACAGGGAACAAAGCAGAAAGCTGAATCCCATTTAGTACGTGGTTTCATAACCATGAAAAATGCAAACCATAAGTACAATGGAAAATGCACTGAAGCCTGTACAACCAAGACGTACAGGGAGACATGTGAAGCTTCAGTAATAGTTGTGCCTGCAGCAAGACAGCAGCCATTTTCTGCTTTGCAGATTCAAATTTTCACCGCCGCCGCCCCACCGTCCACTCACAAAAGCTATTATAATCAGCATCACCAGGGGGCAGGAGTTCTTATGGTGTGAATTTATAGTGAATTAAGTTGCAATGAGTATGCGAGGAAAAACAAGATCAAAGGAAATGACAGATAAAAGGTTAAATTAAATATTATGATTAAAGCTCACGACAATAATGACTTGATTTAAAACGTTTTGGTAGTTGACAAGGCATAACATCAACAGGTCTTTAACCAAATAAAATTGTCATCTTGTATTTTCAAACTATCGAGATGAAAGTAAACAGCAGAAACCTGATGATTAACAATCATGAATAATCTTATAAATCAGATTAAATTATGTATGTATTCTATGTAGTAAAAAAGCTAAAGCAAAAGATGTGATAACTTTAAGATATTAATGTAGTGAAAGTTATATTTAAGAATTATGAAGGGACTCCTTAACCACACAAGTCATGCTGTAATTCAAAATTAATTATTTGATGAATAAATGACCAGAAAGACATAAATGGGAAGTCTTCTTAAAAAAGACCAAACAAAAGAGGGACAATAGGGGGTCCCCAATTGCAGGTAAATACACACTTGCGTGTATGGGTAGGCCTATGTATGCTGTGTTTTATGGCTCACTGCGGTATTTTCGTAGGCCCCCAATTTTTTCGTAGGCGCCCGAATTTTTCGAAGGCCCTAAGCACAGTGCCTACTGTGCGTATTGGGTAATCCAAGCCTGGTCGGGACAGTATGACTTGACTTATGAAATCTTGTGATTACTTCAATAATCATTAGGGAAATTGCCACGTTCATGTTTGTAACTGTACAATGCTGTTAATAGTATTTTATGTTGTCAAACATTTCTTTATGGTTCCGTACGTTGCCAAAATGTTTTGTAAGTTTATGTGAACTACCAATCAAGGTCTGATTTCCTTCTCTATGATAAACACATTACCTTCCCTTGATGTTTCCTTTTCGTTGAAGTATGAAACATTTCTTGGCTATAATTACTCTTCATTCAATTACAAAAAAAGAGTGTTGAATAGAAAAATTGAATCATACAAATAACACCCTCATGGTGCCTTCGCAACTTTGATGTCAAATTAAAATTTACTGCACAGAATTTGTCTGGCAACCTCAATTTAAATACCATTACTAATGCTGTATGCCACGCTCGAGTGCAGCTGGTACGCACGTACTCAATACGCCTACGACCAGGGGCTCCCAGAATGCATATCCGGTTCGTTAGTGTGACGTCACCTCCAGCACTTTCTGCATGAGTGGAACCGGAAGTTAACGCAACTCGAGCGTTTGTAGCCAATGTGCGCTAGTCACCAATGGTGGGCGCGCGTGTATGACGTTTTTACTAACGAACTGGATAATATGCACGCACGCGCACCCTACGTTACCGAACGCGCGCAAAATGGGAGCGGTGCCTCCTAAGTTTATGGCTTCCAGTTTTAGTTGTGTTCGATGCATTATTCCATATGGGAGTGTCACTTTGTTCCATGTATAGACGCATCCAGTCCAGGAATGACTACCTTCTACCCCAATGTAACGCATACCACGTCCAGTTTCTGGCTGCATAACGACACCTTCACGCACAGCACAGACGCCGACAACACCACATCCGAGACGGACTTCGAGTCGGGCTTTCACGGGCCGTCCCCCTTCGCCATCGTCATTGGCGCATTGGTGGCTGTCTTCCTCAGCGCGGTGCTCATCTTTCTGATAACATCCCTGCGGATTTTCAATTGGCACAAGAAACGACCGACAGAGGTATAAGACACTAGACCAAAAGATTGTTTATTTTTAGTCAGCCGTTCCAGCGAAGCTCGTTGTGATGTAAATTGTGATGGCATCTAACTAACGATTATGGGCTAAAGTCCAACCTGACTTTGTCCGTGATATGTCGTTTTCCTTACAATGGGTGGAAAGTACAAACTGCATTATAGTGGTAAGAATAGCAATACGTCTGTGAATAGGAAAATGGTTATTTATCGCCAATTGTCTATTCGGTGTTGAATTTTTCACAACCTAATAAACCAGTTTCCGAATGAAGGCCTAAAAACGTGTTTTTAATTTGGTTGTGTTACACATATATTTCATTGGCTCTCTTGAAACTGCGTTAAGTGTTACGGACGCTTCTCGTGTAGTAACGTAATTACACAAATCCATACATGGCTAAACAATCGGTGTAAATATTTTCGTCTGTTGTTGTTTTATTAAAGGAGCAGCATCTCTGCCGGAACCGACCTAATTCAATATTCAGCGACGCTTCGCTGTTCCAGTTGAGAAATGATAGCGTGGTAAGCGTGGTGTCATAAAACAAACATAGTTGGCCGCTTTTGTACCAAATTTGAAGCCAACACTCTAATGAGTCCTGGGCTAGATTTGACTCGGATTCTTGGTCACAGTTGACCCGATAATTTACAGGGCAAAAATAACACTTTTTCTTGGTCAACATGATCCGGAAGATGATACAGAGAAGTGATATTTTGACCCGGAAAAGTGTAATTTTGACCCTTAAATAGTATCAGGTCGATTGTCACGTGGATTCAGAATCATTATTTTCGAATATCATTAGTGCCAATTTGGTATGGATTACTTAACTAAAAAAAATCGAGGGCGTAATGTTTAATTCTGTTTACATTAAACTAAACATTGGCCATTTAATTTACAACTTTTACTTTGAGCGACTTGCCTCTGAGATGTCTCAAGAATTTGTAATTATTTGACTATATTTTCAAAGCAATATGACGTGATGCCCATGACCTGTGGCCCCGGGCTTCTACGGGGTGAATTCGAGTTTCCACGGTACAAGCTTGTGTTTGGTACTGTCCTGGGCACTGGGTCCTTCGGTAAGGTCGTCCGGGGCGAGGCTGACGGTATACTGAGAACGGGAGCCAAGAGCGTGGTCGCCATCAAAACACTGAAAGGTAAGAAACTGAAGTGAAATCTCAACTCTTTGACTACAACAAGTGGCGTTGAGTCACACATAGACTAATACCAATCCTGTGTCAGAATCGAATCTGAATTGGAGTCAGATCCGTCCTGCCACTCTTCCGGGTCAAAACAGCCTTTTAGTGTGTTTCTAAATGGCACTTTAATTTGTGGGTCAAATGGGTCGGAAATGTGTCTGTGATTTCTAACCCAAACAAGTGTCCGTTCAAATCAGATCCGGATTGGGGTCGAATTCTGACCCGGGTCTTCTAGTGTACTGGCTTGGCTTGTCGAATTGAAACGTGCACAGTTTTGAGCTGATATATTTCTTTGCTGTACACAAAAAGGATAATACTGAATTGACACTTTGAGTAAGTCCACCAGCACTTTGTTGATTGTTAGAAGAATAGTCTGAGTAATAGACCAATCCTGGAATGCTATCAATTCTATCACGACGGCCCCCTTCAATGGCGAAAGCATTGTGCTAGCTATTGATCAGATACTCCGTTAAGGGGCAGTTGCTTTGTACAGTGGCGCGCACAATGGTATCTCCATTGAAGGGGGCCTCGTGAGTGTACAGCGATCACGTGTCTTCGTCCATATATGGAACATTACTTCCGTTATGACTGAAAAGCCTCATGAAAAGTCACGTACCCGGACTTGTATAGAAACTAAATAAAATATAATTTAGGCCTAGGCCTTTCACTCTTACTACTTTAAAAAGACTTTAAGCTTACAAGTATTCCAATTTGAACGTTTTCCTTTGTTTCGCTTTTCTCAAGAAAACGCCACCCCAAATGACCACCAAGACCTACTGAAGGAACTCGGCGTCATGAAGATTCTGAAACCTCACCCAAACATCGTGACGCTCTTCGGGTGTTGCACCGGAGAAGGTAAATCCTGTAAAGCTGGAAAAACATCAGATCAACTCGCCCCCAAAAAACAAACAAATAACCAACCAATTGTAAGAAACCCGATTCATGTTTTGCCTTTCCTTTCAGATCCTCCTTTGATCATCATGGAGTACCTCCCGAACGGAAATCTCTTGCAACATCTCCGTAACAGCCGGCAACGCGTGGAGGATGCGGAGACGCACCGAGCGAGCATCCGCACCACCATGTCACCAACGGACCTCATACGATACGCGTACGAGATCGCTAATGGCATGACGTACTTGGCATCCATGATGGTATGGTTCAGATAAAAATTCAGTGGGAAGTTTGCAGTATGAACGAGTGACGGTTGTTTCTTGATTTGTTTGACACTGAAAAGCAACTGCACCTGAACTCGAACAATTCTCGGGTCAGATATGACTCAGAATCTGGGTTCTATTTGCCCTGATACTTTTCAGGGTCAGTTACGACAGGCGGATATTATTCTGGCGGATCCAGAACACAATTTTTATGTTTATTTTTTTTTGGGGGGGGGGGGCAAAAAAAGGTTGTCCCTAAAAAAGTGGGTCAAAAAAATTACAATGTGGGGTCGATCAAAACCCGCTTAAGGGCCCCGAAAATTGTTTGGATTCTAGATGCTCTGTGGTGCGATCTGAGAAAATTTCTGACCACTTTAAGCAGTTTTATTTGATGAAAAGATGGTGGTGTACGCAGTGCCTGCCTTTATTGCGACGTCACTTATAAAAGAAAAATTGGGGGTTTTTTTTGGGGGGGGGGGAGGGGGGCATTTTGCTAAGGTTTCCGGGTTAAAATAGCCCGATCTAGACAAATGTCATTTTGACCAGGAAAATTTTCCAGAAATGTATCAGGTGAATTAAAACCAGGATTTCCGGTCTAATTTTACCAGGGGATTCCAGTGTGCGTGTCACTTCAACATATCAGTATGCCCTGTTTACAAGAGATTTGAAGTCGCATGCAATGTTTTACCGCAGATCGAAAGACTGAATTGTTTTATATGTTCGAAATGTCAAAATATTATAAACAAGAGGGATTATGTTAAACAATCCTATTTTGCCTAGCAATTTAATATTTTTTAAAAACATTATAATAGTGCATTCATCGGGATCTTGCTGCCCGGAACATTCTCCTGTCACGTGACGGTGTTTGCAAATTATCTGATTTTGGATTGGCCCGTGATGTCGTCAATGGAGGAATCTACCAAAGAAAGACGCAGGTAAGCAAGAAATGCAAACCAAAATTACACTCTCAAAGTTTTCCACGCTCAAATTTATTCACGTTCAAAGTTTTCCACGCTCAAATTTATTCACGCTTAAAGTTATTCCTGTTGTTCCTATTGTTTCCTACTGTGATCGTTATAGTTTTTCATTCTTGTTTTCGCTTTGGTAATTCCAAAATAACTACATTAATATCGGAGTTTAATTCCAGTATTGTTTTTTGTTCCTCAGGGTCGTGTTCCAATCAGATGGATGGCCCTGGAATCTTTACTTGACAACGTGTACACCATTCAGAGCGACGTCTGGTCCTTCGCAGTGCTCATGTGGGAAATTGTAACCATCGGTAATTCACTCGAATACACCTTTTCATAATAATTGACTGTAAAGAGGGCGCTGTCGTCCTAGAGCGCCCTCCAGTGCCAAAAGTTATGTGCACACTGAAACAATGTGCATGATGGATTACCTATAATTTTCACATTTTGAGATAATCGCGTCCTCTGTGTAAATATTAATGTAGAGAATGGTTTCAGGGCTTGTGTGTTATTAGGCCCTATTGGATATCACTGTTTACGGATGCAAACAATATTTGTTGGCCTACCTTTCTTTAATACTTATTTTGACATATTTGGTGGTTTTTTCCCTCCTCGACTGCAGGATCGTATCCTTTTCCGGGCATGTCTTCCAAGAGACTCATCAAGGAACTGCAGAGGGGTTATAGAATGCCTAGACCAGACCACTGCAGTGGAGACGTGTATGTCTCTTTATCATTATCATTAAATTGAAGAATATGATATGGTTAATGTCGACAACGAGTACTGGTACGAACTAGGAGCCAGCTTCTTGTCTTTGGCATCATGTACATGTACCGACATAAAAAGTCCGGGTCAAATTTGACGCTGAATCTGTTTTTGAACGCTTATTTCACATGATTGTTGTTGAGGGTCAAAATGCCACTTTGCTGGATCCATATAACACCTCTATGGCACACTTTTTGTACCATTATGACCCAGAAAACTGGCAAGTGGACATTTCTAAATCATTTTGACCTGAAAACCTTTGGAACAGTGTCATTTTGACCCATAAAAGTGTCAGTTTGACCCAGAAACGTATCAGTTCCATATGATTTGGAGTTCGGGTCAAATTTGACTAGATTAAAAGTGTATGGAAACGGTGCCTGTACTCCATGAACAAAAGTGAAGCTTTCTCCGCGCGTTCTCATTGGTTGCTTAAACGGCGCCTTCGGGTTTTTTTTTTATGCAAGGAGTCTATTAGGCTTTCAAGAGTGGCCAGGGCAGCGTCCTGAGTTACTTGGCTGTGGGCCGGCTATTATTTCATGCGCGTATAAAATCGACATGTTCCTCGTCCCATAGACGCGCGGGTTACTGCCAGACGTAATCAAGCCAAATCTATACAATCTTGCTATTTGAGTTTTAATACCTTAAGTTGGCTATTCTGTTTTGTTTTCTTTACAGGTACGACATGATGATCGATTGTTGGAGAGAGAACCCGGCCAGCCGGCCAACCTTTGAGAATCTGAGAAACAGACTGGAGGCAATTCTCATCGAATCCAGAGTAAGATATCCCCTGGACTTCGTTTTCCTAGATTTGTCCGCTTTTCCTGACACAGAACTCAGTGCAGTAAACTAAGTTCTTTGATATGTTGGAAGCAAACAACCCGGTTCTTTTTAGCTGTTTGCGTCACGTTCAAGCTTAGTGCGCATGTTAAAAATGACGCAAACAATAGGAACGAACGGGTGTATTTGCTGCCATCGAGCTTCCCTAAAGTCTCTCATTTCTGTGAAGCATCGATGTATTTCCGCCATGTGGTTGCGAAGGCCGATTTCTAAAGGTTACGTAATACTTTATTTCGAATGAAGCAACATGCACACATAATGATGTTCGTGGGCGACTTCTTTGAAAATGTATTTCTCCCGTTTGGAAGACCGTATCTTCATGCGACTTTCAGGGTTTGTTTCCCTTATAATGATGCAGCTATGCAATCAAAATGATATGTTCAATATTCTTATTTGAAATTAGAAAAATAGGCTTACGTTCATTTTTCAAATCTGTTACACTGGTGTTTGCAATATCTGTCAATCTTTTCAAGATCACGAATATTCTCAAGGTTTCTATCCATTATGGTGTGCAGTAAAAATGTGCACTAATGCCTCCTTCCCAGGTTGTTAATTAATAAATATGACCCTTTTCCCCCAGCTTCCATTGGTCGATACCGAGACCCGATCGAAGTCACGCCGAGTCACGCTTATCAATATGCTAATAATGCGCCTCGCCATTGTTGCGGCAAAATCGGCCAACCTGAAAACCACGTGTTGTTTTGGTCAGCAGGAAATCCTTGTCCAGGACAATTTGCCTTGGGGATGGTTCCAGGTGTTACACTAGCGTTTACAAAAACAGAAATTCGAAATATAGGCCTACCTAGATGATATTGGTGTTCAACTACTCGTGAAATAACGACTTGCGAGGGTTCCTAAAAATTGAGATAAGCTAGTAAAAAGATTTGGGGACCTTTTCAAACGATTTTCCACGATTTTTAGGTCAGCTTTACCAGTGACGTTTCGTCATTAATTATGGCGATTTTTTTTTTCACTGACATGAAGTTCAGAATTTCTTCCTCTGTTACTATTTAACATTTCAATCATACTAAGCACATTTTCTTAAAAAATCATAATGTTAAAAAAGCCATGTTTTTTGGGATGCATTGATTTCACTGCTCTGTTCGTCACTGTACGTAATCGGATTAAATGTGCCCAACAATACTAGACGCAAAGCCCTCGCAACCACAAGGCTGCTTTAGAGTGCACACGAGTGGACGTTGCAAAATCTTCCCATCATTGGCGTTTCCGTTTCAGCCACACTTGAAAGACTGTTTACAAAGATCTCAATAGTTTGCCCTTTTTGTTTCCTTACAGAATTACTTGGTCCTGGACTTTGATGAGCACCTTTACGACTACACGTACTCTGGCAGCTCAGACGGCGTAGATATTTAATGTTGCACGGTATTGATCGTCCTTCCAAAGTTGAAACCAATATTTGTAAATAAGTAGATCAAGTCATCCAAAGTTATCGCAACTTACCATAGGTCTTCACAAGTCATTTAATAACAAGTCAGGTCAGAAGATATACTGTTACATAGAATTGCTTAGCCGTAATTCATTCTCTGTAATTCATTGTCTATTTATAGACTTTTGACTGACCTGTTATGGACGTGTACCCGACATGATTGTGATTCCAGTGCACATCTCCCACATAGGGAATTTACTTTCCAAGTGTCCGGACGCGCCGCACAGACTGTAAATTCAGTGTATAAATTGTAAATAGCACGACAAAAGATAAGAATTTCGATTTAACAAATTGATGGCTTGTAGTCATTGTAGGCAATGCTAATTTATTTAACAAAATGTGATATTCCCTCAATATGTACTTGTTAATAGTTATGTTTATCTACAGGGTGAGTAAAAAAAATCCGAAACCCAAATGGCTGGACCAATTTTTGAATGAAGTTTTGCCTGTAGCACTTTCAAAATCTAAGATTAAGCTTTCTTTGAGTACAAGAATCATTCAAATCATTCAAACACCGTTTTAAAGTTCTGTCCACGGTTCACAAAAAAAGTAAGTGCTCTTGAAGCACATTGAATACAAGTCTCATAGGAATGCATGTGAATTGTTTTCGTTTTGGTGAAAGAATTAACACTTACCTTTTTTGTGATCTGTAGGGAGAACTTTACAACGGTGTTTGTGTTCACAATTCCGTTACTTTGAAAGTACATGAGTAATTTGAATAATTCTTGTACTAAAAGAAAGCGCATTGAAGTGCTACAGGCAAAATTTCATTCAAATTGGGCCTGCCATTTGGGTTGCGTTTTTTTCGAATCACCCTGTATGAACGAGTGAGGAAAAACATTAGATCGTATTTGATGAGAAAATGAAGGAAGAATATTTGTAAATTACTTAGAATAACGTAAATTACATTATCCTACTTATAAAAAGTATACCTGTACCAAATAACCAAACATTGGGTCAGTACCATCCACACAAAAAAGGGGAAAAAATGGAAAATGTACAACATAATCTTATCTGAATTTTTCAGCAGCTGACTGTTTTTCCAACCGAAAGGTACAGTCTCACCAAATTGTGCAAAGATGTCCTTAGACCACCGTTTGAATTTGGACAATTGCAGTATAACGTATCTACTAATATTTCGTGTACTCTTACAAAAGAACACAGCAAAGAGTGGTTGAAAATGCATTATTAAGAAAACAAAATGACAATGGTTTGCCATTAAGCGACGTAATACCTTCAGAGACTAAATGTTATACATGTACAGATTGACTCAGATTGATCTGGACCCAAGTTCAGAATATTTTGTGTGCAAATAAAGTATATTGAGAAACAAACTTAGTGTTTCATATGAATAATAATAACCTTGTCTTCCACAATTCTTTGAATTTTTCAAATTAGTGGCTGTGGTGAGGAGTTATGCCATTTTCATTGAAGTGGCTCATTTTTCAAAGTGCACAAGGAATTGGTTTTGCCTTTTTAAAAATGTCAAAAACTTGAAGTGTGTCAACATGACTAGGTTTTTATTCGTTGTTACACTGCTTCACATCAGTACGCGATTGCAATACATTTGTTGAACCATGGAACCGTGGTCAGAGTGTTTTTTTAGCGTGTGTTCTTTGTTAGCGCTTTTCTTCAAACTGGTAACAATGGATACACAAGAAACTTTCACGTAGGTCCAAAATACCAGCCTATAACATATCTGATTTTCACTTGTTTTGATAATTGCTCCATATTTTTAATATTTTCTTTATTTTGGGTCCAGATAATTCTGACTCACCCTGTAAGTGTAAAACCCACTATTAATTTTATACTAACGAAATTAGAACAACATTCGTTAAAGTAGCATGAAATGATGTGTGGTGTGGTTAAGTTCTTGGAAATTAAAGTATTATCATTAAATAAAACAGTACAAATGCACTTGACAATAATTTGTTAAAGTGTTGGACGTAGAAACAACGGAACAATTAAAAATCAGCCAGGAACTAAAAAGAAAATCCAAAATGTGTGTAAATACTATCGGCCCACACACGTATATACAGCTAAGATCTGGAACACGGTACCCTCTGGAGACATGACTTGTGCACAATAGGGAACACAAGAGTGTATACATCTCCACAGGGCAATTTCTTTAGGTGAATACGTCTTCACAAGTTTTTCACGAAATAGATACATGTACATGTATATGGATTTTACTCAAAAACTAGGAATTTCCAAGGTGTGTTGATATGTCGCAAATTGAAGTATTTTATGTAAGGGATATTAAGTCCGAATTTTAACCCAGTAAATTAATTCTGGTTCAAAAAGGAGCATTTTGAAAGTACACTTTCAAACTCGAAAACTTTAGTACACGAGAACAAAAGAAATGACTCCACAAGGATACAAATTTATGCATAAACACCCAAATGCTGAAAAAAACACGCTTATGATTGTTTTTTTTAAATTGCTTTTAACCCAAAGATTTCAAAGTTAAATTAACTAATTAAACGAATCAATATGCCAAGGCTATCTTGCCCTGTCAGTTGTATTATTCGAATTGAATTTACATTTATTTGCCATTACCAATTACTGTAAAAAAAATATTAAAAAACAAGAAAGAAAATGAAAGTGCAAAGATATACCCGCAAAAAATCCCTATTATCTAATCTGTAAAACCTTGATTATATTGTTTGATTATTACTTCTTATTTTGAACGTTGTGATTGAATTATGATAAATGGCTTAACTACACTTTTATGTTGGGGGGAAATTGAGACTGAACCAACTATCTGATAGATTATTATAAGCCTTTTTGGACAGAGTAATTTTCAAATAAGTATATCCACCAATTCATTCACTAAATACTTTTTTTCAATTCAAACACTGTGGTACTTCGAGTGAGTGAGTGAGTGAGTGAGTGAGTGAGTTAGTCAGTGCATCGTAATTATAAATTTCACAGATCTAAATGTACACGTAACACGGACAAGAAGAAAGATGCTAAAACGAAAACAGGAATTCTAGCTCAGAGGCCCCACCCCCAAACAACAGCAACAACAGCAGCAACAACAGCCACAACAGGAGCAGCAGCAGCAACAACAACAACAACAGCAACATCATCTACAACAGTAACAGCAGCATCAACAGAATGCAACAACATCAACTACAGCAGCAACAGCAACAACAGCAACAGCAACAACATCAACTACAGCAGCAACAGCAGAAGCAACAAAGCAACAACAACAACAACAACAACGACAACAACAACAGCAACAACAGCAAAATTAGCAGCAACAACAACAACAATAACGGCAACAGCAACAACAGCAACAACAGCAATAACAGCAACAACAGCAGCAGCAGCAGCAGCAACAACAACAACAACAACAACAGTGCAATACCATGAACAAAACCCGTCATTTTTAACGTTGGAGGAAAAACACAAAACAATATTTTCGGGAAATCTAATGGAACCAGGCAGCTAGAAACTGAAGACCGAACGGCGTGTCCATAGAAATGAGACTGGACCACGGTTCATAGAGTTGGAAGGCGACGAAAGTGCCCCTGCCAAAACCTGACTCTCAGGTCTGGTCCGATTTCATTTCGCTATATATACGGCTGGTAATGAAAGTGGATTCAGCCTCAGTCTCATGGGCCTAATGTTACATTTCGGTTTCTGCTACTGTGCTCGCATCCGTTTCCGTCTGGTGCTTCCAGCGGCTGGAACATGCGCACAGCAACCTATAGAAACCTTCTCGCCCCTCTCGGAAACGCCAAAAGTAGATGAAAGGGTTGAGAGCGGAATTCACCAGCAACGCCGCATAGCTGTACCGCAAGAATACCACAACCGACAAGGTGAGTTCACCGTGCGTGAACAGGACAATAAAGCCCACACAAAATGGCAGCCAACAGACAGCAGACGCCACGAATATGATCGTGAACGTTACCATAAGGTGACGCGTTTGGCGCACGCGGGTAGTAGCCTGTCCATCTACATGTATGTTATTGACTCCACCGATGGACGCCAGCGGCGGCGTATACATGGATATCTTACGGAAGACCACGAGGTATAAAACCCCAGTGACTATCAGAATAAAAAGGGGAATCAGAGCTTGGATCAGCCAGTTGATGGTGGGGTCTTGGAGGTACGTCGTAGGTAAGAAAAGCACGGCAGATAGGATCCAAATCAGGAGACATGCTACCACCATGCGGACGGGTGTCACTACGGCGTCATAGCGGGCAGGCGGCATCAGAGACAGCGCCAGCAAACGATTCACGGCTACGGCCAAGATGCTGAGCTGGGCGGTCAAGAAGAAAGCCCGAGACAGGGCAACAACCGTGGCCACGTGCCTGAAGTGAATGAATGTAATCAGCATTGCAGGGTAGGCGATGTCGGCGAGTATGAGGTTGAAGACGAAGCCATAGTACTTGATGCGGAGTAGCTTGGTTCGAGCAAACACCACCACCACGAGAAGATTCAAAACCACTGCGATGCCAGCGACCACGTGCACCGGGATGCTGGCTCTCATCAAGACTGCGTCTACGTCATCCATTTTAGCAAATTTGCTGCAGTTTCCTTGAACCTAAAAGGCAAGACATTTAAAGGAAGATCCGGATTGAAATATCTGCTCTTCTCCGTTGTGTGAAATTTAGGCGCCCTTAGCTATGAATTCAGATTTGTGTTTTTGATCCACCATGTTTGCCGAACACTGACCCGTAATGCACCAATACCAGTAAAAGCCAGCAGGGCAGCGATCCGGTCACTCAGGGTACCGAACACCAGATATGTCATGACATCACACTTTGTGTACTGCATTTACTGGGAGCCTAGCCTGGGACTACACCGTATGCAGTTGGGTAAATAAAAAAGGTCCCCTTGACATTGCGATGACATAGTATCGCAAAGACTAATAGGCCTAATATAACTTTTTTGTGGATAGATGCCCAACAGTTGAATGCAAAACACTGAAACCGATGAATGTGGGACATAGAATGTGCGAATTCTTTTTACTTTCCTAGTTTTTACTATCATTACTTTCAAGCGTGGAATGTACATATTGATCTTTGGTGGATATCAAACATACCAAGTGATGAACCTAACAATCGCGGTGTTGCTGCAATGGTATCGTGGTCATCAGGCGCGGTTCTAGAACCAATATTTTTGGGGGGCTAGCACGGTGGATCCAGAATTTTTTTCAGGGAGGCGTGCTGAAATGTAGACCGGTTATTTTTTCCAGACACTTTGGCCTCTAAAAATCAATAGGGGGGGGGGGGGGGGGGGGGGGGGGGGGGGGGGGCTCATGCCATATTTTCAATGGGGAGCGCAAATAAAATCCTAAAATCATTCACACTATATTAACTAATGCACCCTTGTCACGACTATTTTTCTTTAGGGGGAGACCGTTCGCATGTACATCACAATCCTTTTTGCTAATGCACTTTTTTTTACGGAATTTATTTTTTGGGGGGGGGCTACACAAAATTTGGGGGGGGGGGGGCTACAGCCACCCCTAGGCCCCCCGTAGAACCGCGCCTGGTGGTCATTTTTATTAATATCAAACCTTTTGTGTCCAAGGGACAGTTAATGCCACTCCCCCTATGGCTAGGCTAACCGCATACTAGGCGACTCGATAACCAGAAAAGTAGAAACAGCCTGTTTGTCATCACATTTAAGTAAAAGACTGTGTTAAAAATTACAAAAAACATTAACAAACCTGCCTGGATGCCTGATGCTTCAGTTACTCTCTACAGGTCAGCTAATATAGATGTCGGTTACAAATGGTGGATTTTATTGCATTTCACGGTGTCGCAAATGACTATAAATATTCCGTCGAAATGCACTTTAGGCGTTGTGCAGGTACTTGCAGTAAAATCCAATTATTCATGGGTCTTGCTTGATTACCTCCGACCAATAAAAAATATGGAATTATTCAAAAGCCCACAACAACTTCCAGTAAACTCAAACTCAGAACGTCTACTGAGTCGAATAGAAACAACAGTGAGACGGTCAACAACGATTTTTATCACAAAGAATTTAATGAGATCGGATTATTCACGAAAATGTCCGTTATAATTGAGATTAACTGCGGTTGCAGTTGAGTTCTGTTCCGTGCTGATTAGTGTTCTTCTCTGTTCTTAAATGGTTCTGTGATGATACAGTGAGGGATCCCTGCGCTCTTGTACGCAACGATTTAAATATAGACATAGACTCGAATCACAATAATTATACGCGCTTAACAACTATATAATATTGGATGGCTTTGAGGTGGATACAAGAATATATTGCACGAGCTATGACAATATTGCACGAGTCGAAGACGAGTGCAATATTGTCATAGCGAGTGCAATATATTCTTGTATCCACCTCAAAGCCATCCAATATTATTATTAGTATTTATATCAGGCTGACGCAAGAAGCACAATTCAAGACACTTCATATATCTATGGTCTTCATTACATCTTTTTCGTTTTCATCAAACGTTTTGAAGCTGCCACTGTAATTGTTAACAACAGTGCGCGTATACCTGGCATTCTGCGCTGCGCGCTGCATGCGCGCTGCATGCGCGCGGCGTGTTCCGTGCTCGAAGGTACGCGCGCGCTACGCTCTGTTGAGTGCATAGAGTGGAGCTGCATCCGAATCCGTTGTCTAGAGCTAGGTCTAGGTTAGTCTGAGTATCACCCGTTCTACGGAGCGAGCCGTGTATCAGACGTGGAATCTGCACGCATGTAATAGACGCTCGTCTTCAACGAGCGTCTATTACATAGACTAGGTCTAGGTCTGCGCTCATTGAAAATACGCGGGGACGCGCTGACAATAGACGTAGCCGTAGCTCTGGAAGCCCGTTTCGGACACGGCCTTATATTATAAAAAATAGAGCGCGCATTCACTATACCGCACGCGCACAATGCAGACGTACCACCCTGTAGACCTCGCCGCCATTTTGTAAGTGGGCAAAAATACTCGGATGTGCACACTTCAGGAATGACTGCAATGCGTTTCTTGTTGTTTTACTGTTGGTTCCACTTATAAATCCCCCCGACGATGCCTTGTTTTACCGTGCTGTTTTGCCTAACGTTATGTGTTGTGCGCATGTGCTTTGCCCACTTACAAAATGTCCTTGCCAGCACGGGGTCACGTGATGAGTGCGCTCTCTAATTTTTAATATAACTCTATGGTTGAGTGGTTGACAACTGTGACTTTCTATGCTCTTGATCAAGCGGGAACCAGCGAAAATACCCGGATGACTGCAATAACAATGTTATTGCAGTCAACCGGGTACTTTATTATTGTAGTCATCCGGGATTTTTTTATGAAAGCATAACATACGCTGATTTATTTTTGCCGCTGGAAGCCTGATATAAATAATAATTTAAATCATTTTACTTGAGCGCTCACAGAATTCACCAAAAACGTGAAAAGGATTGAGGATTCAGCCGTGGTCAGGTCAGATTCATTTTGACAATTGTCGTATATACTTTGCGTTCGGTTCAAGTTTACAAATTCCGTTGTTTCACCTTGGCATATTATGCCCTTCGTTCATGCAAAGTACGGTAGATCAGCTTCAGAAAATGGTGCATACAGTTTGGCCATTTGAAAAGCGGAGACGAGTGCAGTAATAACATACCACAATGTTACTGCAACTAAAAACACCGTATGGGTAACGAAAAAGGTATATAGTTGATGCCTGCCGAACAGGCAAAGGTAGTGCGCAGCTATAGCTCAGGCTGACAATTTAATACGTGTCAATGTACGGGCGATTTTTTTTGTCCTATACTTCAGCAAATTCCTGTTCAGACTCTTTTGGAATCGTATGACGTTAAGGTTCATTATACAGATGCTATGGCCCTTTGCTTGGTAAGGTTGAAACGAGAGGATGCACCGACTAGCGTCGTCATTCATTTAAAAGTAGACAAGATCATTTGCAGCTATGCCAAAAGTAACTGCGTGGAATGTACATATTGATCTATGGTGGATATCAAACATACCAAGTGATGAACCTAACAATCGCGGTGTTGCTGCAATGGTATCGTGGTCATTATTATCAATATCAACCTTTTGTGTCCAAGGCACAGTTAATGCCACTCCCCCTATGGCTAGGCTAACCGTATACTATAGACGACTCGATAACCAGAAAAGCAGAAACCGCCTGTATGTCATCACGTTTAAGTAAAAGACTCCGTTAAAAATGACAAAAAATACCATCAACAAACCTGCCTGGATGCCCGATGCTTCAGTTACTCTCAACAGGTCAGCTAATATAGATGTCGGTTACAAATGGTGGATTGTATTACATTTCTCGGTGTCGTAAGTGACTATAATTCGTCGAAATGCACTTTAGGCGTTGAAAACATGTATGCAGGTACTTGCGGAAAAATCCAATTATTCATGGGTCTTGCTTGATTACTCCCTACCAATAAAAAAAATTATGGAATTATTCAAAGGCCCAAAACAAACCAGTAAACTCAAACTTAGAACGTCTACTGAGTCGAATAGAAACAACAGCGAGACGGTCAACAACGATTTTTATCACAAAGAATTTAATGAGATCGGATTATTCATGAAAATTTCCGTCATAATTTAGATTAACTGCGGTTGCAGTTGAGTTCTGTTCCGTGCTGGTTATTGTTCTTCCGTATTCTTGAATGGTTCTGTGATGATACAGTGAGTTCTCCCTGCGCCCTTGTACGCCACGATTTACGTATGCATAATACTCGAATAACAATAATTACACGCGCTTAACAATTTAAATTATTTTACTTTAGCGCTCACAGAATTCACCAATTATATGCGTGAAGGGATTAAGCCGTCGTCAGGCCAGATTAATTATGACATTTGTCGTATATACTTTGCGTTCGGTTCAAGTTTACAAATTCCGTTGTTTCACCTTGGCATATTATGCCCTTCGTTTCATGCAAAGTACGGTAGATCAGCTTCAGAAAATGGTGCATACCGTTTGGCCATTTGAAAAGCGGAGACGAGTGCGGCAATAACATACCACAATGTTACTGCAACTAAAAAACACCGTATGGGTAACGAAAAAGGTATATAGTTGATGCCTGCCGAACAGGCAAAGGTAGTGTGCAGCTATAGCTCAGGCTGACAATTTAATACGTGTCAATGTACGCGCGATTTTTTGGGTCCTATACTTCAGCAAATTCCTGTTCAGACTCTTTGGAATCGTATGACGTTACGGTTCATTATACAGATGCTATGGCCCTTTGCTGGGTAAGGTCGAAACGAAAGGCTGCACCGACTAGCGTCGTCATTCATTTAAAAGTAGATTAGATCATTTGCAGCTATGCAAAAAGTAACTGACGAACTTGTTCAAAAGCTAGAATACCACAACCGACAAGGTGTGTTCGCCGTGCGTGAACAGGACGATAAAGCCCACACACAAAATGGCAGCCAACAGACAGTTAACTAATTATACCAACCAATATGCCAAGGTTATCCCGCCATGTCATTTGTATTATTCGAATTAAATTTACATGTATTTGCCACTACCACATGCTATCCCTGTTACCTTGTTATTGTGTAATTTGCCATTCAAATATCATTAAGATAAAATCAGAAGATGTTTATTTGTTGGTAGGTAGTTGGTTAATCATAATCGCTCTTGGAAGGCGACTGCATTATATACGGAGTGCATCAGAATTATAAAATCCGATGATTGTGCATGTACACGTAACAGAGACAGGGAAAAAAGTGAAACCAAATTTATTGAATGACAACAAACGATGAGATCCTAAAATTGCTCCTCCAATCGGTATAGCCCGATTTCTTTTTGATGTACATGTATTAGAATTTCACACTGCATGGAACCTGTAGATCCTTAAAGGAAAACAGACACTCCAAAGAACGAAAAAATCATGAACAAAGCGTTCTTTTTTAACGTTGGAGGAAAAGCACAAAACACTATTTTCGGGAAACCAAATGTAACCAGGCAGCTAGAAACTGAAGACCGAACGGCGTGTCCAAGGAAATGAAACTGGACCACGGGTCATAGAGGTGGAAGGCGACGAAAGCACCCCTGCCAAAACCTGACTCTCAGGTCTGGTCCGATTTCCTTTCGCTATGCGGCTGGCAGTAGCATAATGTGTATAATGAAAGTGGATTCAGCCTCAGTCTCATGGGCCTAATGTAACATTTCGGTTTCTGCTACTGTGCTCGCATCCGTTTCCGCCTGGTGCTTCCAGCGACTGGAACATGCGCACAGCAACCTATAGAAACCTTCCCGCCCCTCTCGGAAACGCCAAAAGTAGATGAAAGGGTTGAGCACGGAATTCATCAGCAACGCTGCATAGCTGTACAGCAGGAATACCACAACCGACAAGGTGGGTTCGCCGTGCGCGAACATGATGAAAAAACCCACACAAAATGGCAGCCAACAGACAGCAGACGCCACGAAAATGATCGTGAACGTTACCATAAGGTGACGAGTTTGGCGCAAGCGGGTACCAGTCTGTCCATCTATGTTACTGGTTCCAGCGGCGGACGCCAGTGGCGGCGTATAATTGGAGATCTTACGGAAGACCACAAGGTAGAGAACCGCAGTGATGATCAGAATAAAAATGGGAAGCAGAGCTTGGATCAGCCAGTTGATGGTAGGGTCTTGGAGGTACGTCGTAGGTAAGAAAAGCACAGCAGATAGGATCCAAATCAGGAGACATGCGACCACCATGCGGACGGGTGTCACTACGGCGTCATAGCGGGCAGGCGGCATCAGAGACAGCGCGAGCAAACGATTCACCGCGACGGCTAAGATGCTGAGCTGCCCGGTCAAGAAAAAAGACCGAGCTAGAGCAACAACCGTAGCCACGTGCTTGAAGTGGACCATAGTGATCAGTATGGCAGGGAAGGCGATGTCGGCGAGTACGAGGTTGAAGACGAAGCCGTAGTACTTGATGCGGAGTTGCTTGGTTCGAGCAAACACCACCACCACGAGAAGATTCAATACCACTGCGATGCCACCGACCACGTGCATTGGGATACTGGCTCTCTTCTTCAAGGCTGCTTCTACGTCATCCATTTTGGCAGAATTGCTGCTGTTTTCTTGAATCTAAAAAGTAACAAATTTAGACCTTGAATGAAATATCTGCTCTTCTCCGATGAATGAACTTCAGGTATACCCTTAGCCATGAGTTCAGATATGCGTTTTGTTACCTCAGTCCACGATGTTTGCCGAACACTGATTCTACAATGCAGCACCTTATAAGCCAGCAGGGCAGGTATTTCGCCACCCTGGGTACCTAACGCCAGAGAGTGCTCACAAAAAAAGATGTCATGACAGCGCACTTGTACCGCATTGAATGCCGGGATTCCGTGCGGACTGCATTGTAAGCAGTTGGGTAAGTCTAAGAAAAGGTCCCCTTTTTGTCGCATATAAGCCATGTTTTCTTTAATCACACAATCATTGCAAAGACGAATTTCCCTTGTAGATGCCTAATAGAAGAATAAATAACCCTGAAACCCATGAACATCTTAAAGGGTTTTACTTTCGTTACGTGAGGGACATAGCCTACGTACACGTATTCGTGGACTTGCCCATTTGCGATCATTACTTTTATAATAAGTGCGGAGGGTACAATTCGCTCGTACCCCCCGCCCTACAAACAGAACGCTGGGATACTCGGATGAATTCACACTCTGATTGGTTGGATTTTGCGTGACCAGTGACCTGCCTGTCATTAAGGTCATGACCCTGAAAGGTTTGAAACGGCCTTCTAGACTGATTCATTACTCTTTTATTCCAGTTTTGAAATGTTTTTTTTTCGTTGAAAAGCGTATTAATGTAGGAAATTCTGTAAAACTTATCTGTGTTGTAAATTTACAATTCCCGTCACTCGCTCAGGCTCCGTTTCGAATCACGAACGGTCGGATTGCATTATGCGACGCTCAAAATTGTGTCCACGTGGTCTGCAATGAAACAGAAATCACATCCGGTATGGAATGTGCGCATTTCATGGGACGTTTTCGGATAGCATTTGCGCACATTGTCTGACAAAATTGTCTTGAACAGCTGCATCCAGATGCTTTATACATAGGTCAAAGGCCACTTCCTTCACAAGTTTCTTTGAAGCTCATCAGAGTATCTCAGCGTCCTGTTTGCAGAGCAGAGGGTACGAGCGAAAAAGTACAATTCCTTATAAATCGGCATTATGCGCATGTGCATGGCGAATTATGCGCATGTGCATAGCGTACGAATTATACAAAATGTTTATAGACTCGCAGAGTGTATTCGCAACCCCGTTCTCGTGTTGAATGAACACGAGAACAGGGTTCCGAATAACGAGAACCAACACGTGAACGGTGTTCGCCAACAAGATTCTCACCCCCCCCCCCCCCCCCCACTTATTGGGGAGTAGATGGAGAACGTCAATGGCAAAGATGTTAAACTTAGGCCCCTACCGGAACTTGCCTTAATATTTGTGTATAAAATTGAAATCATTCATTCAGTGCAGGAGCAGTAACGATAAAACATGAAAATTGTACGTGGTCATAGAGTGTCATAGATGGAGAACGTCAATGGCAAAGATGTTAAACTTAGGCCCCTACCGGAACTTGCCTTAATATTTGTGTATAAAATTGAAATCATTCATTCAGTGCAGGAGCAGTAACGATAAAACATGAAAATTGTACGTGGTCATAGAGTGGGCTTTTCAGCCTTGTCTTTGCCAGTTTTTTTCTAGCTGTTTCGGGATTTCAATTATTTTCGTATTAATTGAATAAATTGCACCTTCTTTTTGTTCGGCGTTTTGATACGGCGGCTGCCATCTTGGATATTCGTCCAGCTGCACTCCACATGCACGTGCGCGTTCGTGATCGGCAACACGAGAACGCTGCTCGCCGGTCATTCGAGAACGGTGTTGCGAATACACCCTAAAACTCCAAACTGTCAGATAAGCGGAACGGAATTGGGTTGGCTCTAGCCATTACGTATATTACCCAACCTGACATTGGTAGCCGTCGAAATGTGGTTGGTAGAGCTATAAAATACACCAAACGATGAACCGAAAAATCGAAAAATCGCTGTATACAGAGCGTGACATGACAGAGTGTCATGACAGAGTGCTGTCATGGTTCCCAAGAGCTAGACACAAAATGCACGCTACTCAGGAACAGGCGGCATAGTCAGGGTTCGCATCCAAAAGGCCAAATGGGAGCTGGATGTTAACCTTGCGCAGAGTGACCTGCTGCCCTTTGGGCCCCAGGTAACCGATTTTTTTGGAGAGAAAAAATTGAGGGCCAGTGACTGTCACCTTCCATCTAATCCTCATTCGACCCTTGCCAAATAAGCTGGTTCAATGAATTTTGCAGCCAGGGCTACACCCAGGCCGTGTCACCGAACTTTTGACCAGGCCTCCTGCCAAGTCTCACTGAAACATCAACAAAGACCTGTAACTTGACAAAGTCATCTCCCTTCATAACTGCATACCACAGCCGCCAGTCAATTATCTTTCCAGCGCACTGTCTGGCAACTGTCTGGACACTGTCTGGCACGTGGCTTTTTGTTGTATTGCTTTGAATAGGGTCTTGCGTAGTGCGGGAAAGTACCTGGGCAGCAGTTGACGAGTTGTTGTAAAGGTTTTTTGTAAACGCTGCGCTAAAGTAAAGTTTAAGTAAGGGTCTCCGTAAAAAAAAAGAACCCCCCCCCCAAAAAAAAGGGGGAAAAACAAAACAAAACAAAACGAATCCAACAAACCTGTCTAGAGATCCGCGATGCTTCAAATCCTTCGTCCAGGGCAGCGAATACAGCAGGCAGTTACAAATCATGGATTTTATTACTGGTCACCGTCTCATGAATAATCATATTGCTCTGTCCAAATGGACATGCTCCGTCCAAATGCACGTTAGATGTGGAATAGGCAAGTATACTTCCCGTAAAATATATTGTAAATAATTCAAAGGTCTTGCTAGATAACTTCCAATCAATTACACATAAATCGGCATCAAATAGCTGTTGAGTGTCGTGACCTCGTGGTCTGGAGCAGTGAATTCGTGGTCTGCGTGTAATAATGATGCAGGTTGTGGGTTCGAGCGCAGCCTGCGGCTATGGTGCGTGTACCCTTAGGCAAGGCATTTTGTCACTCATTGCCTGTCTCCACTCAGGAGTAAATGCGTACCTGTGAGGACAGAAATGGTTACTGTGACTGAATTAGCTTCCTTGTGCCTAACAGGCAGCATCGAGCTGTGTACTCCCAAGGAGCAGATATGGTTTTAGGCATAGTTCATGGGCCCAATGAGCAGGGAGACAATGACATAGAGCCTTGAGCACCACTATAGTGGTGGATACTTGCGCTTTATGAATACCCTTTATAATTACTATCGCATATTACACCATTTGGGAGACATTTTGGGAGGTGTACCTTTTGGGAGACATTTGGAATTAGGGAGACATTTCAGTGTCTCTCTGAATGCCTCAGCTTCTATTTAGAGGCATTTTTTAGTATCGCAAATAGGCTAGATCGATTGCTCGTGGTCCAATTAGTAAAAACACCGAGATTTGTGGGGGTAGGATAAGGGAATTTGGGGTAAGGGGTCAGGAAAGTGAGATTATCATTTGTGGACAAGCTTATAGGAATGTCTCCCTAATGGTATTATTATTATTGCAGCTAGTTTCGACTTATTGTCAACTTGTTTCCACGCAGTTTCAAAGGGTGAATGCCTAAACAATGGCTGTAGATCAGCGATTCGGACGCGGCCTTAGTTATACATGCAGACTCGAATAATAATAATTATACGTGCTTAAAGATTTAAATTTATTTGAGCCCTCACAGAATTCACTTATTATGATTATGCAGATGGATGATTGAGGATTAAACCGTGGCAAGGCCAAATTAATTATGACAATTGTCGTATATTATTTGTTCCTTTGCAGTCGGTTAAAGCTATAGTCCATCATTTGCAGCCATCCGAAAAAGTAACTGGCGTATTATTGTTGAAAAACATACTCGGTTGAAAGATAGTAAGTGGACTAAACTCCCTGTGAAATTAGTCTCTCTGGAAAGCTATCATTTTGAAGTAATCAACGAAAGAAGGCCTTTCCAACGGTGCGTCTTAAATGGGTCTATTTAGAGATTTGCTCCACTTTTCACGGTGAAATCTTTTCCTTTTTTCCCCACATGCCTTGAATGGCAACCATAGCCTTTCTCTCTATGACAATTGACACAACAAAAAAACACAAATGAAGAGTGGCGCAATTCTGTAAAGTGCGCAGGGTAGAATCTGAACAATCAAGCTTAAAACAAATTGAAATGGCTGTCAGTGTCCATGTAACCCACTAATGCATCTGAAATATAAGCCAAGCGATGAAAAGAAAATGCTTCTGATTCAATTATATTTGTTTATTTTTATATTGCTCTTCACCCAAAGATTCCACAATTAAAGGAACCAATAATTCAAAGCTATCGCGCCCTGTCAGTACGATTGTTCGAATTAAATTTACATGTATATTTGCTACTACCAAATACATGTCCAAAAAAGGATCATAATACATAGATATACCCGCAAAATCCCTTCTCCCAAATGGCTAAAAACTTAATTTGACTTTTTGAATTGTAATTGGTCTATACACATATTGAACGTAATACTTGTATAGTCATAATGAAATAACTACAGTTGTGTGTAAGCCAGGGGAAATAGGACTTAGGATGCATACCATGTGCTCTGGGCAAAACAAACGTGAATTTGTTTCTCCTCACGAACTTTCAATTTGTATATGTGTTTCGTTTTTAACCCAAAAAACAGAGTGACCTGATGCCTTTTGGGCATGCGGTGACCCAATTTTTTTAATAAAAAAAAATTGAGGGCCAATGACGGTCACCTCCTATCTAATCCTCATTCAACCCTTGCCAAATCAGCTGGCTCAGTGAACTTTGCAGCCAGGGCTACACCCAAGCCGTGTCAACAAACTTTCGACCTGGGCTCCTGCCAAGTCTCATTGAAACATATACAAACACCTGTAACTTGACACAGCCATCTCACTTCATAGCCGCAAACTACCCCCCCCCCCCCCCCGTCAATTATCTTTCCAGTGAACTGTCTGACAACTGTCTGGCAACTGTCTGGCACGTGACTTTTTGTTGTATCGCTATAAATAGGGTCTTGTGGTTTGCGGAGAAGTTCCTGCTGCCCAAAAGGACGCCGTTGACGCGACCTCAAGTATGCTTCTTTTTTTTTTGGTAAACGCTGCGCTTGGTAAGGCGCTTCAACCCTTTGAAAAAGGGCTTGAAATTTGTGCACAAAATGAACCTGTCCTGTGACAGCCAAATTATTGCCGAGCTGCCAATAATTCGAATTTTGGTTTTATAAATAATTCTCTGAATAAATTTCGGTGGATTTTTTCGTTATATTTCTGATTCAAACGTGAATAATTACTTTGAGGTGAAGCTTGAAAACTGCACGAGGAAGGACTGCATCTTTAATTAATTCTCTGCTGGAATAATTAGCCGTGTTTCCTCCAACTCACTGTAAAAAATCCAAACACAATAACCACCCGAAACCAGGCACCATATGGTGCCTTGATACCGGATCTCGGGTAGTTATTGTGATTAAAAAGAAACACGATTGGCAGAGGCGTAGCCTCGTTTGAAAAACTTTGACTACTACCGACACAAGACTGTGTTACAAGTGATTATGTAGTAACGGATAACGTATGGCAAACCGATAATGTCACACAAACTGGCCGATACTATTGTACCACTAACCGATAATGTAACACAAAGTGACTGATAGTGTAGTACAATTTGTATCCGACAATGTATCACGTGTCGGCGGATAATCTAATTACAAAAAAAAATATCCGATAACGTATCATCACAGAACGGATAGCGTAGTAACATTTACAACACTTCTGGTGATACGTTATCCGTTGGTTACTATAGTATCAGTTGTAACAGATGTTCTGAGCATTTGCTGAGTGTGCACATGAGCTCATATTTTGTAACTATAAAACATATGGCTTTTCGAAATTCATCGACCACTATTTTGGGGTCATTCGATAAATTTAGGGTCCAACTTATGACATTTCTTCCCTGTCCGTGTTAGCTTGATACTTAGTATAATGTGCCATTCAAATATCACTTCAAAAGATGTTTAAACTGTTGGGTATGTGGAGGACGACTGATAATAGATGTGCATGTATTAGGGACATGAAAAAAGTGGACCTCAGATTATAGACTGAACACATACGATAACATCCTAAAATGGCTCCTCAAATCGGTATATTATTCTATATTGGAACATCTGTATCCTGAAGCGAAAACATACACTCTAGCTTCGAAACCCAAAGGAACCCAAAAAAAAGAACGCAAGACCGTGGAAAAAAAACCTTTTTAAAGGTTTGAGGAAAAAACAACATATTTTAGGGAAATCCAAATGGAATCTGGCAGTTATAGATTGAAGACCCAGCGGCATGTAAAATGGAACTCGACAAAAACTTGGCACACGTGTGTATTGACAGATGATTCAGCTTCAGTTTTCACAATGGCCTAATGTTACATTTCGGTCTCCACTACAGTGTTGCCATCCATTTCCGCCTGGTTTTTCCTGCGGCTGGAACATGCGCACATCAACCTATAGAAACCTTCCCGCCCCTCTCGGAAACGCCAAAAGTAGATGAAAGGGTTGAGCGCGGAATTAAACAGCAACACCGCATAGCTGTACTGCAGGAATACCACTACCGACAAGGTGGGTTCGCCGTGCGTGAACAGGATGATAAAGCCCACACAAAATGGCAGCCAACAGACAGCAGACGCCACGAATATGATCGTGAACGTCACCATAAGGTGACGCGTTTGGCGCACGCGGGTACCAGCCTGTCCATCTATGTTATTGGTTCCAGCGATGGACGCCAGTGGCGGCATATACCTGGAGATCTTACGGAAGACCACAAGGTATAGAACCCCAGTGACGACCAGAATAAAAATGGGAGTCAGAGCTTGGATCAACCAGTTGATGGTCGCGTCTTGAAGTTTCATCGTAGATAAGAAAAGCACGGCAGATAGGATCCAAATCAGGAGACATGCGACCACCATACGGACGGGTGTCACCACGGCGTCATAGCGGGCAGGCGGCATCAGAGACAGTGCCAGCAAACGATTCACGGCTACGGCCAAGATGCTGAGCTGCCCGGTCAAGAAAAAAGACCGAACAAGGGCAAGAACCGTAGCCACGTGTTTAAAGTGGATATAAACAATCGCTGCGGCAGGGCATGCGATGTCGGCGAGTACGAGATTGAAGACGAAGCCGAAGTACTTGATGCGGAGTTGCTTGGTTCGAGCAAACACCACCACCACGAGAAGATTCAAAACCACTGCGATGCCAGCGACCACTTGCATGAGGATACTGGCTCCCATTAAGGCTGCGTCTACGTCATCCATTGCAGAATTGCTGCGGTTTTCTTGACATAAAAAGCACGAAATTTAAGAAACACCTGGATGGGAAAACAAAACACCTCCGTTATAATGAATTCAGGCACCCATAGCCATGTATTAAGATATGCGTTTTATTACCATGATCCACTGCTTGAACACTGATTCTTAATGTGCGAGTATCTGTAAAAGCCAGCAGAGCCGGCATCTGGTTAGTATATGTAATAGACTCTGGCCCTGGCAAAGCCGACCATGGTCTATGATACGTAAAAAAAGATTCGGCGATTATTTATGCAACTAGACTGCGTATGACCTCGAGAAACTGACCAATCAGCAGGTGCCTGCTATACACGCGTAATTGTACAGGTTGTTGTATTTAAAAAAAAAAACAGCATCGAAATTGACCAATCACAATCTGATTTCGGAACAAAATGACTTCACGAACGCTTAGATATATCAAACGTTATACAGGAGACTTGGCTCCGTGGATAACGGGTGATGACTAGCATCATGGTCACCGAGGGTACCAAACACCAAAACGTTGACATAGAGATGCCATTACCCAAACTGGCATTCGAATGCTGTAAAATTTTCATAAGATGGGATTTTTGCGTCGGGGTGATGTATATCAATTTGATGTAAAAATTGTGTTGGTGTAGCTAAAACAAACCAAGTTATGAACCTAACAATTGCGAAGCACAATTCATGACGTCATTACGTCACAGAGTTGTGCGATAATAGTAAACAAGCATTAGACTCAAAATGGATGCTAACACAAAGATGCACACAGCCGTGTTTGACTATACTCTCGAGGACAAGGCGTCGTGTTTCCCTTTGTTCCTATGATGTATCACTCTCCCATAGACTAAGCACACACACTCACGATCGAGGACCGTTTCCAATAAAAGATCAACAAAGAGGACAACAACGAATCTCCCTTTGTCTGTGTGTCATCTGGGTGTATGTAGTACATTGACACGCATGCAGTCTTTATCTGCACGGTGGGCGCACAGTTGTATCATCGTTAGTTGTATTATTGTTTACCCTTTTTTGTCCGACAGTCAATGCTCCTCCCCCGACGGCAAGGCATTTCAAACCTACATGTCGGCATTTCCAACCGACAGTCAGTCAATTTAAAAACAGCAAACCTGACATGAGTTTACCTTCAATATGTATCATATCCGTCTCAAAAAAAAAAGATAACCGGAGAAACCGTAAACCCAACCTGTCTAGATCTGCGATGCTTCAATTACACAGTACATGACAGCGACTACAGAAGTCAGTTCAGTGCCGCACACAGGATTTGGCTGGGGACGGCTCACATTTTTTGTAGTGTATGTAGTACATTGACACGCATGCAGTCTTTATCTGCACGGTGGGCGCACAGTTGTATCATCGTTAGTTGTATTATTTTTTACCCTTTGTGTGTCCGACAGTCAATGCTCCTCCCCCGACGGCAAGGCATTTCAAACCTACATGTCGGCATTTCCAACCGACAGTCAGTCAATTTAAAAACAGCAAACCTGACATGAGTTTACCTTCAATATGTATCATATCCGTCTCAAAAAAAAAGATAACCGGAGAAACCGTAAAACCAACCTGTCTAGATCTGCGATGCTTCAATTACACAGTACATGACAGCGACTACAGAAGTCAGTTCAGTGCCGCACACAGGATTTGGCTGGGGACGGCTCACATTTTTTGTAGTGTATGTAGTACATTGACACGCATGCAGTCTTTATCTGCACGGTGGGCGCACAGTTGTATCATCGTTAGTTGTATTATTTTTTACCCTTTTTGTGTCCGACAGTCAATGCTCCTCCCCCGACGGCAAGGCATTTCAAACCTACATGTCGGCATTTCCAACCGACACTCAGTCAATTTAAAAACAGCAAACCTGACATGAGTTTACCTTCAATATGTATCATATCCGTCTCAAAAAAAAAGATAACCGGAGAAACCGTAAAACCAACCTGTCTAGATCTGCGATGCTTCAATTACACAGTACATGACAGCGACTACAGAAGTCAGTGTAGTGCCGCACACATGATTTGGCTGGGGACGGCTCACATTTTTTTTCTCTCAATTTTCGTTTGAGAAGTTAGTTTTTTTTTCCAACAAAACGTTGCCCAAAGTTTTTGGCACCAGAACATTACTATTTTGACGTTGGGGGCGCCATTTACAGCCCTACTTCACTAATCGAAAATATGGCAAATACATATCACCCCTGGGGTGCGCCATTGGTTAATAAATACCGCGTCGTCTCCATTTCGACTTCGCCTGCTATTTGGGTCCCTAAGTTTGAGTTTTTAGCTCAACATCAGTCAGTGTTTTCTTTCAGAAATATAAAACTCTGTGATAAATGAAACAATTGATTTATTTCTAATTTGATCGGAGCATTACAATCTTTTAATGATAAAGCCAAACCGGTAACGAAGCCGAGCCTGCAACATAATAACAGGGTAGGGACCAGCGAACACCGTACATGTAGTGCTCACTGAAAACGTGGCACTGTGGCAGAATACTCAGCTCAATCCGTACTGCATCGTACCGTTGTGAATTATGCACGCTCGTGATATAGTGGCCATTTCTTCGGCGTTTTTCCCCACGAAATTAGACAGATTCAAGACGAACTGAGATCCATATAATTGAAAAAAAAGAGAAGCCCTTATGTGGACTACGGCAGACCAGGCAGCGTATAAGCCTTATTTTGTAAAGAAAGGGTCGGTTATTTATTTGTTTTATATTTTACAAGTAAGTACACATGACTTAGTACTTCTCAAATAAACTGAGTATATCGAATTTAGGTTGTAACGCTTTAAATGCCTCCGCCATTTTCGGCATTGAACCGTGAGAAATCTTCAATTCATTTTAGAACGAACACGATAAATGACTTAAATTAGAACGAACTTGATTAATATCTAATTTAATATAACAAACAATGAAAGATGGATATTAATTCTATCAAGTAAACAAAGTCAAGCGTTGGTCTCAATTTTCCTTGAAACAGTAAAGCTTCACAGCATTTCGTTGTTTTTCATATAGGATTATTGAAACAGTCGTTCCAAATTCAGTTGAACAAACTAACCAGTATACATGTACCGATTGATGTTTGAGAGTCGAAAAAGAATCGAGCGTAAAATGCCAATCGCAAATGCTTTAAATGTAAGCCACACATTGGAAAACTATAAAACAAAATGCATATTAATGACAGCTTGGTGACTATTTGAATTTCTACAGGTTTGAATGAAGATTTTGGCACCAAAAATGGCCAGGCCCCAAAAAAATTAGTTCTTGAACGAAATGAACGCTCAAACTACGTGTTCAAGTCCTTTTGCAGGTGTATTTGTGAAAGTACCGTATCCGCTGCGTGGGGCGTTGTGTCAATACGCTCGTCAAATACTATTGCCGAACTCGAACAGTACATTTGCATTTTTCATTATTAAACTTCGAGACTCGAAAAACGCCTCGACATCAAAACTGCCACTTACCGGTTACGGACTGCAGCAGCTGTGGACTAGATTTTCACCTTTGGAGATACACATGTAGTGTGATGTTTGACATGAGAAGTGATATTAGGTCATGATATGAGACCATTGATTTTTACACGGCATAGTAGCCTTTAAACGAGCCATACATTGTAAGTAATATTCCGAAATACAATATGAATTTCATATAGGAGACCCATACTGGACAAACTAATTCCTCACTCAAATTACCTTTAGCAATGCATGAATAAATGAATTTACTGAGTAGAAATTATGACTCTAAAAATGCATGAGACAAAAAAAAAATGATATTAGATTGAATTGGAAATGAAGAAGACCTTGATGGACAGGGTATTATAGTTCTTCTCAGGATTGTGGAAGAGGGGCACATTGTGCTTCCACAGCATTATTTCCATATGCTTCCGCCGTTACTCTAACTATGACGGTATTTGGTTCCAGTTCCTCTACCACGACAGGGTCTTTTGCTAAATTTTGCTAATTTTTGACACACAAAAACAGAATCTTTGGCAAAATTTCACCTTTTTTTCTTTCATGCATTTTTTTTTAATTCCGTAGAAACATTATTGAGGCAATATTCATCCAATTCTAATCAGCATCATTCGCAAAGACTAATAGGCCTAATATAACTTTTTTTGTGGATAGATGCCCAACAGTAGAATGCAAAACACTGAAACCGATGAATGTGGGACATAGAATGTGCGAATTTTGTTTACTTTCCTAGTTTTTACTATCATTACTTTCAAGCGTGGAATGTACATATTGATCTTTGGTGGATATCAAACATACCAAGTGATGAACCTAAAAATCGCGGTGTTGCTGCAATGGTATCGTGGTCATTTTTATCAATATCAAACCTTTTGTGTCCAACGACAGTTAATGCCACTCCCCCTATGGCTAGGCTAACCGTGTACTAGGCGACTCGATAACCAGAAAAGCAGAAACAGCCTGTTTGTCATCACATTTAAGTAAAAGACTCTGTTAAAAATGACAAAAAAAACCATCAACAAACCTGCCTGGATGCCTGATGCTTCAGTTACTCTCTACAGGTCAGCTAATATAGATGTCGGTTACAAAATAATGGTGGATTTTATTGCATTTCACGGTGTCGTAAATGACTATAATTATTCCGTCGAAATGCACTTTAGCCTTTGAATATGCAGGTGCTTGCGGTAAAATCCAATTATTCATTGGTCTTGCTTGAATACTTCCGACCAAAAAAAAAATATGGAATTATTCAAAAGCCCAAAACAAACCAGTAAAGTCAAATTCAGAACGTCTACTGAGTCGAATAGAAATAACATTTAGACGGACAACAACGAACTTTATCACAAATAATTTCATGAGATCGGATTATTCATGAAAATTTCCGTCATAATTGAGATTAACTGCGGTTGCAGTTGAGTTCAGTTCCGTGCTGGTTATTGTTCTTCCGTATTCTCGAATGGTTCTGTAATGATACAGTGAGTGCTCCCTGCGCTCTTGTACGCCACGATTTACGTTTGCACATAGACTCGAATAACAATAATTACACGCGCTTAACAATTTAAATTATTTTACTTGAGCGCTCACAGAATTCACCAATTATATGCGTGAAGAGGATTGAGGATTAAGCCGTCGTCAGGCCAGATTAATTATGACATTTGTCGTATATTCTTTGCATTCGGTTTAAGTTTACAAATTCCGTTAGTTCACCTTGGCATATTATGCCCTTCGATTCATGCAAAGTACGGTAGATCAGCTTCAGAAAATGGTGCATACAGTTTGGCCATTTGAAAAGCGGAGACGAGTGCAGTAATAACATACCACAATTTTACTGCAACTAAAAACACCGTATGGGTAACGGAAAAGGTATATAGTTGATGCCTGCCGAACAGGCAAAGGTAGTGTGCAGCTATAGCTCAGGCTGACAATTTAATACGTGTCAATGTACCAGCCTGTCCAGCTATATGGTTGCAAAGGGCAAATTCTAAAGGTTACTTAACACTTTATTTGGAATGAAACTACATGTACACAGACATGTTTACGTTGGCGGGTGAAATCTTTGAAAATTAATCTGCCGTTTGGATCACCGTATGTTCATGCAACTTTCAGGATTTATTTCCCCTATAGTGATCCAAGCATGTGCTAAAAGTCGTTGTGATGTGTTCATTACTTTTTGTTAAATTTGGAAAATAGGCCTCGCAACGTGCAATTTTGAAAATTGTAACACTGGCGTGCGCAATATCTATCAATCTTTTCAAGCCTCACGCATATTAATGAGGTTCATATCCATCACGGTGTGCAGTAAACAATTGCATAAAAACCTCCTTCACGAGTTGTTAATTAACACATATCACCCTTTTTGCCGCCTTCCATTGGTCGACACCGAGACCCACGCCATGTCACGCCGAGTGACGCTAATGAATATGCTAACATCCACTTAATCATTGCGTGCCGGGCCGAAATCGGTCAGCCGTAGCGCCTCCGGCGCTTTGCTGAACAATGCACATGGGCTGGGTCGGCAAATAATTTTTTTGATCGTCTTCGAAATTTTCCTTAGAGATGGTTCAAAGTGTAACAATAGCGTCCACAACAACAGATTAAGCTGAAATTCGGAAACAACTTAGGTAAATTCCTAGAAATTGGGATAAATACATACATTTGGGGAAGTTTTTGAACGATTCCTTCAAGACTTAAAGGTCAGCTTTGACAGTAACCAGTATTGAGCTTTCAGCATCAATGACGGCGATTTGTTTTTCACTGACATGAAGTTTGCAATTTCTTCTTCAGTTAGAATGTAACATTTAAATCATACTGAGCATATTTTCCGAGAAACACAACGTTCAAAAGGCCATGTTTTTGAGGGTTCACGAATTTCAATGCTCTGTTACAGCGTCTTAGTACGTAATTGGATTAGCTTTCCTAGACAACGACCGGCGCTTTGCCGTAGCAACCATATGGCTGTGTCCATCTATGCTATTGGCGGGGGAGTGGGGGGGGGGGGGGGTTACGAGCGAAGCATACAATAGGAAAGAACTGGTGTATTTGGTGCCACCAAGCGTCCCAAAAGTCTCCCATTATACTGTGGAGCATCAATGGCTTCATAGAGTGCACACGACCGGACGTTGCAAAATCTTCCCATTATTTACGTCTCTGTTTCAGCCAAATTTGAAACACTGTGAAAAAAAGATCTCAATAGTTTGGCCTTTCTGTTTCCTCACAGAATTAGTTGGTCCTGGACTTTGATGAGCACCTGTACGACTACACGTACTCTGGCAGCTCAGACGGCGTAGATATTTAGTGTTGCACGGTATTGATCGTCCTTCCAAAGTTGAAACCAAGATTTGTTAACAAGTGGATAAAGTCATCCAAAGTTATAGCAAGCTACCATAGTTCTTCACCAGACATTTAATAACAAGTCAGGTTAGAAGATATACTGTAGCAAAGAATTGCTTATAATTCTTTCTATGTAATTCATCTCTTTTCTTCAAAATGGTTCAATGGATATACATGAAACTTTTACCAAATATATCCAAAATACCAACGTACAACTTATTTCATTTGCGCTAATTATTTTCATAATTGCTACATATTTTTAACATTTTCTTTAATTTGGGTCCAGATCATTCTGACTCACTGTGTTAGTGTAAAACCCACTATTGAATTGATACTAACAAAATTGGAACAACATTCGTTATGGTAGCATGAAATGAGGTGGTGTGGTTAATTTCTTGGAAATTATAGTAACAGTATCATTAAATAAAACAGTACAAATGCACATCAAAAGAATGTGTTACAGTGTAGGAGGTAGAAGGAACGGGAACAATTTGAGATCAGCCAAGACAGAAATTGTCATACTTAAATTAACTAATTATACCAACCAATATGTCAAGGCTATCCCGCCATGTCAGTTGTATTATTCGATTAAATTAAATTTACATTTATTTGCCACTACCAAATACTGTCCCTGTTACCTTAGTATTTTGAATTTTCCATTCAAATATCATTAAGAATAAAATCAGGAGATGTTTATTTTTTGGAAGGTAGTTGGTTATTCATAATCGCTCTTGGAAGACGACTGCATTATATAGGGATTGCATCAGAATTATAAAATCACAGATGTGCATGTACACGTAACAGGGACAGGGGAAAAAAGTGAAACCCAAATTTATTGAATGACAACAAACGATGAGATCCTAAAATGGCTCCTCAAATTGGTATATCCCGATTTGTTTTTGATGTACATGTATTATAATTTTACACTGCATGGAACCTGTAGATCCTAAAAGGAAAACAGACACTCCAAAGAACGCAAAATCATGAACAAAGCGTCCTTTTTGTAACGTTGGAGGAAAACAACAAAACGATATTTTTGGGAAACCAAATGGAACCAGGCAGCTACAAACTAAAGACCGAACGGCGTGTCCATCGAAATGAGACTGGACCACGGGCCATAGAGGTGGAAGGCGACGAAAGTGCCCCTGCCAAAACCTGACTCTCAGGTCTGGTCCGATTTCATTTCGCTATATATACGGCTGGCATTAACACATGTGTATAATGAAAGTGGATTCAGCCTCAGTCTCATGGGCCTAATGTTACATTTCGGTTTCTGCTACTGTGCTCGCATCCGTTTCCGCCTGGTGCTTCCAGCGGCTGGAACATGCGCACAGCAACCTATAGAAACCTTCTCGCCCCTCTCGGAAACGCCAAAAGTAGATGAAAGGGTTGAGAGCGGAATTCATCGGCAACGCTGCATAGCTGTGCCGCAAGAATACCACAACCGACAAGGTGAGTTCGCCGTGCGTGAACAGGACAATAAAGCCCACACAAAATGGCAGCCAACAGACAGCAGACGCCACGAATATGATCGTGAACGTCACCATAAGGTGACGCGTTTGGCGCACGCGGGTACCAGCCTGTCCATCTATGTTATTGACTCCACCGATGGACGCCAGCGGCGGCGTATACATGGATATCTTACGGAAGACCACGAGGTATAAAACCCCAGTGACGATCAGAATAAAAAGGGGAATCAGAGCTTGGATCAGCCAGTTGATGGTGGGGTCTTGGAGGTACGTCGTAGGTAAGAAAAGCACGGCAGATAGGATCCAAATCAGGAGACATGCGATCACCATGCGGACGGGTGTCACTACGGCGTCATAGCGGGCAGGCGGCATCAGAGACAGCGCCAGCAAACGATTCACGGCTACGGCCAAGATGCTGAGCTGGGCGGTCAAGAAGAAAGCCCTAGACAGGGCAACAACCGTGGCCACGTGCCTGAAGTGAATGAATATAATCAGCATTGCAGGGTAGGCGATGTCGGCGAGTACGAGGTTGAAGACGAAGCCATAGTACTTGATGCGGAGTTGCTTGGTTCGAGCAAACACCACCACCACGAGAAGATTCAAAACCACTGCGATGCCAGCGACCACGTGCACCGGGATGCTGGCTCTCATCAAGACTGCGTCTACGTCATCCATTTTAGCAAATTTGCTGCAGTTTCCTTGAACCTAAAAGGCAAGACATTTATAGGAAGATCCGGATTGAAATATCTGCTCTTCTCCGTTGTGTGAAATTCAGGCGCCCTTAGCTATGAATTCAGATTTGTGTTTTTGATCCACCATGTTTGCCGAACACTGACCCGTAATGCACCAATACCAGTAAAAGCCAGCAGGGCAGCGATCCGGTCACTCAGTGTACCGAACACCAGATATGTCATGACATCACACTTTGTGTACTGCATTTACTGGGAGCCTAGCCTGGGACTACACCGTATGCAGTTGGGTAAATAAAAAAGGTCCCCTTGACATTGCGATGACATAGTATCGCAAAGACTAATAGGCCTAATATAACTTTTTTGTGGATAGATGCCCAACAGTAGAATGCAAAACACTGAAACCGATGAATGTGGGACATAGAATGTGCGAATTCTTTTTACTTTCCTAGTTTTTACTATCATTACTTTCAAGCGTGGATTGTACATATTGATCTTTGGTGGATATCAAACATACCAAGTGATGAACCTAGAAATCGCGGTGTTGCTGCAATGGTATCGTGGTCATTTTTATCAATATCAAACCTTTTGTGTCCAAGGGACAGTTAATGCCACTCCCCCTATGGCTAGGCTAACCGTATACTAGGCGACTCGATAACCAGAAAAGCAGAAACAGCCTGTTTGTCATCACTTTTAAGTAAAAGCCTGTGTTAAAAATGACAAAAAACATTAACAAACCTGCCTGGATGCCTGATGCTTCAGTTATAATCTTTACAGGTCAGCTAATATAGATGTCGGTTACAAATGGTGGATTTTATTGCATTTCACGGTGTCGTAAATGACTATAAATATTCCGTTGAAATGCACTTTAGGCGTTGTGCAGGTACTTGCAGTAAAACCCAATTATTCATGGGTCTTGCTTGATTACCTCCGACCAATGAAAAATATGGAATTATTCAAAAGCCCAAAACAAACCAGTAAACTCAAACTCAGAACGTCAACTGAGTCGAATAGAAACAACATTGAGACGGTCAACAACGATATTTATCACAAAGAATTTAATGAAATCGGATTATTCACGAAAATGTCCGGTATAATTGAAATTAACTGCGGTTGCAGTTGAGTTCTGTTCCGTGCTGGTTATTGTTCTTCCATATTCTCGAATGGTTCTGTGATGACACAGTGAGTGCTCCCTGCGCTCTTGTACGCCACGATTTAAATATAGACATAGACTCGATTCACAATAATTAAACGCACTTAACAATTTAAATCATTTTACTTGAGCGCTCACAGAATTCACCAATTATATACGTGAAAAGGATTGAGGATTCAGCCGTGGTCAGGTCAGATTCATTTTGACAATTGTCGTATATACTTTGCATTCGGTTCAAGTTTACAAATTCCGTTAGTTCACCTTGGCATATTATGCCCTTCGTTTCATGCAAAGTACGGTAGATCAGCTTCAGAAAATGGTGCATACAGTTTGGCCATTTGAAAAGCGGAGACGAGTGCGGCAATAACATACCACAATGTTACTGCAACTAAAAACACCGTATGGGTAAACGAAAAAGGTATATAGTTGATGCCTGCCGAACAGGCAAAGGTAGTGTGCAGCTATAGCTCAGGCTGACAATTTAATACGTGTCAATGTACGGGCGATTTTTGTTTGTCCTATACTTCAGCAAATTCCTGTTCAGACTCTTTAGAATCGTATGACGTTAAGGTTCATTATACAGATGCTATGGCCCTTTGCTTGGTAAGGTTGAAACAAAAGGCTGCACCGACTAGCGTCATCATTCATTTAAAAGTAGATTACATCATTTGCAGCTATGCCAAAAGTAACTGACGAACTTGTTCAAAAGCTAGAATACCACAACCGACAAGGTAAATTCGCCGTGCGTGAACAGGACGATAAAACCCATACAAAATGGCAGCCAACAGACAGTTAACTAATTATATCAACCAATATGCAAAGGCTATCACCCCATGTCATTTGTATTATTCGAATTAAATTTACATATATTTGCCACTACCAAATGCTATCCCTGTTACGTTGATATTGTGTAATTCGCCATTCAAATATCATTAAGATAAAACCAAAAGACGTTTATCTTTGTTAGTAGGTAGTTGGTTATTCATAATCGCTCTTGGAAGACAACTGCATTATATACGGAGTGCATCAGAATTATAAAATCACAGACGTGCGTGTACACTTCACAGAGACAGGGAAAAAGTGAAACCAAATTGATTGAATGACAACAAACGATGAGATCCTAAAATGGCTCCTCCAATCGGTATAGCCCGATTTCTTTTTGATGTATTTGTATTAGAATTTCACACTGCATAGAACCTGTAGATCCCAAAAGAAAAACAGACACTCCAAAGAACGAAAAAATCATGAACAAAGCGTTCTTTTTTAACGTTGGAGGAAAACCAGAAAACGATATTTTCGGGAAACAAAATGTAACCAGGGAGCTTCAAACTGAAGACCGAACGGCGTGTCCACGGAAATGAGACTGGACCACGGGTCATAGAGGTGTAAAGCGACGAAAGTACTCCTGCCAAAACCTGACTCTTAGATCTGGTCCGACTTCATTTCGCTATGCGGCTGGCAGTAGCATATGTGTGTATTGAAAGTGGATTCAGCCTCAGTTTCATGGGCCTAATATTACATTTCGGTCTCTGCTACTGTGCTCGCATCCGTTTCTGCCTGGTATTTCCTGCGGCTGGAACATGCGCACAACAACCTATAGAAACCTTCCCGCCCCTCTCGGAAACGCCAAAAGTAGATGAAAGGGTTGAGCACGGAATTCATCAGCAACGCCGCATAGCTGTACAGCAGGAATACCACAACCGAAAAGGTGGGTTCGCCGTGCGCGAACAGGATGAAAAAACCCACACAAAATGGCAGCCAACAGACAGCAGACGCCACGAATATGATCGTGAACGTTACCATAAGGTGACGAGTTTGGCGCATGCGGGTACCAGTCTGTCCATCTATGTTACTGGTTCCAGCGGCGGACGCCAGTGGTGGCGTATAGTTGGAAATCTTATAGAAGACCACAAGGTAGAGAACCGCAGTGATGATCAGAATAAAAATGGGAAGCAGAGCTTGGATCAGCCAGTTGATGGTGGGGTCTTGGAGGTACGTCGTAGGTAAGAAAAGCACGGCAGATAGGATCCAAATCAGGAGACATGCGACCACCAGGCGGACGGGTGTCACAACGGCGTCATAGCGGGCAGGCGGCATCAGAGACAGCGCCAGCAAACGATTCACGGCTACGGCCAAGATGCTGAGCTGCCCGGTCAAGAAAAAAGACCGAGCTAGAGCAACAACCGTGGTTACGTGGCTGAGGTGGACCATAGTGATCAGTATGGCAGGGAAGGCAATGTCGGCGAGTACGAGGTTGAAGACGAATCCATAGTACTTGATGCGGAGTTGTTTGGTTCGAGCAAACACCACCACCACGAGAAGATTCAAAACCACTGCGATGCCACCGACCACGTGCATTGGGATACTAGCTCTCTTCTTCAAGGTTGCTTCTACGTCGCCCATTTTGGCAGAATTGCTGCGGTTTTCTTGAACCTAAAAAGTAAGAAATTTAGACCTTGAATGAAATATCTGCTCTCCTCCGATAAATGAACTTAAGGTACCCTTAGCCATGAGTTCAGATATGGGTTTTGTTACCACGGTCCACGATGTTTGCCGAACACTGATCCTATATAATGCAGCACTTTAAATGCCAGCAGGGCAGGCATCTCGCCACCCTGGGTACCTAACGCCAAAAGAGTGCACAAAAAACTATGTCATGACATCGCACTTGTACCGCATTGAATTCCAGGAGTTTTATGGGAAGTTTTCGGATAGCATTTGCGCATATTGTCTAACTGCGGTCTTGAACAGCTACATCCAGATGCTTTAAACATAGGTCATAGGCCACTTCCTTCACAAGATTCTGTGAAGCTCATCAGAGTATCCCGGCGTCCTGTTTGCAGGGCGGGGGGTACGAGCGAAAGGGTACAATTCCTTATAAATCGGTATTATGCGCATGTGCATGGCGATTTATGCGCATGTGCATGGCGTGCGAATTATACAGAAAATTGTATAGACTCGTAGGGTGTATTCGAAACCCCGTTCTCGAGTTGAATGAACACGAGAACATGGTTCCGAATGACGAGAATCGAACAGGATTTTCACTCCCCACTTATTCGGAAGTAGATGGAGAACGTCAAGAACAAAGATGGCGGACTTATGCCCCTACCGGAATTTGCGTTAATATTTGTGTATAAAATTGAAAGCATTCCGCATTCAGTGCAGGAGCAGTAACGATAAATTGTACGTGGTCATAGAGTGGGCTTGTCAGCCTTGTCTTTGCCATTTTTTTTTTTTAGCTGTTTCGGGATTTCAATTATTTTCGTATTAATTGAATTAATTGCCCCTTCTTTTTGTTCGGCGTTTTGATACGGCGGCTGCCATCTTGGATATTCGCCCAGCTGCACTCCACATGCACGCGCGCGTTCGTGATCGGCAACACGAGAACGCTGCTCCCCAGTCACTCGAGAACAGGGTTGCGAATACACCCTAAAACTCGAAACTTTTACATAAACGGAACGGAATTGGGTTGGCTCTAGACATTACGTATATTACCCAACCTGACATTGGTAGCCGTCGAAATGTGGTTGGTAGAGCTATAAAATATACCAAACGATGAACCGAAAAATCGAAAAATCACGGTATACACAGCGTGACGTCATAACATGACAGAGTGTTGCTGTCATGGTTCCCAAGAGCTGCATGGAAACAACATGCACGCTACTCAGGAACAGGCGGCGGAGTAAGGGTTTGCATCCAAGAGGGCGAATGGGGGCTCGATGTTAAGTAAAGTAAAGTTTAAGTAAGGGTCTCCGTTAAAAAAGAAAAAAATCCAACAAACCTTTCTAGAGATCCGCGATGCTTCAAATCCTTTGTCCAGGGCAGCGAATACAGCAGGCAGTTACAAATCATGGATTTTATTACTGGTCACCGTCTCATGAATAATCATATTGCTCTGTCCAAATGGACATGCTCCGTCCAAGTTAGATGTGGAATAGGCAAGTATACTTCCCGTAACATATATTGTAAATAATTCAAGGGTCTTGCTAGATAACTTCCAATCAATTACACATAAATCGGCATCAAATAGCTGTGGAGTGTCGTGACCTCGTGGTCTGGAGCAGTGAATTCGTGGTCTGCGTGTAATATTACTGCAGGTTGTGGGTTCGAGTCCAGCCTGCGGCTATGGTGCGTGTGCCCTTGGGCAAGGCACTTTGTCACTCATCGCCTGTCTCCACTCAGGAGTAAATGGGTACCTGTGAGGACAGAAATGGTAAATGTGACTGAATTAGCTTCCTTGTGCCTAACGTACAGGCAGCATCGAGCTGTATACTCCCAAGGAGCGGAATGGTTTTTGGAATAGTTCATGGGCCCAATGAGCAGGGAGATAATGACATAGCGCCTTGAGCACCAATAACTTGCGCCTTATAAATACCTTTTATTATTACTATCGCAAACTACACCACTTGGGAGACATTTTGGGAGGTATACCTTTGGGAGACATGTGGAATTAGGGAGACATTTCAGTGTCTCCCTTATGCCCCGGCTCTAGCTATTTAGAGGCGAAATTTTAGTATCGGAAATAGGCTAGATCGATTGCTAGTGGTCCAATTAGTAAAACTACCGAAATTTGTGGGGATAGGATTAGGGAAATTGGGGTAAGGGGTCAGGAAAGTCGGATTATTATTTGTGGACAAGCTTATAGGAATGTCTCCCTAATGGTATTATTATTATTGCAGCTAGCTTCGACTTATTGTCAACTTGTTTCCACGCAGTTTCAAAGGGTGAATGCCTAAGCAATGGCTGTAGATCAGCGATTCGGACGCGGCCTTAGTTATACATGCAGACTCAAATCATAATAATTATACGTGCTTAAAGATTTAAATTTATTTGAGCCCTCACAGAATTCACTTATTATGATTATGCAGATGGATGATTGAGGATTAAACCGTGGCAAGGCCAAATTAATTATGACAATTGTCGTATATTATTTGTTCCTTTGCAGTCGGTTAAAGCTATAGTCCATCATTTGCAGCCATCCGAAAAAGTAACTGGCGTATTATTGTTGAAAAACATACTCGGTTGAAAGATAGTAAGTGGACTAAACTCCCTGTGAAATTAGTCTCTCTGGAAAGCTATCATTTTGAAGTAATCAACGAAAGAAGGCCTTTCCAACGGTGCGTCTTAAATGGGTCTATTTAGAGATTTGCTCCACTTTTCATGGTGAAATCTTTTCCTTTTTTCCCCACGTGCCTTGAATGGCAACCATAGCCTTTCTCTCTATGACAATTGACACAACAAAAAACACAAATGAAGAGTGGCGCAATTCTGTAAAGTGCGCAGGGTAGAATCTGAACAATCAAGCTTAAAACAAATTGAAATGGCTGTCAGTGTCCATGTAACCCACTAATGCATCTGAAATATAAGCCAAGCGATGAAAAGAAAATGCTTCTGATTCAATTATATTTGTTTATTTTTATATTGCTCTTCACCCAAAGATTCCACAATTAAAGGAACCAATAATTCAAAGCTATCGCGCCCTGTCAGTACGATTGTTCGAATTAAATTTACATGTATATTTGCTACTACCAAATACATGTCCAAAAAAGGATCATAATACATAGATATACCCGCAAAATCCCTTCTCCAAATGGCTAAAAACTTAATTTGACTTTTTGAATTGTAATTGGTCTATACACATATTGAACGTAATACTTGTATAGTCATAATGAAATAACTACAGTTGTGTGTAAGCCAGGGGAAATAGGACTTAGGATGCATACCATGTGCTCTGGGCAAAACAAACGTGAATTTGTTTCTCCTCACGAACTTTCAATTTGTATATGTGTTTCGTTTTTAACCCAAAAAACAGAGTGACCTGATGCCTTTTGGGCATGCGGTGACCCAATTTTTTTAATAAAAAAAATTGAGGGCCAATGACGGTCACCTCCTATCTAATCCTCATTCAACCCTTGCCAAATCAGCTGGCTCAGTGAACTTTGCAGCCAGGGCTACACCCAAGCCGTGTCAACAAACTTTCGACCTGGGCTCCTGCCAAGTCTCATTGAAACATATACAAACACCTGTAACTTGACACAGCCATCTCACTTCATAGCCGCAAACTACCCCCCCCCCCCGTCAATTATCTTTCCAGTGAACTGTCTGACAACTGTCTGGCAACTGTCTGGCACGTGACTTTTTGTTGTATCGCTATAAATAGGGTCTTGTGGTTTGCGGAGAAGTTCCTGCTGCCCAAAAGGACGCCGTTGACGCGACCTCAAGTATGCTTCTTCTTTTTTTGGTAAACGCTGCGCTTGGTAAGGCGCTTCAACCCTTTGAAAAAGGGCTTGAAATTTGTGCACAAAATGAACCTGTCCTGTGACAGCCAAATTATTGCCGAGCTGCCAATAATTCGAATTTTGGTTTTATAAATAATTCTCTGAATAAATTTCGGTGGATTTTTTCGTTATATTTCTGATTCAAACGTGAATAATTACTTTGAGGTGAAGCTTGAAAACTGCACGAGGAAGGACTGCATCTTTAATTAATTCTCTGCTGGAATAATTAGCCGTGTTTCCTCCAACTCACTGTAAAAAATCCAAACACAATAACCACCCGAAACCAGGCACCATATGGTGCCTTGATACCGGATCTCGGGTAGTTATTGTGATTAAAAAGAAACACGATTGGCAGAGGCGTAGCCTCGTTTGAATAACTTTGACTACTACCGACACAAGACTGTGTTACAAGTGATTATGTAGTAACGGATAACGTATGGCAAACCGATAATGTCACACAAACTGGCCGATACTATTGTACCACTAACCGATAATGTAACACAAAGTGACTGATAGTGTAGTACAATTTGTATCCGACAATGTATCACGTGTCGGCGGATAATCTAATTACAAAAAAAAATATCCGATAACGTATCATCACAGAACGGATAGCGTAGTAACATTTACAACACTTCTGGTGATACGTTATCCGTTGGTTACTTAATATCAGTTGTAACAGATGTTCTGAGCATTTGCTGAGTGTGCACATGAGCTCATATTTTGTAACTATGGCTTTTCGAAATTCATCGACCACTATTTTGGGGTCATTCGATAAATTTAGGGTCCAACTTATGACATTTCTTCCCTGTCCGTGTTAGCTTGATACTTAGTATAATGTGCCATTCAAATATCACTTCAAAAGATGTTTAAACTGTTGGGTATGTGGAGGACGACTGATAATAGATGTGCATGTATTAGGGACATGAAAAAAGTGGACCTCAGATTATAGACTGACCACATACGATAACATCCTAAAATGGCTCCTCAAATCGGTATATTATTCTATATTGGAACATCTGTATCCTGAAGCGAAAACATACACTCTAGCTTCGAAACCCAAAGGAACCCCAAAAAAAGAACGCAAGACCGTGGAAAAAAAACCTTTTTAAAGGTTTGAGGAAAAAACAACATATTTTAGGGAAATCCAAATGGAATCTGGCAGTTATAGATTGAAGACCCAGCGGCATGTAAAATGGAACTCGACAAAAACTTGGCACACGTGTGTATTGACAGATGATTCAGCTTCAGTTTTCACAATGGCCTAATGTTACATTTCGGTCTCCACTACAGTGTTGCCATCCATTTCCGCCTGGTTTTTCCTGCGGCTGGAACATGCGCACATCAACCTATAGAAACCTTCCCGCCCCTCTCGGAAACGCCAAAAGTAGATGAAAGGGTTGAGCGCGGAATTAAACAGCAACACCGCATAGCTGTACTGCAGGAATACCACTACCGACAAGGTGGGTTCGCCGTGCGTGAACAGGATGATAAAGCCCACACAAAATGGCAGCCAACAGACAGCAGACGCCACGAATATGATCGTGAACGTCACCATAAGGTGACGCGTTTGGCGCACGCGGGTACCAGCCTGTCCATCTATGTTATTGGTTCCAGCGATGGACGCCAGTGGCGGCATATACCTGGAGATCTTACGGAAGACCACAAGGTATAGAACCCCAGTGACGATCAGAATAAAAATGGGAGTCAGAGCTTGGATCAACCAGTTGATGGTCGCGTCTTGAAGTTTCATCGTAGATAAGAAAAGCACGGCAGATAGGATCCAAATCAGGAGACATGCGACCACCATACGGACGGGTGTCACCACGGCGTCATAGCGGGCAGGCGGCATCAGAGACAGTGCCAGCAAACGATTCACGGCTACGGCCAAGATGCTGAGCTGCCCGGTCAAGAAAAAAGACCGAACAAGGGCAAGAACCGTAGCCACGTGTTTAAAGTGGATATAAACAATCGCTGCGGCAGGGCATGCGATGTCGGCGAGTACGAGATTGAAGACGAAGCCGAAGTACTTGATGCGGAGTTGCTTGGTTCGAGCAAACACCACCACCACGAGAAGATTCAAAACCACTGCGATGCCAGCAACCACTTGCATGAGGATACTGGCTCCCATTAAGGCTGCGTCTACGTCATCCATTGCAGAATTGCTGCGGTTTTCTTGACATAAAAAGCACGAAATTTAAGAAACACCTGGATGGGAAAACAAAACACCTCCGTTATAATGAATTCAGGCACCCATAGCCATGTATTAAGATATGCGTTTTATTACCATGATCCACTGCTTGAACACTGATTCTTAATGCGCGAGTATCTGTAAAAGCCAGCAGAGCCGGCATCTGGTTAGTATATGTAATAGACTCTGGCCCTGGCAAAGCCGACCATGGTCTATGATACGTAAAAAAAGATTCGGCGATTATTTATGCAACTAGACTGCGTATGACCTCGAGAAACTGACCAATCAGCAGGTGCCTGCTATACACGCGTAATTGTACAGGTTGTTGTATTAAAAAAAAAAACAGCATCGAAATTGACCAATCACAATCTGATTTCGGAACAAAATGACTTCACGAACGCTTAGATATATCAAACGTTATACAGGAGACTTGGCTCCGTGGATAACGGGTGATGACTAGCATCATGGTCACCGAGGGTACCAAACACCAAAACGTTGACATAGAGATGCCATTACCCAAACTGGCATTCGAATGCTGTAAAATTTTCATAAGATGGGATTTTTGCGTCGGGGTGATGTATATCAATTTGATGTAAAAATTGTGTTGGTGTAGCTAAAACAAACCAAGTTATGAACCTAACAATTGCGAAGCACAATTCATGACGTCATTACGTCACAGAGTTGTGCGATAATAGTAAACAAGCATTAGACTCAAAATGGATGCTAACACAAAGATGCACACAGCCGTGTTTGACTGTACTCTCGAGGACAAGGCGTCGTGTTTCCCTTTGTTCCTATGATGTATCACTCTCCCATAGACTAAGCACACACACTCACGATCGAGGACCGTTTCCAATAAAAGATCAACAAAGAGGACAACAACGAATGTCCCTTTGTCTGTGTGTCATCTGGGTGTATGTAGTACATTGACACGCATGCAGTCTTTATCTGCACGGTGGGCGCACAGTTGTATCATCGTTAGTTGTATTATTTTTTACCCTTTTTGTGTCCGACAGTCAATGCTCCTCCCCCGACGGCAAGGCATTTCAAACCTACATGTCGGCATTTCCAACCGACAGTCAGTCAATTTAAAGACAGCAAACCTGACATGAGTTTACCTTCAATATGTATCATATCCGTCTAAAAAAAAAAGATAACCGGAGAAACCGTAAAACCAACCTGTCTAGATGTGCGATGCTTCAATTACACCCTACATGAAAGCGACTACAGAAGTCAGTGTAGTGCCGCACACATGATTTGGCTGGGGACGGCTCACATTTTTTCTCTCTCAATTTTCGTTTGAGAAGTTAGTTTTTTTTTCCAACAAAACGTTGCCCAAAGTTTTTGGCACCAGAACATTACTATTTTGACGTTGGGGGCGCCATTTACAGCCCTACTTCACTAATCGAAAATATGGCAAATACATATCACCCCTGGGGTGCGCCATTGGTTAATAAATACGGCGTCGTCTCCATTTCGACTTCGCCTGCTATTTGGGTCCCTAAGTTTGAGTTTTTAGCTCAACATCAGTCAGTGTTTTCTTTCAGAAATATAAAACTCTGTGATAAATGAAACAATTGATTTATTTCTAATTTGATCGGAGCATTAAAATCTTTTAATGATAAAGCCAAACCGGTAACGAAGCCGAGCCTTAAAAATGGGTCATCGTGTATATTTAGCCCGGTTGTGGTTACCTGATCTACAATTTAGATCAGGGCGTCGGGGAATTGTCAGGCCAGGGAACTATAGACTACAATTTAAAGGTCATTGCGTCGGGGATTTATCAGGTCAGGGAACCAGACTAGTGAGGCATGCGGCGCCCGTCCCCCGCAGTGTGCAACATAATAACAGGGTAGGGACCAGCGAACACCGTACATGTAGTGCTCACTGAAAACGTGGCACTGTGGCAGAATACTCAGCTCAATCCGTACTGCATCGTACCGTTGTGAATGCACGCTCGTGATATAGTGGCCATTACTTCGGCGTTTTTCCCCACGAAATTAGACAGATTCAAGACGAACTGAGAACCATATAATTGAAAAAAAAGAGAAGCCCTTATGTGGACTACGGCAGACCAGGCAGCGTATAAGCCTTATTTTGTAAAGAAGGGTCGGTTATTTATTTGTTTTATATGTTACAAGTAAGTACACATGACTTAGTACTTCTCAAATAAACTGAGTATATCGAATTTAGGTTGTAACGCTTTAAATGCCTCCGCCATTTTCGGCATTGAACCGTAAGAAATCTTCAATTCATTTTAGAACGAACACGATAAATGACTTAAATTAGAACGAACTTGATTAATATCTAATTTAATATAACAAACAATGAACGATGGATATTAATTCTATCAAGTAAACAAAGTCAAGCGTTGGTCTCAATTTTCCTTGAAACAGTAAAGCTTCACAGCATTTCGTTGTTTTTCATATAGGATTATTGAAACAGTCGTTCCAAATTCAGTTGAACAAACTAACCAGTATACATGTACCGATTGATGTTTGAGAGTCGAAAAAGAATCGAGCGTAAAATGCCAATCGCAAATGCTTTAAATGTAAGCCACACATTGGAAAACTATAAAACAAAATGCATATTAATGACAGCTTGGTGACTATTTGAATTTCTACAGGTTTGAATGAAGATTTTGGCACCAAAAATGGCCAGGCCCCAAAAAAATTAGTTCTTGAACGAAATGAACGCTCAAACTAAGTGTTCAAGTCCTTTTGCAGGTGTATTTGTGAAAGTACCGTACCGCTGCGTGGGGCGTTGTGTCAATACGCTCGTCAAATACTATTGCCAAACTCGAACAGTACATTTGCATTTTTCATTATTAAACTTCGAGACTCGAAAAACGCCTCGACATCAAAACTGCCACTTACCGGTTACGGACTGCAGCAGCTGTGGACTAGATTTTCACCTTTGGAGATACACATGTAGTGTGATGTTTGACATGAGAAGTGATATTAGGTCATGATATGAGACCATTGATTTTTACACGGCATAGTAGCCTTTAAACGAGCCATACATTGTAAGTAATATTCCGAAATACAATATGAATTTCATATAGGAGACCCATACTGGACAAACTAATTCCTCACTCAAATTACCTTTAGCAATGCATGAATAAATGAATTTACTGAGTAGAAATTATGACTCTAAAAATGCATGAGACAAAAACAAAAATGATATTAGATTGAATTGGAAATGAAGAAGACCTTGATGGACAGGGTATTATAGTTCTTCTCAGGATTGTGAAAGGGGGGCACATTGTGCTTCCACAACATTATTTCCATATGCTTCCGCCGTTACTCTAACTATGACGGTATTTGGTTCCAGTTCCTCTACCACGACAGGGCCTTTTGCTAAATTTTGCTAATTTTTGACACACAAAAACAGAATCTTTGGCAAAATTTCACCTTTTTTTCTTTCATGCATTTTTTTTTAATTCCGTAGAAACATTATTGAGGCAATATTCATCCAATTCTAATCAGCATCATTCGCAAAGACTAATAGGCCTAATATAACTTTTTTTGTGGATAGATGCCCAACAGTAGAATGCAAAACACTGAAACCGATGAATGTGGGACATAGAATGTGCGAATTTTGTTTACTTTCCTAGTTTTTACTATCATTACTTTCAAGCGTGGAATGTACATATTGATCTTTGGTGGATATCAAACATACCAAGTGATGAACCTAAAAATCGCGGTGTTGCTGCAATGGTATCGTGGTCATTTTTATCAATATCAAACCTTTTGTGTCCAACGACAGTTAATGCCACTCCCCCTATGGCTAGGCTAACCGTGTACTAGGCGACTCGATAACCAGAAAAGCAGAAACAGCCTGTTTGTCATCACATTTAAGTAAAAGACTCTGTTAAAAATGACAAAAAAAACCATCAACAAACCTGCCTGGATGCCTGATGCTTCAGTTACTCTCTACAGGTCAGCTAATATAGATGTCGGTTACAAAATAATGGTGGATTTTATTGCATTTCACGGTGTCGTAAATGACTATAATTATTCCGTCGAAATGCACTTTAGCCTTTGAATATGCAGGTGCTTGCGGTAAAATCCAATTATTCATTGGTCTTGCTTGAATACTTCCGACCAAAAAAAAAATATGGAATTATTCAAAAGCCCAAAACAAACCAGTAAAGTCAAATTCAGAACGTCTACTGAGTCGAATAGAAATAACATTGAGACGGACAACAACGAACTTTATCACAAATAATTTCATGAGATCGGATTATTCATGAAAATTTCCGTCATAATTGAGATTAACTGCGGTTGCAGTTGAGTTCTGTTCCGTGCTGGTTATTGTTCTTCCGTATTCTCGAATGGTTCTGTAATGATACAGTGAGTGCTCCCTGCGCTCTTGTACGCCACGATTTACGTTTGCACATAGACTCGAATAACAATAATTACACGCGCTTAACAATTTAAATTATTTTACTTGAGCGCTCACAGAATTCACCAATTATATGCGTGAAGAGGATTGAGGATTAAGCCGTCGTCAGGCCAGATTAATTATGACATTTGTCGTATATTCTTTGCATTCGGTTTAAGTTTACAAATTCCGTTAGTTCACCTTGGCATATTATGCCCTTCGATTCATGCAAAGTACGGTAGATCAGCTTCAGAAAATGGTGCATACAGTTTGGCCATTTGAAAAGCGGAGACGAGTGCAGTAATAACATACCACAATTTTACTGCAACTAAAAACACCGTATGGGTAACGGAAAAGGTATATAGTTGATGCCTGCCGAACAGGCAAAGGTAGTGTGCAGCTATAGCTCAGGCTGACAATTTAATACGTGTCAATGTACCAGCCTGTCCAGCTATATGGTTGCAAAGGGCAAATTCTAAAGGTTACTTAACACTTTATTTGGAATGAAACTACATGTACACAGACATGTTTACGTTGGCGGGTGAAATCTTTGAAAATTAATCTGCCGTTTGGATCACCGTATGTTCATGCAACTTTCAGGATTTATTTCCCCTATAGTGATCCAAGCATGTGCTAAAAGTCGTTGTGATGTGTTCATTACTTTTTGTTAAATTTGGAAAATAGGCCTCGCAACGTGCAATTTTGAAAATTGTAACACTGGCGTGCGCAATATCTATCAATCTTTTCAAGCCTCACGCATATTAATGAGGTTCATATCCATCACGGTGTGCAGTAAACAATTGCATAAAAACCTCCTTCACGAGTTGTTAATTAACACCTATCACCGTTTTTGCCGCCTTCCATTGGTCGACACCGAGACCCACGCCATGTCACGCCGAGTGACGCTAATGAATATGCTAACATCCACTTAATCATTGCGTGCCGGGCCGAAATCGGTCAGCCGTAGCGCCTACGGCGCTTTGCTGAACAATGCACATGGGCTGGGTCGGCAAATAATGTTTTTGATCGTCTTCGAAATTTTCCTTAGAGATGGTTCAAAGTGTAACAATAGCGTCCACAACAACAGATTAAGCTGAAATTCGGAAACAACTTAGGTAAATTCCTAGAAATTGGGATAAATACATACATTTGGGGAAGTTTTTGAACGATTCCTTCAAGACTTAAAGGTCAGCTTTGACAGTAACCAGTATTGAGCTTTCAGCATCAATGACGGCGATTTGTTTTCCACTGACATGAAGTTTGCAATTTCTTCTTCAGTTAGAATGTAACATTTAAATCATACTGAGCATATTTTCCGAGAAACACAACGTTCAAAAGGCCATGTTTTTGAGGGTTCACGAATTTCAATGCTCTGTTACAGCGTCTTAGTACGTAATTGGATTAGCTTTCCTAGACAACGACCGGCGCTTTGCCGTAGCAACCATATGGCTGTGTCCATCTATGCTATTGGCGGGGGAGTGGGAGGGGGGGGGGTTACGAGCGAAGCATACAATAGGAAAGAACTGGTGTATTTGGTGCCACCAAGCGTCCCAAAAGTCTCCCATTATACTGTGGAGCATCAATGGCTTCATAGAGTGCACACGACCGGACGTTGCAAAATCTTCCCATTATTTACGTCTCTGTTTCAGCCAAATTTGAAACACTGTGAAAAAAAGATCTCAATAGTTTGGCCTTTCTGTTTCCTCACAGAATTAGTTGGTCCTGGACTTTGATGAGCACCTGTACGACTACACGTACTCTGGCAGCTCAGACGGCGTAGATATTTAGTGTTGCACGGTATTGATCGTCCTTCCAAAGTTGAAACCAAGATTTGTTAACAAGTGGATAAAGTCATCCAAAGTTATAGCAAGCTACCATAGTTCTTCACCAGACATTTAATAACAAGTCAGGTTAGAAGATATACTGTAGCAAAGAATTGCTTATAATTCTTTCTATGTAATTCATCTCTTTTCTTCAAAATGGTTCAATGGATATACATGAAACTTTTACCAAATATATCCAAAATACCAACGTACAACTTATTTCATTTGCGCTAATTATTTTCATAATTGCTACATATTTTTAACATTTTCTTTAATTTGGGTCCAGATCATTCTGACTCACTGTGTTAGTGTAAAACCCACTATTGAATTTATACTAACAAAATTGGAACAACATTCGTTATGGTAGCATGAAATGAGGTGGTGTGGTTAATTTCTTGGAAATTATAGTAACAGTATCATTAAATAAAACAGTACAAATGCACATCAAAAGAATGTGTTACAGTGTAGGAGGTAGAAGGAACGGGAACAATTTGAGATCAGCCAAGACAGAAATTTTCATACTTAAATTAACTAATTATACCAACCAATATGTCAAGGCTATCCCGCCATGTCAGTTGTATTATTCGATTAAATTAAATTTACATTTATTTGCCACTACCAAATACTGTCCCTGTTACCTTAGTATTTTGAATTTTCCATTCAAATATCATTAAGAATAAAATCAGGAGATGTTTATTTTTTGGAAGGTAGTTGGTTATTCATAATCGCTCTTGGAAGACGACTGCATTATATAGGGATTGCATCAGAATTATAAAATCACAGATGTGCATGTACACGTAACAGGGACAGGGGAAAAAAGTGAAACCCAAATTTATTGAATGACAACAAACGATGAGATCCTAAAATGGCTCCTCAAATTGGTATATCCCGATTTGTTTTTGATGTACATGTATTATAATTTTACACTGCATGGAACCTGTAGATCCTAAAAGGAAAACAGACACTCCAAAGAATGCAAAATCATGAACAAAGCGTCCTTTTTGTAACGTTGGAGGAAAACAACAAAACGATATTTTTGGGAAACCAAATGGAACCAGGCAGCTACAAACTAAAGACCGAACGGCGTGTCCATCGAAATGAGACTGGACCACGGGCCATAGAGGTGGAAGGCGACGAAAGTGCCCCTGCCAAAACCTGACTCTCAGGTCTGGTCCGATTTCATTTCGCTATATATACGGCTGGCATTAACACATGTGTATAATGAAAGTGGATTCAGCCTCAGTCTCATGGGCCTAATGTTACATTTCGGTTTCTGCTACTGTGCTCGCATCCGTTTCCGCCTGGTGCTTCCAGCGGCTGGAACATGCGCACAGCAACCTATAGAAACCTTCTCGCCCCTCTCGGAAACGCCAAAAGTAGATGAAAGGGTTGAGAGCGGAATTCATCAGCAACGCTGCATAGCTGTACCGCAAGAATACCACAACCGACAAGGTGAGTTCGCCGTGCGTGAACAGGACAATAAAGCCCACACAAAATGGCAGCCAACAGACAGCAGACGCCACGAATATGATCGTGAACGTCACCATAAGGTGACGCGTTTGGCGCACGCGGGTAGCAGCCTGTCCATCTATGTTATTGACTCCACCGATGGACGCCAGCGGCGGCGTATACATGGATATCTTACGGAAGACCACGAGGTATAAAACCCCAGTGACGATCAGAATAAAAAGGGGAATCAGAGCTTGGATCAGCCAGTTGATGGTGGGGTCTTGGAGGTACGTCGTAGGTAAGAAAAGCACGGCAGATAGGATCCAAATCAGGAGACATGCGATCACCATGCGGACGGGTGTCACTACGGCGTCATAGCGGGCAGGCGGCATCAGAGACAGCGCCAGCAAACGATTCACGGCTACGGCCAAGATGCTGAGCTGGGCGGTCAAGAAGAAAGCCCTAGACAGGGCAACAACCGTGGCCACGTGCCTGAAGTGAATGAATATAATCAGCATTGCAGGGTAGGCGATGTCGGCGAGTACGAGGTTGAAGACGAAGCCATAGTACTTGATGCGGAGTTGCTTGGTTCGAGCAAACACCACCACCACGAGAAGATTCAAAACCACTGCGATGCCAGCGACCACGTGCACCGGGATGCTGGCTCTCATCAAGACTGCGTCTACGTCATCCATTTTAGCAAATTTGCTGCAGTTTCCTTGAACCTAAAAGGCAAGACATTTATAGGAAGATCCGGATTGAAATATCTGCTCTTCTCCGTTGTGTGAAATTCAGGCGCCCTTAGCTATGAATTCAGATTTGTGTTTTTGATCCACCATGTTTGCCGAACACTGACCCGTAATGCACCAATACCAGTAAAAGCCAGCAGGGCAGCGATCCGGTCACTCAGGGTACCGAACACCAGATATGTCGTGACATCACACTTTGTGTACTGCATTTACTGGGAGCCTAGCCTGGGACTACACCGTATGCAGTTGGGTAAATAAAAAAGGTCCCCTTGACATTGCGATGACATAGTATCGCAAAGACTAATAGGCCTAATATAACTTTTTTGTGGATAGATGCCCAACAGTAGAATGCAAAACACTGAAACCGATGAATGTGGGACATAGAATGTGCGAATTCTTTTTACTTTCCTAGTTTTTACTATCATTACTTTCAAGCGTGGATTGTACATATTGATCTTTGGTGGATATCAAACATACCAAGTGATGAACCTAGAAATCGCGGTGTTGCTGCAATGGTATCGTGGTCATTTTTATCAATATCTAACCTTTTGTGTCCAAGGGACAGTTAATGCCACTCCCCCTATGGCTAGGCTAACCGTATACTAGGCGACTCGATAACCAGAAAAGCAGAAACAGCCTGTTTGTCATCACTTTTAAGTAAAAGCCTGTGTTAAAAATGACAAAAAACATTAACAAACCTGCCTGGATGCCTGATGCTTCAGTTATACTCTCTACAGGTCAGCTAATATAGATGTCGGTTACAAATGGTGGATTTTATTGCATTTCACGGTGTCGTAAATGACTATAAATATTCCGTTGAAATGCACTTTAGGCGTTGTGCAGGTACTTGCAGTAAAACCCAATTATTCATGGGTCTTGCTTGATTACCTCCGACCAATGAAAAATATGGAATTATTCAAAAGCCCAAAACAAACCAGTAAAATCAAACTCAGAACGTCAACTGAGTCGAATAGAAACAACATTGAGACGGTCAACAACGATATTTATCACAAAGAATTTAATGAAATCGGATTATTCACGAAAATGTCCGTTATAATTGAAATTAACTGCGGTTGCAGTTGAGTTCTGTTCCGTGCTGGTTATTGTTCTTCCATATTCTCGAATGGTTCTGTGATGACACAGTGAGTGCTCCCTGCGCTCTTGTACGCCACGATTTAAATATAGACATAGACTCGATTCACAATAATTATACGCACTTAACAATTTAAATCATTTTACTTGAGCGCTCACAGAATTCACCAATTATATACGTGAAAAGGATTGAGGATTCAGCCGTGGTCAGGTCAGATTCATTTTGACAATTGTCGTATATACTTTGCATTCGGTTCAAGTTTACAAATTCCGTTAGTTCACCTTGGCATATTATGCCCTTCGTTTCATGCAAAGTACGGTAGATCAGCTTCAGAAAATGGTGCATACACTTTGGCCATTTGAAAAGCGGAGACGAGTGCGGCAATAACATACCACAATGTTACTGCAACTAAAAACACCGTATGGGTAAGGCGAGCCTTCAAATTAGAATCCCTCCCCGGACCGTTCGGGGTTGAGCCCGCCCAGTATGTTGAAGGGATTGGGACCTTGCGTGTAACCGATCGGCCTGGATTAACTCCACCAGGCTTCTGCACCGTGGCTCTGGCTCATCACAAAGGAACCAATTTGCGACGCGCTAATCCTCCAGTAGGCAACAATGACTGTGATGAGCTTCATAGAAGTTGCCGCTGGTAATCCCAGTGGGCTGAATAATGCTCCAACAATGGCCAGACTTCAATTCATGTTGCCTATTGTGAAACCCTGAGTCACCAGTTTGGACCGATTGGGGCGTCACGCTTCAGTGACCGGGTGGCTTCTGGCTTCGTACCGATTGGGGTGAAAGAAATTAGCATACCGGACCCGGTACCCGAACGGTCTGTTATCTGATGGCTCGCCTAACGAAAAAGGTATATAGTTGATGCCTGCCGAACAGGCAAAGGTAGTGTGCAGCTATAGCTCAGGCTGACAATTTAATACGTGTCAATGTACGGGCGATTTTTGTTTGTCCTATACTTCAGCAAATTCCTGTTCAGACTCTTTAGAATCGTATGACGTTAAGGTTCATTATACAGATGCTATGGCCCTTTGCTTGGTAAGGTTGAAACAAAAGGCTGCACCGACTAGCGTCATCATTCATTTAAAAGTAGATTACATCATTTGCAGCTATGCCAAAAGTAACTGACGAACTTGTTCAAAAGCTAGAATACCACAACCGACAAGGTAAATTCGCCGTGCGTGAACAGGACGATAAAACCCATACAAAATGGCAGCCAACAGACAGTTAACTAATTATATCAACCAATATGCAAAGGCTATCACGCCATGTCATTTGTATTATTCGAATTAAATTTACATATATTTGCCACTACCAAATGCTATCCCTGTTACGTTGATATTGTGTAATTCGCCATTCAAATATCATTAAGATAAAACCAAAAGACGTTTATCTTTGTTAGTAGGTAGTTGGTTATTCATAATCGCTCTTGGAAGACAACTGCATTATATACGGAGTGCATCAGAATTATAAAATCACAGATGTGCGTGTACACTTCACAGAGACAGGGAAAAAGTGAAACAAAATTGATTGAATGACAACAAACGATGAGATCCTAAAATGGCTCCTCCAATCGGTATAGCCCGATTTCTTTTTGATGTATTTGTATTAGAATTTCACACTGCATGGAACCTGTAGATCCCAAAAGAAAAACAGACACTCCAAAGAACGAAAAAATCATGAACAAAGCGTTCTTTTTTAACGTTGGAGGAAAACCAGAAAACGATATTTTCGGGAAACAAAATGTAACCAGGGAGCTTAAAACTGAAGACCGAACGGCGTGTCCACGGAAATGAGACTGGACCACGGGTCATAGAGGTGTAAAGCGACGAAAGTACTCCTGCCAAAACCTGACTCTTAGATCTGGTCCGACTTCATTTCGCTATGCGGCTGGCAGTAGCATATGTGTGTATTGAAAGTGGATTCAGCCTCAGTTTCATGGGCCTAATATTACATTTCGGTCTCTGCTACTGTGCTCGCATCCGTTTCTGCCTGGTATTTCCTGCGGCTGGAACATGCGCACAACAACCTATAGAAACCTTCCCGCCCCTCTCGGAAACGCCAAAAGTAGATGAAAGGGTTGAGCACGGAATTCATCAGCAACGCTGCATAGCTGTACAGCAGGAATACCACAACCGAAAAGGTGGGTTCGCCGTGCGCGAACAGGATGAAAAAACCCACACAAAATGGCAGCCAACAGACAGCAGACGCCACGAATATGATCGTGAACGTTACCATAAGGTGACGAGTTTGGCGCATGCGGGTACCAGTCTGTCCATCTATGTTACTGGTTCCAGCGGCGGACGCCAGTGGTGGCGTATAGTTGGAAATCTTATAGAAGACCACAAGGTAGAGAACCGCAGTGATGATCAGAATAAAAATGGGAAGCAGAGCTTGGATCAGCCAGTTGATGGTGGGGTCTTGGAGGTACGTCGTAGGTAAGAAAAGCACGGCAGATAGGATCCAAATCAGGAGACATGCGACCACCATGCGGACGGGTGTCACAACGGCGTCATAGCGGGCAGGCGGCATCAGAGACAGCGCCAGCAAACGATTCACGGCTACGGCCAAGATGCTGAGCTGCCCGGTCAAGAAAAAAGACCGAGCTAGAGCAACAACCGTGGTTACGTGGCTGAGGTGGACCATAGTGATCAGTATGGCAGGGAAGGCAATGTCGGCGAGTACGAGGTTGAAGACGAATCCATAGTACTTGATGCGGAGTTGTTTGGTTCGAGCAAACACCACCACCACGAGAAGATTCAAAACCACTGCGATGCCACCGACCACGTGCATTGGGATACTAGCTCTCTTCTTCAAGGTTGCTTCTACGTCGCCCATTTTGGCAGAATTGCTGCGGTTTTCTTGAACCTAAAAAGTAAGAAATTTAGACCTTGAATGAAATATCTGCTCTCCTCCGATAAATGAACTTAAGGTACCCTTAGCCATGAGTTCAGATATGGGTTTTGTTACCACGGTCCACGATGTTTGCCGAACACTGATCCTATAATGCAGCACTTTAAATGCCAGCAGGGCAGGCATCTCGCCACCCTGGGTACCTAACGCCAAAAGAGTGCACAAAAAACTATGTCATGACATCGCACTTGTACCGCATTGAATTCCGGGAGTTTTATGGGAAGTTTTCGGATAGCATTTGCGCACATTGTCTAACTGCGGTCTTGAACAGCTACATCCAGATGCTTTAAACATAGGTCATAGGCCACTTCCTTCACAAGATTCTGTGAAGCTCATCAGAGTATCCCGGCGTCCTGTTTGCAGGGCGGGGGGTACGAGCGAAAGGGTACAATTCCTTATAAATCGGTATTATGCGCATGTGCATGGCGATTTATGCGCATGTGCATGGCGTGCGAATTATACAGAAAATTGTATAGACTCGTAGGGTGTATTCGAAACCCCGTTCTCGAGTTGAATGAACACGAGAACATGGTTCCGAATGACGAGAATCGAACAGGATTTTCACTCCCCACTTATTCGGAAGTAGATGGAGAACGTCAAGAACAAAGATGGCGGACTTATGCCCCTACCGGAACTTGCGTTAATATTTGTGTATAAAATTGAAAGCATTCCGCATTCAGTGCAGGAGCAGTAACGATAAATTGTACGTGGTCATAGAGTGGGCTTGTCAGCCTTGTCTTTGCCATTTTTTTTTTTTTTAGCTGTTTCGGGATTTCAATTATTTTCGTATTAATTGAATTAATTGCCCCTTCTTTTTGTTCGGCGTTTTGATACGGCGGCTGCCATCTTGGATATTCGCCCAGCTGCACTCCACATGCACGCGCGCGTTCGTGATCGGCAACACGAGAACGCTGCTCCCCAGTCACTCGAGAACAGGGTTGCGAATACACCCTAAAACTCGAAACTTTTACATAAACGGAACGGAATTGGGTTGGCTCTAGACATTACGTATATTACCCAACCTGACATTGGTAGCCGTCGAAATGTGGTTGGTAGAGCTATAAAATATACCAAACGATGAACCGAAAAA